TTCAGTTATTGAGTGTGATAATGAGTTTGTTTTGTATGACCTTTACTATATTGAGATAAATTACTTCTATCTTCATTTTGTTGAGCTTTTTAATCTTAACTCATACCCAGTTGTGCTCAGAACTGGCTCTGTGCTCTGGAATCACTTCTCACAGGGCTTGCAGTACCATATGTGGTGCCAGGGATCAACCTGGAGTCAGTGGCATATAAGGCAAATGCCATATCTGCTATAGTATCTCCCGGCTCCTGTTATTTTTACACTACCATTTGCCAGTCTTTACTTTGATAGCCTGTGTTTATCATGAAAGTTCAAGTGTCTCTTGTAATCAGCAGAAAGTTGATTTTCTTCTAGTCTTTTTCTCCACTCTGTACACATCTCTTGGCTGGTGAGTTAAGGACACTGGCGTTTGTAAAATCATGATAATACAAGAATTTGTCTATTTTTTAATATGGATTCATGTAGATCTTGGTTGCAATCTGGAGTTTATGCTTACTAATTCCTGACAGAGATTGTGGCTTTGAGTTTGTGTTGGTGGGGCTCTGCTGAACAAAACCCAAAAACAAACCAAAAAAGACTTATTGCCTGTCCTCTGTGGGCTGCTGCAATCCAATGGTGAGCTGTGACTTGAGCCCAGTTTAGGAAAAAGGTTGTTCTTCATGTGGATGACGGTGCCAAAAGCATGGAAACAGCCTGAAAAGAATGAAGATAGGTGGGGAGACAGGTGTCTGCTCTGGTGGGTCAAGAAAACAGTATCATCCTCTAATCTGAATAGCTTATTCTGGTAATTGACAAAAATTCCTAATGAATTCTATTATGGGGAAAGGAAGGGTTAAAAACATAATAACTAGGGCCTGAGAGATTGCTCAATGGGCTTAGTACTAGCTTTAAATGGGAGACAGCCCAGGTTCAATTTGTTGCACCACGTGGGCCCCTGAGCACTACTGGAATGACCCCTGAGCACAAAGCCTAGAGTAGCCAACCGCTGCCCCCAGAACAAACACAAAACAGAATAAAATATTAAAGCTTGAAGAGACTGTGTTTTTATTTTCAATTCTATATGGAGTTGGAGATGAATATACTGATATTTTCTTTGATATACAATATAGATATATGATGTACCCAGATTATATATAATTTCTTGGATAAACCTTATTGGCTATGATACTGTCACTGCACAAAGCTAATTTTTCAATTCATTCTCTGAGTATTGTTATAATTTGGTATCAACTGGAAATTCTTAGAAAGTTTTTCTGTGAGACTTATACAATAATTTCAAGTGGAATTTAAAATAATTATTTCTGTAGTATTACTAATTTCAATCCTGACCACAGACTTTTGCACAAGCTTTCTTTAATTGTCATAGATATTAGGAATAAGCATCTTTTACCCATGTATTTAGGCTCATCGTAGCCTACTTTGTTATTAGACCTATGTTATTTTCTAGATATATCTAGTAGCTTAAGAAAGCCTGGTTTGATGAGAATTTCTTAATTTACCTTCAGGAGAATTGGTAACTACTAATTCTTTAAAGAGGATGCTTCAGAATCTATGGACAGGGGCCAGAGAGAAAATACAGGGCTCAAGGTACTTGCCGTGTATACTGCTAGTCATTTTGATCCTAGCACTGCATATGGTCTCATGAGCACAGCCAAGTATGGCCTAAAAAGCCCCAAATAGTTACAAACAAAAAAACAATCTGTGGACAAGTTTTCAACTGTTGTACCATGCATAAGTGTGGTCCATCATATTTTGTTTCTTCCCAAAAGTATTTGTGTTTTCCTTTTGTTATCACATATGGATGCTCTCCTAGAAAGAAATCAAGGGTATCCTTAGATGCACATTGCAACACTGAGTACACTGAGTACTCAGTATTTCAACTGTTATAATCTTGCAGAATAGAGTCAAGTTCAGTAATAAACTCAAGAACACTGATGAGCACTCTTGCAGATTCTATAGTATCCAGAGATATGTCACTGTTTGTGCTTAGGACATAAACAGCCCTTGATCATGACCACTGAGTCACCCATAATGCCACACGGTGGGTGTTGTGATCATGCTGCTGTTCACCCTGCTGGCTTCTCAGGGGCATATTCTCTACCAAGATAGCTGTTCGTTTTTCAGGATTTTCATATTTTTCAAGCAAGTAATTAATTTTGGGGGGAGAAACAGGTACCAAATATGTATGTCCTTGTCCCAGTTATGCATTTATCCAAATATATACCTGTCCCAGATATGTGTTTTTGTCTGGGGGGCACTTGGTGGTGGTCAGGGCTTACTCCTGGTTCTGTGCTCAGCGATCACTCCTGGTGGGGTTCAGGAGGCCATACAGCATGCCAAGGATGAATCCAGGTTGGCTGCATGCAAGACAAGCGCCCTACCCACTGAACTATCTCTCTGACCCTAGCCCTTCAAATATTCTTTTAACCCAATCAGTGAGAGTTCTTTGTGTATTTTATGGGCATTTTTAAGAAATACTCTTTTGATTGCTAAGACACATAGTTGTGTGGCCATTCTGAGTAGGGACTTCTGGACAACTGAAATGTTAAATTGTGGGACTGGAGAGATAGAATAGGGGTAAGGTGCTTGCCTTGCCTGCATCCCAAATACTACATATGGTCAGCTGAGCACCACAAGGGATCACTCCTAAGTACAGAGCCAGGGATTGGCCTTGAGCACTGCTGGGCGTGCTAAAACAAATTGGCCTCTGCTAAAGAGACCTGAATGTAATAGCTTACATTTACTTGTCACAGCAATGACAACACTGTTGCTCTAAAAGGTAAAGGTAAAGGCCCTCCCGTTGATCGTCGATTTGCTCGAGCGGGCCCAGTAACGTCTCCATTGGAGACTTTGTTGTTACTGTGTCTGGCATATCCAATACTCTCGGTAGCTTGCAGGGCTCTCCGAGAGGGGCGCAGGAATCGAACTCGGGTCGGCCATGTTAGCTGCGTGCAAGGCAAACGCCCTACCGCTGTGCTATCGCTCCAGCCCCATACCACCCTGAACACGCCCGATCTCGTCTGATCTCGGAAGCTAAGCAGGGTCGGGCCGGGTTAGTACTGTTGCTCTATCATATTAAAAAAACACACCCTTCAAATTGACACTGACATGTCAGAGACTTGGGTGAGTAATCTAGAACTAAGGAGAAAATTTTCTCCTGAATTTTTCTGCTATGAGTTTTTTTTTCCACACGATTCAGAAAATGATGGGGCCAGTTGAGATAGTATAGCTGGTAGGGTGTTTGCTTTTCATTTCAATCTCCAGCACCACATAAGGTCCCCAATTCCACCAGTAGTTATTCCTGAGTGCAGAGCCAAGAGTGTAAGTCCTGCGCTGCCAGGTATGCCCCCCAACCCTGCCAGAAAAAAAAAAGAAAGAAAAGAAAAGAAATCAAGATATTAGCTGAGGACAAGACCTTGTAGGAAGAACTGGATGTGAAAAAGGAAGATCAAGGGCATTAATAGCAGAGATGGTGGACACGGTTTCTGCACCTCCTCCAATAAGTTGTCTGAGGGATTGCCTTAGGAGCATGAGGGCTATTTTACAATGGGAAAGTTCTAATAATTAAAATTGTGGAACAATCCATTAGTCATCATTAATCCAATATTTTTATAGGGAAAGTGAAATTTTTAGAAGTGGACGCTAATGAATCTACTTATTCTTATAATTTGATTTATGAATTCTCATATAATGTGCTTAGGTATATGGCCAACTGGAAGGAAATTGCTACAAGCAAGTCATCAACTGACTTCAAAAGTAGGTATATTTAGCAATAGTTTATGGGTAATTCTTGTGTGTGAAATAGATATTTTTTTACACATATAAACATTTCTAAGCGTCTAACATTTCAGCACCATGACATATAAATATAGATGAATCTGCCAAGTCATTTTTATCTTGTTTTATGGGGGTCAGGGGTAGCCCATACCCAGCAGTGCTCAGCATTTATTCCTGACTCTGTGCTAAGGGCTCATTCTTGGTGAGGCTCAGGGAACACTATAATGTACATGCTAGGCAGTTGACTCACCCAATCTACTCTCTTTGGCCTCAATTTTACCTTTATGTGCCCCCCCTTTCCCACCCTCCCCCTGCCTCCATGGCAGACAATATTCCCCATAATCTATCTCTACTTTGGGGCATTATGGTTTGCAATGCAGACCCTGAGAGGTCATCATGTTTGGTCCGTTATCTACTTTCTGCACACATCTCCCATCCCGACTGATTTCTCCAGCCATCATTTTCTTAGTGATCCCTTATCTATTCCAGCTGCCTTCTCCCCTTTGCTCAGGAGGCAGGCTTCCAGCTATGGAGCAATCTATCTGTCCCATGTATCTACTATCCTTAGGTGTCAGCCTCATGTTGTTGTTTTATACTCCACAAATGAGTGCAGTCCTTCTATGTCTGTCCCTCTCTGATTCATTTCACTTAGTATGATACTCTCCATGTCTGTCAATTTATAAGCAAAGTTCATGACTTCATCTCTCCTGATAGCTGCATAGTATTCCATTGTGTAGATGTACCAAAGTTTCTTTAACTAGTCATATGTTCTAGGGCACCTGGGTTGTTTCCAGATTTTTGGCTATTGTGAACAGTGCTTCAATGAACTTATAGGTATAGATGTCATTTCTACTGTTACCACCAAATTTTAAAAGTAAAGTAAATCTCACAAAAATATGAGGAGGAAAGCTATTAGTCCTATTTTATATATGAGAATGTTTAGATTTAAGAGGTTAAATAACTTGCCTTAAATCACACAGCTAATTATTTAGTAGATAAGACCTCAAATCCAGGCCCTGCATAGACTTTTGTAGAGATAATGAAAGGTAGTGAAAAGTAGAATTAACTCAGAAAAATTGGGTCATTTATAATTCTACTTAACTAGGATATAAAGAAAATTGTGCTAAAAATGGTGAGAGGAATGTGGAATAGAGCTTACCTGGCCGTTTTGTAGTTTATCTGTATCATACCTGCCATTTTTCTAACCTTTTGTTATTCTTCTCTAGCTTTCCCTTTTCATCAAGTACATGGAATAATACATGAAGACTTTTCACAGGCAGGAATGGGACCATCAGATGATACTGCACATGGGAATACTGATGTAAAACCAACTTCTCATTCATGAACACTTGATTCCACATATGGAATATAACATATTTTCTTTTGAGCCAGAGTCCTTCAAATCCACGACTGATTTACCAGCCAGTAGAGTTTATTCAGACTAGAGTGACTTCTAAATTCTTGCCAGAGTATAGTTCATTTAAGCTAGGAAGTTTAAACAAATTGATTGTCAGACTAAATACAGCAGTCATGAAAAATGTCTGAATTATTCCTGGTATTATGAGAAACTGTAGTACTTACAATCATACTTAAATAAAGACATAATATATATAAAAATATTTGTATTATTTTCTTCTTATAATTTAGGTTGGGTTGGAGCGATAGCACAGCGGTAGGGCGTTTGCCTTGCACGTGGCCAACATGGCCAACCCGAGTTCGATTCCTCCGCCCCTCTCGGAGAGCCCGGCAAGCTACTGAGAGTATCTCGCCCGCACAGCAGAGCCTGGCAAGCTACCTGTGACGTACTCGTTATGCCAAACACAGTAACAACAAAGTCTCACGATGGAGACATTACTAGGCCCGCTTGAGCAAATCGATAAACAACGGGAGGACAGTGACAGGACAGTGACATTTAGGTTAAGCAGAGTTCTTTATCCATTTACTCACCATCCAAACAGACTTCTTACCAGACCTGAAGGCAATAGTACAACAGTAAGGGGTTTGCCTTGCATGTGGCCAACCCTGGTTCCATTTCCAGCATCCTATAAGGTCCCCTGAGCCAGGAGGGATCCCTGAGCATAGAGCCAGGAGTAAGCCCTGAGCACCGCCAGGTGTGACCCAAGTCGAAACAAAGCAAAAAGAAGAAAAAAAAAACCCAAACTGCGCTTCTTCCTTTCCCTACTATGCCTCTTTGCTTTTCTTTGTCTCTGCCTCCTTAGTCATCTCTTTTGCCTTCATCTTTCTCATTTTCACTTCCAGTTAGTACTACCACGAGTGTATTTTAATAATTGCTTTTTTATGATGCTCTTTATCATTCTGTTCGCATTTTTCTCTTTAATAGCTTTTATCTAAGAAAGGAAAGTTACTCTTTTTTATTTTTGGTTTAGGGGTCACACCACACTGTGGTGGGTGTTCAGGGTTAACCCCTCCTGGGTTTAGGGGACCATTACGTTGCCTGGGATTGATTCTGGGCCTCCTCTGGTAAAAGCATGCACTTCGGTCCTTTGAGCTATGTTCACTGCCATAGACGTCAATTTCTAAGAGGTAAATATCCATGCAGGAATGTAATTTGAATTGCATTGACTCTGTGTATCAATTGGGGCCCAGCATTACCTTAACAATATGGGGTCTTCCAATCAATGAACATGGTGTATATCACGTATCTCTGTTTAGGTCTTTGATTTTTCAGCAGTAATTTTTTATTTCAGTGTTCAATTATACATTTTATCAAAAGTATGCCAAACAAGTTCATGGTGTTTTTAAATAGCAGGGATCAAACTCAGGGCTTCACACTAAGGCACATCACTAAGGCACATCCTCGGCCTATTTCATGTTTTCTTTTTTTCCATGGTGTTTAATGCAGCTTAAAAATGCCAACTTTTTGGGCTGGAGCGATAGCACAGTGGGTAAGGCATTTGCCTTGCACACGGTGGACCCAGGTTTGATTCCCAGCATTCCATATGGTTCCCAAGCACCACCAGGAATAATTCCTGAGTGCAGAGCCAGGAGTAGCCCCTGTGCATCACCAAAAAGGAAAAAAAAAAAACCAGTTCACTTTTGGGCCAGATCGAGAGGACAGCGAGTAGGATGTTTGCCTTGCATGTAGCCAACCTGTTTTCAATCTTTGGCATCCCATATGGTCCCCCAAGCACCTCCAGGAGTAATTCTTGAGCACAGAGACAAGAGTAACCCCCGAGTATCACTGGATGTGAAAAAAGCCAAAAAAAAAAAGTGTCAACTTTATACTGTTGCCTTGCTGGTGACAAATTTCAAACACTTAATTTCCAATTTCAGTTATATTTTATTTAACAATTCATGAATGGGTAAGCATTATCCACTTATGAATATGGAGTTTCCAAGAGTTGTATAAGCAAGAGTTTCATAAGTGAGGAAGAACATGGAGTTTATACTGTCATATTTGCTGCTTGGTTTAAGTAGGATTACTTAAAATTACTTTGGGGCCTGAGTGATACTACAGTGGGCAAGGTGTTTTGTGGGTAAGGTGTACAGCTGACCCTCACACCCTGTATTTGCCCCCAGACACTTATAGGAACGACCCCTGAGCAGAATCAGGAATGAGCTCTGAGCACTGCCAAGTATGGGTCCCCAACACACACACACACAAATTATTCCCCCCACTGCATCCCTTTTTGGTATTGTGATGACTCAGGCTGCACACACAAATTTCGGTGCTTGCATACTTGCTTGTGGTGTGCACTAGAGGTCACACTTGGTGACAGTGCTCAAGCGGTTGTGATGTTTGCTGGTGGTTGTACACTTGGTTGTGGTGTTTGCTGGGGTTCACACACTTGGTTGTGGTGTGTTAGAGCTTGCATTTTGTTCTGGTACCAGGAGCCCAAAGGCAGTGCTGTCAGGATCACACTCAGCCTGCTGGACATTGCTGGCATCAGCTTTCAGCCCCACACTTGCAAGGCAGGTGACTGTAACTGAGCTATTCCTGCCCCCAGGATTCCACTGTAATTTTGAATAAAAGTACATCTTAGAACTGGGCTAGGTAATTTGTACTGAGCAGGGAAGCACTTACTGGTTGGCCTAGGCCTTTCTTTTCTGGGTACTTTAATATTGCTATATAGAAATATTGCTGGTGGTGTGTACAGAAATATGATTTATTGATTCATAGAAATTTTGCTGATGGCGTGTAGTGTCCTTACCGAGTTATGAACCATGACTGTCGCCATGCAAAGCATGTGCTCCATCCCTTTTCATACTGATTTGCTTATATTTGTATAGACTTTGTAGGTTCATAAAAGATAGTAGTCTTTAGTTTTTCCCTAATTTTTTTTAATTAATCAACTTGAAGATGTTCTCTGTTTCCCTGTTTCTCTAGGTGGGTTTTTTGTTAGTGTCATGGTTTGATACCAGGTCTCATGTATGCAAGACAGATACCTTGTCATTAAGCCACATCCCGAGTGTTTTTTTTTCTTTTATTAAACAAAAAATTTAAATAGAGATACTGTGACTGACAAAATTGATCACAGCGGGCTTTTAGTCATACAATGTTTTCTAATCTCCAACTCCACCACCATATGATCCCATATTGTACTTTGGGCCTGAGTGATACTACAGCGCGTAGGGTGCTTGCCTTGCATGCTGCCGACCCAGGTTCCATCCCTGGCATCACATGTAGCCTCCAGAGCCCACTAGGAGAGATTCCTGAGCGCCCAGCCAGGAACAAGACCTAAGCACTGCTGGGCAAGGCCCCAAAGCAAGAAGTACTTTGGGTTCCATGTTTTCCGTTGTGTTTGCTCTAGTATTTCAGCTCTAGACCCCTTGCCTCTATCACAGAGAAGCCAGAGACCCCTGGCCTTGCCGCTGTTACTTCCAGGTCTCCTCTCATTGCTCCTGTCCTCCATTTCTCCTTCCTTGGCATTTCTGTTTCTGTAATCTGGAGCCAGTGTTTGCCCATTCTTGATTTTTCCATTCCCCAGGCAAATGGCTCTAAACAACAGATGAGTGAAAACTTGTAATATTTGTCCTTTGACTCAACAGATAATCATCGAGTTCCACCCAAGTTGAAGCAGACTGAGCGGTTTCATTATTTCTTGGGACTGCATAGGATTCCAATGCATATATTTGACCCCATTGTCTGTGGGATCGCTGCGTCTTATGGGAGCTCTAGTCTTAATTTTTTGAGGAATTGCTTTTTATAGGTGTGCTGAATTGCTGAACCAGACATTTCCAGCAGCAGTGCATGGAAGTTCTTTTTTACCACCTCCATACTTGGCGATGCTCAGGGACTATATGGGATGATGGAGATAGAACCTGGGTCGATCATGTACAAAGCAAGCACACTACCCACTGGACTAGCTCTCTGGCTCCAGTCTTTATGTTTTATTTTGCTTTATGCCATTCTCACTTGTGTCAGGTGATCTCACTATTATCTTAATTTGAATTTTTCTTATAAGTGATGACAAACACTTTTTTGTTTTTTTGAGCCAACCTGGCAGTACTCAGGGTTTACTCCAGATCACTTCTGACGGGACCCCGTATTGGGGCCATACCTGGTGATGCTTAAAACCCGGGTCAGCCACATTACAAAGCAATTACCCTATGCCACCATCCTGGGGGGTGACTGGGTCCCCTAGAGTGTTCAGGACCAATACACATTCCTCAGGCTGATGGATAGAACGGGTCACAGGCTAGAGGCCAGCAATGTTTAATTGAAAATCAAATTGGCCTAATATAGGAAAAAAACCCCTGCTTTTCAAAATGGTGGAGAGACTGGGATTAACAGAGGCTTGGATTTGGTGAACAAACATAAATACAAGCAGATGTAAAGGCTTCCTTCAGGGTAAATTCTTCTAAGAGATCCATCCAGGGGCAGCACTCCACCTGGGGGCAGGGGTAGGGGTGGGGGCTCCAGCATTCTGGACTCTGGTCCCCAGCCCCCTACCTGCAATACTATCTCTCTAGCCACTTCCATCTGTCTTTTTTGTTTCGTTTTGTTGTTGTTGTTGTTTTTGGGTCACACCCGGCGATGCACAGGGGTTACTCCTGGCTTTGCACTCAGGAATTACTCCTGGCGGTGCTCGGGGGACCATATGGATGCTGAGGATCAAACCTGGGTCAGCCACGTGCAAGGCAAATGCCCTACCCACTGTACTATCAATCCAGCCCCTCTATCTGTCTTAACAGAGGTCACTTCCTGCAGAGCGTGGCCCAGTGTGACCCTCAGGGCAGTCCCCAGGCAACATTCCACCATACTGAATATACAACTCAGGGCTGTCACATGCTAGGCATGTGCTTTAAGACTTGAGCTATCTCTCCTGGACTTTAATGTTTTATCATAGGAAATAAATTCTGACACCTTGGCCTTAATGCATTTATTCATGTGATCACTGTAGCACTGTCCTCCCGTTCATCAATTTGCTCAAGTAGGCCCAGTAACGTCTCCATTGTGACACTGTGTTACTGTGTTTGGCATACTGAATACATCACGGGGAGCTTGCCAGGCTTTGCCGTGTGGGCGAGATACTCTCGGTAGCTTGCTGGGCTCTTTATTAACATTTCAATATTTAGCCAACCTAGTATTACTAGGGCTGGAGCGATAGCACAGAGGTAGGGCGTTCGCCTTACAAGCGGCCAACATGGCCGACTCGAGTTCGATTCCTCTGCCCCTCTCGGAGAGCCCGGCAAGCTACCGAGAGTATTGGATATGCCAGACACAGTAACAACAAAGTCTCCAATGGAGATGTTACTGGGCCCGCTCGAGCAAATCGACGATCAACGGGAGGGCCTTTACCTTTACCTTAGTATTACTAAAATAAATGCCATTTGGATTCTCAATAAATATACCTATGGGGGGGGGGGGGAAGGAAGACACCCTGCAGTGCTGCAGAATAAGCCACATGCTGGGGATCCAACAGGGTCAAGTGCAAGTAAGGCAAGTGCCAAAATCCCTGTTCTAACTCTCCTTACTAAAATTAAAACTTCTGACTCCACAATATATATGTAGCACTGTCCTCCCATTGTTCATTGATTTGCTCGAGTGGGCACCAGTAACGTCTCCATTGTGAGACTTTTTGTTACTGTTTTTGGCATATTGAATACGTCCCCAGGAGCTTGCCAGGCTTTGCCGTGCAGGTGCGATACTCTCAGTAGCTTGCCGGGCTCTCTGAGGTTTTTCAGAATCCACTAAAACACTGTAGAAGGATATTTGTTTCTTAAATGATGAACATGTGAAACAAAAGCTTCATATCTGGAGGATCGGGATCTTTCTCATATTCCAGTATGTATCTTTCAGACTTTTCATATGTCAATCATCACTTTTTATACCCAAACAGACAACACTGACTTGTCTTTTTTGCCATGGGATAGTTAAGAAAATTTACCCAGTACACACCAGATTATAAGCTACCGTGTGGCCTACATGCCTGCCTGCCATTGCTCTCATCTTAGCATCATGCCTGGTACGCAAAACATTTACATACTGGAATAAAAAGGATGTTTCTACGCACATTTTAAAAAGAATTGTTTATTGAAAACCATGTAACAGTGTAACAGAATCTGGTAACAGCGCAGTCAAGAAATACATTCAATAATACTAAAATCTGGGTTGGCCAAGTGGCACAGCAGGTAAGGATGAACATCTTACTTTAGATATTCTGTTATATACACCAGTATATTCTACACAGTCACTTAGACAGTTTGTCATGTAAAGCAAGTAGAGCTTGTACTTTGAAATGCAAGAGGATTTCAAGAATAGTTCTCTTGGCTAGGGAGAAAGCTTAATAGGCTAGGCACATGCAAAACATGCTCTGCATGTGGGAGGCCTGGGCTCAATCTCTAGCACTGTGTGGTACCCAGAGAAGCAGAGAGCAGAGAGCAGAGAGCAGTCCCTCAGCACCGCTGGGTGTGGCCCGTGTCCTCCAGTCTGCCCAAAAGGAACAATTCTTTAGAAACCAAATGCCAAATAGATGAATCTATTAATATAACGTAACTGCTTTTTTGTTTTTTTTTTGTTTTTTTGGTGAGTGGTGGTGTCACCACCACTGCTTAGTAAAGTGATCTCACTTTACAGCCAGAGATCACTCCTGGGGGGACTCAGGAACCATATGGGGCGCTGGGGACTGGAGCAGCCTACTCACTGCGCTGTCTCTCCAGCCCCAAGAGAAATAATTTATGAATGCTAACAAATACTAAGAATGGTAAAAATACAGATGTCTTCAGTAGTAAGGGGATACTGGCACTCTGTTGGTTAGGTGTGAAGCAGTATGTTTTATACAATAATACCAATGTAAATTAGATACTTCAATTTGAAAATTAAACAAGGAGAGATAAGTTAATGGATTTAGCATGTACTTCATGCTGGAAGCCAGGTTTTAGCCCCAGCACCGCATGGTCTCCTGAGCACCGCAGGGAGCGACTCTCAGACACCGAGGGGCATGCACCTGCCCCAACAGAAGAGCAGGAGGACAAAACAGGCATCTTTAAAATAGTGAGAGGGATGGATTAGAAGCGACACAGGGAAAGTATGGATGTTTTTTTGGCTACTGGTGGTGGTGAAGCAGCACTTTACCAATAGCATAAACATATATATATATATATGTATATATATATTTATGCATATACATATATATGTGAAAAGTATAACCCCCGAGGTGCTGGGGATTGAGCCAGGATTCAGAGGATGTGAAGCAATGTCTTAACCTCTGCACTAACTCTTCAGTCCTTCAAAAAACAATTTTCGGGAGGAGAAACCCCATGAGTGTTGGATAACATTGGTCGTCCTTGCTCCTCCGAAGGGAGCTTAGGTTTATTTACTCCACGATAGTGCCCCAAGGCACACCCAATTCCATCAAGTGCAAATAATCCAATATTGCTTTCCTCTTTCTTATGACACGCACATGGTTTAGCAATGTCCTTTTTGTGTAGACACAGGAAGACAGTTCACGCTATGTTTTGTAACATGGGAGCTAACTGACTCCAAAATAATATTTACTCCTGGGCATCCGTATTAACATATTAATCCTCACCTGCCCTTAGTTCCTAGCACTGCAAAAGCAGGGTCCTGACGAAGGGACTGGATGGATGCATGGCAAGCTATAAACTGCTCTGGCATCAAAAGGGGACTAGGAAAACACCACAACCGTAAGTATAAGAGCAAGGTGTCATGGAACGAACTCTGTGATGACCCAAAAAGAAGTAACTGAATCGGGACTCTACTGGGCTTAGGAAAGACTAACCTGGCCTGAGGAATGTTGTTGGGAGATATAGTAAAATGTCCCCAAGAAGAGCCAACCTTTAAGCTTAATATATCTCTGTGTTCATGCAAAATGACTAGAAATATTATAAAAAGTAGATTTACTATGACTGTTTAAATGGATTACTGGCTGAGGGAAAGATACAGCCATACACCCTGGACGGAATCCTGCCCTTCAGCAGATCTCCTAGTAATTTGGAGTGCTGAACCCTCAGATGAAATCTTGTCCTTGAGTTAATCTAGAACTTCCTCTGAAGTGGCTTTACCTCTGTTATGACAATGTTCAACCCCACCTATGTGTACCCCCACCCTTCATGACTGCTATATAACTATGCTGTAAGGGTTTAAGACGGGGAGAGGACTCTGAGGTCTACGAGGAGACTGGATGAAGGAACTACGATGACTGGGTCTACGACTATGACTGTGATTGTGCGGTAGGAGAGAGATTACATTACACTGGGGAGGAGAGACAAATAAACTGACTACCAACGAGCCTGGGGCCTAGTCCCTGTTTCTCTGTTCCCCCAGTCCTTAGGCCACCTGTCCCCGTGGGCCGGCCTGGGAAGGCAGCTCTGGGCCAACGAATGCTCAAGTCCCGCGCACCTCAGCGCTCTTCCTCAGGTTGAAAACTCGCACATGAGTACTTAGGATATTATACACAGCTGATCGGAGTTCATGAACTAGAAGACACATGAGGGCAACACAGATAAAATAATACAAAATACAGAAGGGCTTCAGATAGAGATGAAGGACTCAATATAAATTTTAAAAAATGAAAATGGCAATCGTATTGTGTTTCTCCAAAATTTGTTCTCCACAACATAAGTTCAGTTTTCAGTAATCCTGGGTGATATATTCATTTACATATTTGCAGATTTGATAGTGCCTGAGGACCAGGTGGTACCAGGGTTTAAATTTGGGTCTCCTACATGTAAGGCATATGTGCTCCACCCACTGAGCAATCTCTTTGGCCCCCAAACATATTTCTTAAACACCATTTTTAACATTTCTACCTATTTTAAATGTAGCTTCACCATGATTCATTCTCTCTCTCTCTCCATATATACATATATATAGAGAGAGATAGATATAGACAGATAGATATAGACTAAAGGGTGTATTTGTTCTTTCATGGTGAAAGAAAAACTACCAGTGATATTACTGCAATGCTGTTGTTACCATTTTTAGTTAATTCATAAGCCTGTCATTCTGCTGAAAACAATCAACATGTACTTAAGGGAAAAAAGAGTTTAGCCCAGAAGTGGATGATTTAATACAATATAAATAGAATGAATAATAATTTAGAAATAGTAGAGCCAGTATTAGTAAAACTATTTCTCATACATTAGTATAAGAAATGTTTCTTAAGACTATCAATTTTTAAGTAACTGAAACAAGTATTAAACTTTTTTTTTAAGTACAGTATTAATTCATGCAACCAATTCCTCTTTAACTATATGGGTAGTTTAAAAATGAAGGCTGAAATGTGATCTGTGAAGGTTGAACTCGGGGATAATTTTTATGCTGAAAGTCACACCCAAGCTTTCCATCCTGGAAAAAGCCGACTGAGGTTTTTGGGGTCCATGGCCTGTTGTATGAGCAAATTCACTTGTCCACCTACACTGAGCACAGTTCCTTCTTCCACACCCTTCAGTTTCTCTTGAAGTCTCATGAGGACACGTTCAGCGACTTTGTTGAAACTCTGGTCAATATCACTGATAACAAAAACAAGTTTTAAAGAGGTGGAACAGTTTCAAAGGTCCTGGGGAAAACAATCTGAACAGTTGACACTAAATCCTTTCTAAAATATGGCTCACCTGAGAGTTCGCTTGCACTCTTGATCATCGGCATTCAGAGTGGATTGGAGCTCGGTGTCATCCTCCGGCCTCTGCTGTAGATACAGGGCTTTCAGAGGATTCATAGTCCAGTCAAAGAGAGGATCATACAGGAGAACCTAGAGAAAGCACACAGAAGAGGAGAGTGCACTTTATCACATAGTTAGAAACAGTACAGTCAGTATTAAAAAAATAGCAGATCTGGGGCCAGGGCTATAGTTCAAAAAGGTAGAGCACCACATCACCCAAACTTTACCAACATGGTAATGATATCCTATAGAATGTCTTAATGGCTCCTGCCCAAATAGAACAATCTTCATAAACAACTAAACAATTTTTTGTGAGCACGTTCAGCAGTTCTTCTTAACAATACAAAATTTATTCTTGCGGGACAGGGATTGTATTTGGGGACAGGGCTTGGGGCTTGGGATGGAAACATCCTGAATCTGGTGGTGGGAAGCTGTAATGGTGGTGGGATCGGTGTTTGAATATTAAATGCAATCAAATATTGTGAACTAACTTATAGAATAAAAAAATTAAAATAAAAAAAAAAAAAGGTAGAGCACAAGTGTTCTCCCTCCCTGCCCGAGTTTGATTCCTGGTATCACATGGCCCCTCACAGCATTACTGGGTGTGGCCCTAGTTACTCAAGCACCACTGAGCCTGAGCAGCACCAGCTCACCAGCCAAGAATGATCAGGCCTGTACTGCTAAGCCAAGACTCATCAGGTGCCTCCAGAACCCCCAAGCACTGCTGGAGAGATTCCAGTTATTATAATAATGTCAGGGAGATAGCTCAGTGGGGGAGCAGATTTGATCCCTAGCACCACTTGGTCACACAAGCACCACTGGAAATGACCCTTGAGCACTGAGCTCGGGGGTAGATTGAGCCTCTGCCATCTGTAGCACTGTAGCACTGTCCTCCTGTTGTTCATCGATTTGCTCGAGCGGGCCCAGTAACTTCTCCATTGTGAGACTTGTTGTTACTGTGTTTGGCATATCAAATACATCACAGGTAGCTTGCCAGGCTTTGCCATGTGGGCGAGATATTCGTGGTAGCTTGCTGGGGCTGAGGAATCGAACCCAGGTTGGCCGAGCTGGCCGCATGCAAGGCAAACGCCCTACCCGCTGAGAGGGGCTGAGGAATCGAACCCGGGTTGGCCGAGCTGGCCGCATGCAAGGCAAACGCCCTACCCGCTGTGCTATTGCTCCAGCCCCTGCCAGATGTGGTCCCCAAAATTAAAAAAAAAAAAAAAGACCAGACACCTAGAAGCTAGGGGAGAAGCAAAAGTAAAGAAAAGGATGTTTGCGCTTTATAATCTTTGTGGGGAAACTTACAGCATAATGATCTGAGTCTCACATTTCATTCTCAATTATCTTTGTCCACAGTAGGGGGTGACATCCCTAGATCTGTGCTTGCTGATTGGTTAAAACTATTTCACTAAAGAATATGTACGTGATTTACGTTCATTTTTTATTTATGAGGGGTCTCTCAAGCCTAGGGGCGCTTTCAGAGGACTCCCAGTCAGCCTGGCCTGCAATCAAATCCCAGAGTCTGAGGATACAGTGCTAAGGCTCTGCAGTGCTTGGGCCACCCCAGCAGTGCTGGAAACCTTTAGGGCGGTGCGTGGCAATACTGGGGGCTCTCCACGGCTGCAACTGGTGATTCCTGGGGGACCATGTGGGTGCTACGAATCTGGGAATTGAAGGAGTCGTCTGCATATAAAGCGGTGCCTCAACCCCTGTACTGTAGATCTCCTTAGGTTTTTAATCGTTCATGTTCTTTCCATTTCTTTTAGGGTCTAGGTAAGAGTATTTGCTCGAAGCTCCTCATTCCCCCTCTAGCTGGGCTGTCTTCAGTTTAAAAAAAAAAAAGAATTTAGACTTTTAGTTTCGGCATGGGCTGGAGTGATTAGTGCAGCAGGTAGTTGCCTTGCACACAGCTGACCCAGGTTCGATTCCTCCGCCCCTCTCTGAGAGCCTGGCAAGCTACTGAGAGTATCTTGCCCGCACAGCAAACCCTGGCAAGCTACCCGTGACGTATTCGATATGCCAATAACAGTAACAACAAGTCTCACAATTTGTTGTGAGATGTTACTGGGAACGCTCCTGACGTGTTACCTTACCTTATATTCTATTCACCAGGGTGGTGAGTGATTGGCTTAGGAACACAATTCATGCTGAATAAAGCAATCGCCAAAATCATGGAAATGTGTGTGACGTCCCTTTCTGCCTGATGGATGGGAAGCAGGATCTTGGTTGCATATATAAGCTCTGCAGGCCAGCAGGGGCTGTCCAAGGTCAAGACAGCAGACAGGCACTGAAGGAGAATGAGCAGCCAGCCACTTTAGCTCTTGGGACGCACCCAGGTTCTTCCAGTGCCGCAGTCACACCCTCATCTCAACGTGTTTGATCCTAAATGGTTTTGAACCACTTAGGCTGCACTGATGTGCAGCACTCATCACGAGATCAATATCTCATAAGTCACCATCAGCTTGAGAAAAATAAGGTAAAGGTAAAAGGTAAAGGCCCTCCCGTTGATCATCGATTTGCTCGAGCGGGCCCAGTAACGTCTCCATTGGAGACTTTGTTGTTACTGTGTCTGGCATATCCAATACTCTGGGTAGCTTGCCGGGCTCTCCGAGAGGGGCGGAGGAATCGAACTCGGGTCGGCCATGTTGGCCGCGTGTAAGGCGAACGCCCTACCCGCTGTGCTATCGCTCCTACCCTGTGCTATCGCTCCTACCCTTGAGAAAAATACCTGCACCTTATTATACACTTTACCTCTACAATGGTTAACAGGGTTTCTTGAGAGTTTCTCATAACTTCCATGGTTTTCTCACAGCATCTACGGGCAGATAAATAGGGACTTCGTTACATGTCAACATTTTCTATATGTATTAGGCATGCATATTATACATGATGTAACATACATATAGAAATACCTAAGTGCTGTATGTCAAGACTGTTCCTTTTAAATAATTTCTAAATTAATGTTTCAAAGGGCATAGCACCGAAACCACAGCACCCAAAAGGAGAGAGAAAACAAAAGGGAATGCCCTGCCACAGAGGCAGGGTGGGTTGGGGGTGGGGTGGGAGGGATACTGGGATTCGTGGTGGTGGAGGATGGGCGCTGGTGGAGGGATGGATACTCAATCATTGTATAACTGAAACCCAAGCACAAAAATTTGTGAGTCTAGAACTGTACCTCACGGTGTTTCACTAATAAAAATTAAAAAAAAACAACCACCACAAAACCAAATAACATAGCACCGAGAAAGTGGGCTTCGGCAGCTGTTTCTTAACCGATGAAAAAAGTATGTTCAAAGAATCTTCGCACTTGTCAGACTAAGTGATGGAGAGGTGACTCCATGTGCTGGAGTACAGGATTTACGTGCAGAGCACCCAGGTTTGCCTGCTGACACGGCGCGGTCCCTGAGCACTACCAGGAGTGAACAATCAGTCTGGAGAATCCTCTGAACAACTGTGTCCCTCCCCCAAAACCCCAAGATAGTACTATAAAATATCAAGATAATACTATAAAATATTTACCTTAGTCACTTATTATCATGGCAATTATTAGTTTACTTTGACTAGAATTTGCTTCATTACAAGTTGGTACCGGGCTGAAGAGACCTGGGTTATGCTTTGTGTGTGGGAAGCCAGGGTCAGTTCCTGGTACTGCATGGTTCCCTAAGTACCACTGGGAGTGGTCCTCAAGCTCCGTGTCAGGAATAGTTCCTGAGCACTATCAAGTGTCTAATTGCCCCACCCACCCACCTCCTGCCCCAAGATTAGTACTAATGTCTATGTTGGGAAAACTGCAGACAGCCACAAAGTTTTTTTTTATAGGAACTTACAGTGGATAATGAGCTTTCAATATCCTCAGTTTATGAGGACAGAGGTATGAAAGGAAAAAGCAGTTGCTGTTGGAGGAAAGTATATATGTACATATACAAATATATGTATATACATATGTTATACATTGTTACATAAGTTACAGACAGTTACATATATATGATACATTGTTGACATTCAGGCGATCTGAAGGGAAGGGCAACTGTTACTGCTTGGACCCAGAGTCTTAAGACCAGTGAAATATTGAAATATAATCCTAGTAATTAATTCATAAACTAGATATGTGAACGCAAGTAGTTTTAATGTCCATGTCTTCTATCTTACACCTTCATTACTTACAATCATCCGTCTCTTTCACCTTAACTCTTACTACTCACCTTCTGAAAACGCCTTCAACACCAGTAATGCCCATCCCATCCACAATATCTCTGCTGAGTCTGAAAGGAACTGTTTCTGGAGTAGGAAGGATTTTACCCTGTTCAAAAGCAACTCCTAAAGTTAAAAAAAAAAAAGGAGGCAAGGTTAGGGGGTTTCACAGCCTATTCACCTTCTTCCCAAGTAGAAGGTAAATTTGCAGAGGCCCACATTAGTCACCTCGATTTGATTAAGTCGAATATTGCACAGAGTCACATTCTATTTTTGTTGTCTTCCTCATTCCACCAATTCCTAGGAGACACCCCTCACATTCAAATAACATATCCACATCTTGCCCCAGTCCGAGAACTCCAGTGTCATCCAGCAATGGCACTCCATTCTGGAGCCTCCACACAGCAGCTGGCAGTGCCTGGCTGGAGTCGTGGGTGGCCAGAATATAAAGAAAGTGACACTGGGCCAGTTACTGCAGGTCTAAACCTTAATTTCCACCCGTCCTTCTTTACAGTCATGTACTTACTTGGTAAAGACATAAAAAAAACATCCCTGTTACTACTTACCTAAATCGATATGTACAAGTTCCGCTGACTGCTCATTTATCAAAATATTCTGCACATGCCTATCACCAAGTCCAAGTATGTAGCCAACTGAAAGATCAAATAATATGGAGTCACTGATCTGATTTATTTCTATAACATCTAGCATTGTTTTTTACTAAGGAATGTCATGTCTATAATCTATAAATAGTTTGTGTTGTTTTTTTTTTTATCCTACTCAAGGAAAAACATACATTTTGAATTAGAGTCAAATATTTCCAGCTACTTTCTTTTCTTTTTTCTTTTTTTCTCTTTGGGTCACACCTGGCAATGCACAGGGGTTACTCCTGGCTCTGCACTCAGGCGGTGCTCAGGGGACCATATGGGATGCTGGGAATCGAACCCAGGTCGGCCACGTGCAAGGCAAACGCCCTTCCCGCTGTGCTATCATTCCAGCCCCCCAGTTATTTTCATACTGAATTTTCTAAACCTTAAATGACTTGCCTGGGGGGGCTGGAGCGATAGTATAGCGGGCAGGGCATCGGCCTTGCACGTGGCTGACCCAGTTTCGATCCTCGGCATCCCATATGGTCCCCTAAGCACTGCCAGAGTAATTCCTGAGTGCTGAGCCACGAGTAACTCCTGAGCATTGCTGGGTGTGACCCCCCCCCAAAAAAAAGAAAAAAAATAAATGACTTACCTGAAAACTTTTTAAAAAATAAGTACATTTTTGTTTAAGAGTATGAGTATACCTTGAAAAGTTATATAGTTAGTTTGACACCCAGTATGAGGCAGGACCAAAGCATTTACACTCAAATATGATTGAGTATACTTTTGAGGAACTCACGGGTAAATTCTTCATTCTTTAGTGAAACTTTCTTCTGCTTAATGAGCTATAATTAGGGGGGGGAGGGGGCCACACCCAACGATGCACAGGGATTCCTCCTGGCTCACAGACTCAGGAATTATTCCTGGTGGTGCTCCAAGAACCATTTAGGATGCCGGGAATTGAACCCGGGTCGGCCACATGCAAGGCAAATGCCTTACCCTCTGTGCTATTGCTCCAGCCCCAGTGAACTATATTTAGATAATCATTAATTCATCGCAACAGGTACGAATTCAGGAAAAAATGTATTTCCATTTTTTAAAGAAATAATTGCTTGCCTTGAAATGCCTTAAATCTAATGAAAACAGTTTCAGTGTTACTCAGATTCAGGTTTCTTAGAAGCTGACTAGTTCTGTGTCATTAACTGGACCTACTTTTCTGTTAAATTAGTTTGCTCAGATTAGTAACTCTCAAGGTTAAAGACAGTTTCATAATTACTTAGAAGTCTTTCAAAACATACTTGCCCAGGGGCTGGCGCAATCAGCAGGTAGGGCATTTGCCTTGCATGCGGCCGACCCTGGTTCGACTCCCAGCATCCCATATGATCCCCCGAGCACTGCCAGGAGTTAATTTCTGAGTGCATGAGCCAGGAGTAACCCCTGTGCACAGATGGGTGTGACTCAAAAAGCAAAATAAATAAATAAATAAATACTTGCACTGCGTTCCTGGGTTCCAGTACCAAAGAGAAAAAGGAAATGGTTTTTAGTTAAAAAGCTAACAGATGAAAAGATCTCTGATTCACCTACCAATTCTCATTTCTAGGATTCTGTTAATCGTGTTATCTGTTATAATCTCTTAGAAATAAAAAATCAGTCAAATATAGATGTTATACTTTGAATACTTAATACTTATTTCTGTTCCAAAACCAAAATTAAAAGGAATCATTTACTATTAAATAGAACCATTCTAGATGACAATTTTATAGTATTTATAGGGTCTATGCAAAAAGAATGGTAAGGAAAATAAAGCAAGTCATCATACATTTTTCACTGTTTTCCAAAAATAAAATCTCAGAAAATATATTGAGGGGAGAGAAAAGAACCCATACTCATTATTATTATTAATTATTATTTAAAAATCAATGAGCAATGACAAACTTATGGGGTAGGAGAATTCTCTTTCAAAATCCAGGAAGCGGTTCAGAGATTCTCCAAGCCCACGTTCTCTCTTGAGTACACTTTCCCTCTCTCTTCTCACATCTTTTTAAGTAAGTTTAAATAAAAACTATCTTACTTCACTTAAAAACAAAACCACAACCATAAAAAACTAAGAAGAGCTACAGCTAAAAGCAAAGAATCAGGATGAACAAGTCACTGTCACTGTCCTCCCGTTGTTCATCAATTTGCTCGAGCGGGCCCAGTAATGTCTCCATTGGAGACTTTGTTGTTACTGTGTTTGGCATATCGAATACGTCACGGGGAGCTTGCCAGGCTCTGCCGTGCGGGCGAGAATCAAAAGCTAATGATAAAGATGGTTTGGTTGACATCCATGCACCTTAACTGGATCTACTAATGTATAGACAATTACCAATAGAAGAAGTAGCCACACTGCGAGTATAAGCCAATCGTTTCTCAAACCACACAGCGGGGTCAAGGAATTTTTCCATGCAGAAGAAACGAAACACTGGTTGAAAGTGTTGGCAAATATCCATGAAGACTTCATATTTTTCTTCAAAAGATTTCTTCTGTACTTCCTTTAAATAGATCAAATATAAAATTATTTTTTCAATATTATCTTCTATTTCAACTATGTCTTCTATGAATTTCTATAAGAAAAATGTGACAGTCGTAGAAGAAATAAAAAGAGGAACTAGGGGCTGGAGGGATAGTACAGTGGGTAGGGTGTTGACCCGGGTTCGATTCCCAGCATCCCATATGGTCCCCAAGCACCACCAGGAATAATACCTGAGTGCAAAACCAGGAGTAACCCCTGTACATCACCCGGTGTGACCCAAAAAGCCAAAAAAAAGAAAGAAAAAAGAGGAACTAGATATTATCTTTGTCTTACAAAAAGTTAACGGTCTGGTCAGGGAAGAAATTCATTACAAGTGATAATCCCTTCAGAGACTTGAAAGTAATCTTAGGGGGGGTATGGTGCCGCCAGCAGGTCAATCTGTACCTGTGAGGCGAGTGCATCAGCAGCCTGATGGCGCCTTCAGACTTCCAGATACCCCAAAATTGCTGCTGTGCCTTTGGCCAGACCCCAAAAACTTGGGCCAAAAGTTAGGTATGTGGGAGACACACCCACAAACCACCTCCGGCTCAGCTATATAATTGGAGGCATGGCCTCTCTGGTTCCTGATCAAACTGCTTAACGGCCATGATCCCAGAGACTCAGAAACGAATCTCAAAACCCAACAGCTTTTGGGAGAAATGCGTCCGAACCCTGCAGTACGTTACTCTCACCAGGCCACCCCAGGGGGGAAGGGGTGTTGTCCCTCCGCCTGCTTCCCCTTGGCGGCTCAGTGGCTGTCATCCTCCAGAGGCCATTAGACAGTCAGGTCTGGGCCCCCAGTTACGAGACACGCAGGGCCGCACGGGAGGGGGGTGGAGCCAGTGCTGTCCTCCCCACCCCAACAAGACCCCAAGTCATCACCCACGAATGGCCTCTCTGGCTCCTGATCAAGCTGCTCAATGGCCATGATCCCAGAGACTCAGGAGCAAATCTCAAAACCCAGTGGCTTCTGGCAGAAATCCCTCCAGATTTAAGTGTTAAAATTTAGGAATTTCAAAATCACATGGCCCTACTGCAGCCATGCGACATCATATGTTATTCATAACCAGCAATAGAACACAAATTGTCTACTGTTGCCTTTTCAGCAGATCTGACTGTTGGGGTAAAATCTCAAATAATAATTGTGGGCCTGGTGTCAAAATATTGAATGTGATCAAAGTAGAGAGAGAGTAATGTGGAAATCATCTGCCCCACAGGTAGGGGAGGGTGTGGGATGGGGGTATACTGGGGTTTTTGGTGGTGGAGAATGGGCACTGGTGAAGGTACGGGTGTTTCATTGTATGACCGAGACTTAGACCTGAAAGCTTTGTAACTGCTCTCATGGTGATTCAATAAATAAAATTATAAAAAATTAAAAAAAAAAAAGAAAGTAATCTTAGGGAAAAGGGGCACACAGACATTGTTTTACTTAAATTATTTGGTCTGTATCATTTTCATAAAATTTATTTCATAATCTTCAAAGAACTACTTTACCCTGAGGTAGAAGCAAATTATCATACAGGAATATTGAATGTCTCATCTGCCAAGGGTTAACACCAAATTTTGTTTTTTCTTTTTGGGTCCCACCCGGCGATGCACAGGGGTTATTCCTGGCTCATGCACTGAGGAATTACTTCTGGCGGTGCTTGGGGAACCATATGGGATGCTGGGAATCGAACCCAGGTCAGCTGCGTGCAAGGCAAGTGCCCTACCTGCTGTGCTATTGCTCCAGTCCCAACACCAAAGTTTTTAAAAATTTCCTTTTTCACGCATAAATTCTCATTCCGGTGGTATTCTTTATTTTTTATTAGTGAAGGAAAATAGTTTTATTTATAACACAATAATTTTTTAATAGTGTCATAGTGATAGTCCAGCAGGTAGGGAGCTTGCCTTGCATGCAGCTAACCTGGGTTTAAATGCCAGCACCCCATATGGTCTCCTGAGACTGCCAAGAGTGATCCCTGAGCAATGCTGAGTGCAGCCCCCAAACAAAACAAAACAAAACAAAACTTCCTTTTAATTCACATTATAGAATTTATAATGTTAGAAGAAGATTTTGAAGAACTCCTTAATCAATAAATTATCAATCAGACAAGATACTGCTAGTAGTTCATACAATTAAGCTAGAGCAAATGCCAGCAGAGTAAACTCGACTGCTGGTCAGACAGTGTTCCTGAACTCAGCCAGCATATCACTTGGAATTTTGCTAGAAATCAGAGAGAAGAGAAAGGGAACCTCAAAAAGTAAAAGGAATTATACTCTTCAAAATTTGGGATGTGGAAAGCACCAAGATTAGTAAAATACTATCATTTTACTGGGTATCATTAACAATTACCTGAAGAAATTAAAACATTTTGTAATATGTGATAACTTTAGTACTTAATATATTATTAAATATTATGGCAATAACTTATACTTTGGAAATATACTTACTATCATTTTCTTTTGGCACTGATAGGCACTAAAATCATTTGGTCTGTATCTTTTATGAGCACCATCCTCATTGTTTACAAGAAATTCACCAATTGGGACAGTTCCTGTGCACCATTCAAGAACACCACTTCGCTGGGAAAGGGGAACCACCTGAAAGGAGAAAGTGGAATACTCTGGGATATGAAGGGCATTAAAAGACATTTGAGCAGAAAGTCCTGACCCTGCACCAGGCTCTCTTCACTGGGGCACCTGGGGTGGGGTGGGGGGTGGGTTTGAGTTTCCCTCCCTGCCCCAAGCAGAATCCCAGCAGCCTAAAACCTCCAGAACGCAACCACGGCCATGCTCAAGGCCATTCTCCAAGTGCTCAGATGAGCCTCACCCATGAAGGAACAGACAGAGGAACCCAGGTATGTGGGACCCATGGCTGAGATCTCCAAGCCAGCTCGATTGGAGCTGGGCCTCCTCCCCCCAGGTACCCAGTTTTCCAGTAGCTTGGTAGTCACACCCACAAACTGCCCCCAGGTCATATAATCTCATCAGCGGCCAAGATCCAGAGACTATAAACTAAAGCTCCTGGTAGAGAGTGATACAGAGTTCCTCTTATACTCAGGCCCACTTATGTAGCAAAAGTAGCACACATCTGTTTAGTTTTAACACACTTGCTTGTATTCTTACATACAGGCTTAAATGGCTCCACAATGAAATACAACAACCTTCACACACTTCCCTTTTATTGAAGTGCTCGGTACTCGGTGGTGGAATTGGTGTTTAAATATTATGTGCAATGAACTATTGTGAACTACCTTATGAAAATAAAATATATCAAAAAAAATTGCCAAAAATAAAAAGACATCTAACATGCATTCAGCTAGCAAGTCATCGTGAAACATTTTTCCAGTTGTATGAACAGGTCCACAGGAGACAAAGCTCCTTGGGGAAAAAAAGCAACAGAAAATTATTATTCTTCTTATTAATCTTATTCTTATAAGATTTTCTAGTTGGCTGATTAGACTTCGGAGAATCTCATTTCTTAATTTCTGTAATTCCTGTCATGATAGGCATCATCTGTGATGTTGCCAGTCTTAGTTTATTTCTTTTAGTAGAGGAATAAGCTGTTTTCCTCCTACTTTTCATACCAATAAAATCTAAAGAATATCCCTTTGAAAAAACACTGAACATCTGATCAATTTTAGTATATCTTAATAACTGCTTCACCAAGAGGAATTTATTCCTATACATAAACTGAACCATATTTTTGGGAGTAAAAAAAATTATACTCTACCCATAGCTAAAATATAGAAAATAATGAAGCAAACACCCACTAAACAGCTTTATCAAAGCTAAGAATTTTTTCCATTCCCTGGAAAGAGATTAAGTCCTAAACTTTCATGTTCACAACTCAAACTCTTATACTCAGATGTAAACATTGAGTTACTTAAATGTTAAAAGAGTTCAGAAGCATAGAAAAATAGGTATTAATAAGCCGAGGTGAAAGTTTAGTTGTTTTTGCCTTCGAAGTTTTCTGCATCCTAAACTTTCCTCTTTTATGCCATGCAGCAGTGAGCCTTGGAGGCTCAGTTAGGCTTCTGCTTCAAAACCTTAGCTGCTTTATGAGAATATGAAGTCCTTAGAGTCAAACTATGTGATTCTGATGCCTGCTAAATTTGAATAGCACTGTTCAACAACATCTAAGAACGCTATAGAATATTTAAATATATAGAACATTTTGAGGGTTTTTTTGTTTATTTGTTTTTTTGCTTTTTGGGTCACACCCAGTCATGCTCAGGGGTTACTCCTGGCTCTGCACTCAGGAATTACTCCTGGTGGTGCTCGGGGGACCCTAAGGGATGCTGGGGATTGAACTTGGTCAGCTACATGCAAGGCAAATGCCCTGCATGTTGTACTCCTGCCCACATCTTGAGTTTTTGCTAAGGCTTTTTTTTTTTAAAGTGCTTATAGTATTGATTATTAAGGTTAATAACCCATAAACTTTCATGGCAATTTCTTTTTTTTTAAGTGCTCATGGTATCGATTATTTAGATTAATAACCCATAAACTTCTATGACAATATTTTAAGTGCTCATAGTATCAATTATTAAGGTTAATAACCCATAAACTTCTATGACAATTTCTCACAAACTTGAAGGCTAAGCAAACCATGCTATTTCCTAACGACAATATGTTAACCACTTGCACTTCCTGCTGGAACGAAAGATTTGTTTTGCTTGTTTTTGTGATTTAGGTGGGTTATTTTTTTTGGGGGGGGGAGGGGTTGTGTAACACCCAGCAACCCTCAGGGGCTCCTCCTGGCTCTGCACTCACGGCTCATTGTTGACAGTGCTCTGAGGATCATTATGTGGTGGCAGGATAAAATCAGGGTCAGCTGCATGCAAGGCCGGTGACTTAGCCACAGTACTATCTCACTGGCCCTAATATTTCTATTTTTGAAGGCAGTTAAGAAGTTCGAATTTAAGTTCTGTTTTAAATTTTCAATTAGAATTTAAAAGGTATCTTCTCATTCTACTTTCCTATTTCATTTGTATTTTTAATTTAACAATTTTATAATTAAAGAATGGATGTTGTAGAAATTTAGAAATATATAAAAATGCAGGTGTTAATCATAACCCCTTTATACCATACATGACAACAAATATTTTAGATTTATTCAGAAATTTTATAAAGAAAAGCATAGTAAGCACATGTTTACAAACCTGTGTAAGGTTCTTTATTGTTTATTCATCTATCCTTAAGCCACAAACCGTATCATCTTCGTCACTAAAACTTTACCATTGTTTTAGTATATTTATAGATCAAAATCCAGTATCTCCTATTTCATTTTCCAGGCATTTCAGTCATAAGTCATTCCCATGTACACACACACACACACACACACACACACACACTTTTTTTTTTTTGCTAGCTGGGTGAAGGTGGGTCATACCTTGTGGTGCTCAGGGCTTACTCTTGGCTTTATGCATAAGATCCCCTCTTGGTGCTTGGGGAATCATATGCAGTGCTGGGATTGTCAGTGCGTGCAAGACCAGCACCTTAAACCCCATACTGTCTCTCTACCCCCTCAATACATTTTTTAAGCTAAAGGTTTGGACCAGGGATATGGCTTAGTGGTAAAGTGCAAGACTTGCATACGGGAGACCCAGATTCAGTCTCTGCCCTCACACCCCCATACTTTCAAGTAATTTATTCAAATTGTAAAAAAAAAATAAATTGATTGGGGGAACTGGAGAGACAGTAGAGCAGGTAAGGCACTTGTCCTGCATGTGCCCGACCTGGGCTTGCTCCCTGGCATCCCTTATGGTCCCCTAAGCAATTCCAGGAGTAATTCCTGAGTACAGAGCTAGGAGTAACTCCTGAGCATCACCAGATGTGATCCAAAAACTGAAAAAAAAAAAAAACTGGAATTTAATTGTTTATACATTAATTTGAAAGATGACCATTTTCCACTCCATTCCCATTTAACATGTGGTATATCTCCTTCATCCTACATACCTTTACTTTTTTTTTCCCTTATAGTTTTGTGATTTTATTTGGGGGGCTGGTGGGGGAGGGGGGGCGGGAATGAGTACTACATTCGTAGATTCTTTTTGCGGATCTGGAAACAAGAAATGGCACTCCAGGGGCAAAGTCGGGGTAACTGAGTTACCTTGTATGTACAGATAGTCAGTTTTCTCTTCCTGGTTTCAGTGTTTCTCTGCAGTAACATGTTACACATCTGGAAAACCTGCTGCATGACAGCGTCCTGCCTCAGGTCATCACGGCCCTTCAGAAAAATCAAACGTGAGGAAGTTAGCACCAGTCACTTCCCTTATAAAATCACAAGGAACTGAGGACAGCTAAAGGGTACTCAGACGTCCATCTGAGCGTCTGCACTTGGTCTCTAAGGTCTAGAAGATCCTTGACTACTCTTTCATTGAGAATAAGCTAGACCTCTGGATAGGCAGAATGATTTAGAAAAAAAGAAGTTTCCCTTGGCTGCTTTAGTAGGTAGGTGGTGAAATTCCCTTACCCAAGGCATGGTGCAGAATGAGGCCCAGTGAGCCCAGACAGCCCACAAGTGGCACAAGGGGGAACGCCAGGCCTTTCTGGAGCATTTAACAACACTTAGCACAGTGTCAGATTCAGGAGGTGAAAGCAAGTAACTCCAAATTGAACTGTTCAGGAAAATAAGCAACTATCACCATTTTCTCTTCCCACCCACCTCCCAACAAAGTAGCAGATTACTAAAATCATTGTGTCTGGACATGTTCAAATGATTTTTCACTTCACTACTATGATTTGATCTTTAGAGAGAAAAACTGGGGAGAAATATTCTCTACTTAGAAAATGATGTATTTCTATTCTGTCAGTTTTCCTCATTTATTAAGAATGAAAGTGAAGACCTCAATAATGTGAAGAAAAATCTCAACTAGTTTAACTATCTCCCATAAGCCATATAAAAAGAGACTAGAGAGGGAGAGCCTCACCTTGACAAGTTGTCTTCTTTCCTTGCCATCGGAGCCCAAACAGTCTATTATTTTTGGCAAATTTAAGCCTCCTGCTAAACGAAATTCTGCTTTAAATGACTGGATAGTCACCAGATTTCTATACTCTCCGGTGGGATCCACCTAATTAAAAGGATAACCATGATAGTAGATCAGATACACTATCTGCATTTAAAAAAAATGAATTATAAAAATGACATTCCTTGTGTTAAATAAGAAAGAGAGACAGTGAATTCTGTTATGAACTGGAACTAAACAATTTAAATTCTAATGAAAAAATTGACATTTTAGAAGGTTTAAAAGAATGATAAATATTACACAATTACTTCCCTAGTTTTTTTTTTTTTAAATAAAATCAGGGCTTACAAGTTAAAATAGTATGCGGAAAATCCATCGAAAGACCAAGACTTAGGTATTAACACTTGTGTACGTAACTCATCTGAAAACAGCAAACTCCTCATAAAAACACCATAATGTCTATTTTGTAAAGAGTAAAGAGGTATTTACTAGCTTCTAACTGCTAAGGGACATTTTCAGTAAAGATTCAGCTAAATAATTTTGTTGATAAAGCTGTAAAGCTAAGTTATACAAGAAGAAATAATGTAAATAAAAATAACTTTTCTAAACCAGAATCTTCATTTTTATACATATCCTTAACAATATTTTACTTCCACCAATAAAAGATTGACCTGAAATAGTCAAATACATAGCTTAATACTATGTCACTACCAGTATATTTTAATGGATACAGATTTTTTAAGATGTAGATTTTATACCAGGTAAGGCTCTTGCTTTGCACACAGCTGACCCAGGTGTGATCCCCAGCAAGCCAGATGGTCCCTGACCCTACCAGGAGTGATCTCTGAGCACAGAACCAGGAGTAAACCTTGAGCACAATTGGAAGTGGCCCCAAACAAGCAAAGAAAACTATCAGGGAATTTCCTGCCATGTCAAAGTTAATCTTTTTGTTTGTTTGTTTTGGGCTGGAGCAATAGCACAGCGGTAGGGCATTCGCCTTACAAGCGGCCAACATATGTTGGCCGACCCAAGTTCGATTCCTCCGCCCCTCTCGGAGAGCCTGGCAAGCTACTGAGAGTATCTCGCCCGCACGACAGAGACTGGCAATCTACCCGTGACGTATCCGATATGCCAAACACAGTAACAACAAGTCTCATGATGGAGACGTTACTGGGCCCGCTCGAGCAAATCGATGAACAACAGGAGGACTGTGACCGTTTGTTTGTTTTGCTTTTTGGGTCACACCCAGCAATGCACAGGGGTTACTCCTGGCTCTGCACTCAGAAATTACCGCTGGCGGTGCTCAGGGGACCATATGGGATGCTGGGAATCGAACCCGGGTCGGCCGTTTGCAAAGCAAACACCCTCCCCACTGTGCTATTGCTCCAGCCCCACTAAAGTTAATCTTGACATAGGCACACTGAATCTTTCCTCCTTCTGACAAAATTAAAATAGTCTACTGGGTTTTATGAAATGAGACAGGAGGTAGAAAAACTGATATTTAATCACGTGTGATCTACAAAAAAAAGTCTATTTTAAACAGTTGTGCAAAATTTTAGTTAATGAAAAAAAAAAGCTAATGGAACATTACCTTAATTTCCATAGTTGGGACAACAACCTCTTCTAAATTCCGAAGTTTTGTAATTGGCTGGTCTGCTGGAATAGTTATGCCTTCTATATTTAAAGAAAAATGGGTCTCAGTAAACTCTGTACGTGGAGGAACAACACTGAAATAAAGCAGAACTCAGTGCCTCACCTCAGCCTGGGGCTAACCTGTGGCCCAGGCCCTGATTTAGAAAGGAAGACCCTAGAGTCCGGGATAATGGACCAGAGGTCAGAGCAGAGCAATGGTTAACATGGCTCATACTTGAGTGTGTTACCTGGTTACCTGGCACTTGTACTTAGACCTTATTTCACCAGAGGGGTCAGGCTGAGCACCTTAAGCTAACTACGTAACGTTCTACGTAATATACAATTACTCTGTCACTTTACTATGTAATGTGAGTGAGGGACAGGACTGTATTCTGAGCTTCCCCGGAGAAATGTTATTGAAGAGATGTTTAAAATAACATTTTAAAGTTAATAATTTGATTATGATGATACGATTCTGAATAGGAAAAGGAATGTGAAAGTATGGGGAGAAATATACAAAGGAAGGTGCAGAACCAAATATTCTAAACAGCTCAGAATTACTGAACAGACACAGCAAAAAGGGTGATGGACTGAGGCTGGGAAGAAGGTTCAAAGGTCCCGTGAGCACCAAGAGGAGTGAAGCCTGACCCTGGAGGCAGAAGCAGCACCCTCCTGTCCCACCAAAAGTGATGGGTTACATGTAAAGGGCTCATTCTAGTATTTATGAAGGCACTGGTAAGACCTTTTAAGTTTAAGAGCATAAAAATAGCCACCATAAAACCTTTGACCTTGGGCAGGCAGGGAGGTAGCTGAGTGGTAGAGCACCACCAGCCTTAGGAGTGAGGCCCCTACTTGGATTCCTGGCATCACACACACAACAAAAAGTTTGACAATTTAAAGTCTTATTCAGTTACTTTCATCAATCTGTCTCTATGCAATTCTCAGCAACAAAAATTTGCACTAGATCACCCAGTGCAATCATATAACTGATTTAGTGCACCGAATATCAATTTCACCATATATGTGATAACAGATCTAGTAGCCTCAACAATTCTGTTAAGTTATGATTATGGGTAAATGGTAATCAGGGTCTTCATTATCTGCACTTACAATACTGTGATTTTATTTATTTTTATTAAATCACTGTGAGACAGAGTACTGTGATTTTAGGGAGATTTACATATTATATTCTGAAATTATGTATCTCTAAGAGAAAAACAGCAAGGAAAGACTTCGTCTTCAAATACGTACTTCTCTGCATCTTCCACTGACTGGCATCTAGGTTTGCTAATATGATGTAAGAGTCACAGAGTGCCTCGACACTTTTGACCATCTGAGGTCTCCTATTTCTCATGGTATAAATTATTCTGTTTGCAGCCTCAATTCGATCCTAAGAATAAAAGCAAACAAAAAAACTTACACAAGGAAATACCCAACAAAGTTTTCAGTTATATTAACAAAAGGAAAACAGCTTATAAATTCAAACAAAGGAAGGACTGTGATCCCTCATTAACAAGGTCATTTTCACACACACAAAAAAATACAACAAAGGTACAATAATTTCAAAACATCCAAGAAATTACTTGGATGCCTTTAAATTTTTACTTTTTACTAAATGCTGTGAAAGGGAGGGAGAAAGTAAAAGTCCATTGCTTTCTTCTGTGCTTTATGAAATATTCAGAAATGTTCAACCGTTATTTGGTGACATAATAACAAAAGATTTATAAATTGAGAATTTTCAGTAAAACACATTTGTACAAGTCCCTGGGATTTAAGAAAAGCATTCTGGGAAGGAGCGCGTAGCGCAATTCAGAAAGTTATATATTTTGTCTGAAATACCTCATCAAGCTGAGAGCTTTGTTTAGGTGCCGTTTTAGTCATTCTCCTTCTTGCAGCTTCTGGCTTGGTCAAAAACTCGTCCTTGTTTGCATTTGCTAAGGCCAGTATAATGAACAGAGTATGATGGGGGTGATCCATCGAGATTCTTGAGATGAGCTGTCAGAAAATAAAGAACCACTTGTTTTATGCCAACGAAACAGAAAAAAATTATAAATCCTTTTCACTGTGTTCAACACTGAGATGTATGTTATTGTACTAGATGCTGCAGTGGGCAGAGTATGTGTGAGAGGAAATGACTAACTTAGATAAATGAGGGAAAAAAAAATGAGGAAAGGCTTATTCCTGTCCTAAGCTAGACTACTGACTCTAAATAATCTTTTCATATTTCCATTTCCTAGAGTGGAACAATAGTGCATTTTATGTAATAATGTGAAAGGAAAGCAGTTGGATTCTTTTTTTAAGGAGTGATGTATTTTTATTTTATTTACTTATTTTTTTTTTAATTTCTATTAGTGAGACACCATGAGGTACAGTTGTAGACTTACAAATTTTTGTGCTTGGGTTTCAATTATACAATGATCAAATACCCATCCCTCCACCAGTGCCCATTTCCCACCACCACGGATCCCAGTATCCCCCCCAACAACCCCCCCAAAGCAGTTGGATTTTTTTTCCTCAGGTTTACTTACATTATTGAGAACTTCATGAAACCCTAGGCCTCCCGTCATCTTGGTTCCCATTCTAGCAGCCAATTGGTACATAAGAGGCAAAAATTTATATGATGGAATCTTCATTCCAGCTCTCTACCATAAAGAAGAAAAGAGTGTGACAATGCATTTTCAGTATCTTTCTGTGCTCAGGGATTACTCCTGGCTCTGTGCTCGGGAGTAACCCCTGGTGGTTAGGAGACCATATATGGTGTCAGGGAATAAACTAGGGCCAGCCACATTCAAAGCCAGTGCTTTATTCCTGTGTTACCTCTCAGACCCTAAGAGAACACATTTTAAAAAATAATCTCTTCTTTTATCTCTCTCAGCTTCACAAACTACATGTTTTCACTTAGCTGTCTTTCTACTGAGTATTCTACAATGATTCATCATGAAGTCATAATATTTGATCTTAAACTGTGTTCAGGGATCTGGATTTTTATAGTCTCTGAGTCTTGGCCGCTGATGGGATTACAGATCCCAGACGAGAACAGTGCAGTCTTTTGCCCCCGCGCCTGGGTGTCCCTCGCCGGGACCCCTTGGAAGGGAGCGGGTCGAGCTTTCCTCCCCGCCCTGACCGGGGCTCCGGTAGCCGAAGACCTCCAGGACCAGCCACCACCATGCTGAGACCACTCTCCGCACACATGAAGGTACTGGCAGAGGGACAAAGCCACGCGGGTTCCGGGGCCGAGATCTCCAAGCCTACTCGAATTCGAGTCGAGCATCTTCCACCCAGATCCTCCAAATTCCAGTAGGCGGGGGTCACACCCACCACCTGGCCTCCTGGCGCCGTGTAATCCCATCAGCGGCCAAGACTCAGAGACTATAAAATCCAGATCCCGGAACCGCGCGGCTGCATTTGCGGCCGCGCGACATCTTATCAGAACTTTTCTTTATGACATCTTATTATCTCATTCCTACTTTGGACAAACTTGCAGGCTATCGAATGTAGCCTGCCCACAGGGCAGAGTCTGGCAAACTCCCCGTGGCCTACCAAATATGCCAAATACCAGTAACAATGATGGGTCTCATTCTCCTAAAGAGCCCTGAATGTAATCTCAGGGCTAGGATGAAAGAGACGTTACTGGGGCCTGCTCGAGGCAATCGACGATTAACAGGATGATGAAATGAAAAAAATGAAAAACTGTGTTCAGAACTGGCTACATGATACAGTTTGTATTCCAGGAGGATAAATGTGGATCTGGGCCTATGGGGATCTTTCTCTTAAGAAACCGTGTGTAGGAGCCAGAGAGAGAGTTCAGTGGGTAGGGTGCTTGCCTCGCACATGGTTTGGTCCTGGGTATTCCATTTGGTCCCCCAAACACCACCAAGAATGATACCTGAGTAGAGTCAGGAATTAGCCCTGAGAACAGCTGGGTGTGACCCCCAAACCAAACACAAATAACAACAACAAAACAAAACAAAACATGAAGTCATGTATAATACAATGGAGTACCTATTTTCACTGTATGCTAAGAGTAAAGGAATTAATGTGTGCACGTGGTAGGGACTGACAGTACTCGGTATATATCTGGGTCTTTCTTGCCCAAACAGTGCTCTGGGGTCCTGCCGTCTGCTCCTACACTGCTGCATGTGATCCAGTTCTCTGAGTTATCGCCTTGGTCCCAATGTTTACACCACTTTAATATTAGGTGTCATCAGCCAGATCTAAGAGTTTAAAATTAAAACAGGAAACGCTGCCTTGATATTCTCCTAATTTTATTTCTTTTTCAACTCCCTGACCAAACATTCTGGATACTTTCTTGTGGTCGTCGTCGATTCGTCGATTGCCTCGAGCAGGCCCCAGTAACGTCTCTTTCATCCTAGCCCTGAGATTATATTCAAGGCTATTTAGGAGAATGAGACCCATCATTGTTACTGGTATTTGGCATATTTGGTACGCCACGGGGAGTTTGCCAGACTCTGCCCTGTGGGCAGGCTACATTCGAGAGCCTGCAAGTTTGTCCAAACAAACAAGTTTCTTGTGGTAACTTAAAAAAAAAATAATAGAAAAGAACATATAAATTCTCTCAGCTAGACATAAACCTGCACCATCAGAGTTAATCGCATCCCTAAGTAAAGAACCAATACTTAGGGATGAAGAGTATAAAGAACCCTGACACTGAAGGGCTTATGTCTAAGCTTTAAAAGGCCTGGCAAGGACTGGGGAGGCAGCACAGGGAGTAAGACAACGGCCTTGCATGTGGCCAACCTCAGTGCGATCCTTGGCTCCCATAACGTCCCCTGCATACTGCCAGGAGTGACCCCTGAACACAGAGCCAGGAGTAAGCTCTGAGCACCATCAGGTATGGCTTCAAAACCCCCCAATAAAATAAAATACAATACAAGAGCACAGGCTAGAAGACTGGTTTCAAAATGAAGACTTGCCTCCATCATGCCATTGACTTCTGAAACTCCAGAATTTTCAAGCCAGAGGGAACAAAGTCGGAATATCCACATATCATGCTCTTCTCCACTTAATAAGCAGCTGATGTAATTTTCAACAGCTTTACATAAGAAACTTTTGCGATCTTCTTTCAGAGCACGGAGGGCACATTCGTCTAGCTCAAGCTCTCGCTGCACTTTTACTGTGTATCTTGTGTCGCGTGACAAAGCAGATCACAAAGTTATATTTCATAGAACTCAAAAATCATACATCATGTACAACATAAGTGAAAAATCTGCATACTGAGCACAGGAGACAAAGCAGAATTTGAAGGATTGCAAAATAATTTTACTTTTGTTGTCATTTTACTTTTGTGTACGTTTCAAAAGCTACCCTAGGCAAATAAGGTATTTAGTTAACTACAAAATAAATGCCTCTTACTTATACCAAGATAGACAGAAGAATACTTCAAGCCTGTAATCTCCCCCAAACACGTATCTCACTTGCTTGTCTCTAGGTATCTTTGCTTGCTTGTTCTTCCCACTCTGGAGAAGCCTGTGTTCTTTCTTGAATGCTTCTTCTTTCTCTCCCTTCAAGTCTTTCTAAGCAAGTTTCATTCAAGAAAAACTATCTTGCTTCACTGAAAGAATGTATGTGTGTATGCGTGTATATATATATTTATGTATACATGTATATAATTTTATATATATACATTTAAATACATACAAATATATATATTTATGTGTATATGTGTATATATATATATAAATATATTTTTTTTAACAAATCAAAGGCAGGTTTGAATAAAGGGTTTAATTATATCAAAGTAGGTAGCTATTTTGTATTTAATTATTAACACCTCTTTTCTAGTTGTAAACAATGTAAAAAAGCAAAACTCAATGCAAACGTTCACATACTTGAAATGAGTCGCAATTAGTGCATGGATTCTTCAGAAAGAGACCTGAGTCCAAGGGCCAGGGGTAATGCAGAAGGGCACATGGCGAGCATGTGAGAGACCTTCATTTTAATCCCTGGTAGCCCCGAGACATCACCAGACAGAGCCTGGAACTGCACCCCCTACCCAAGCACTGGTTGTGGCCCACATTTAAAAATTAATAGAGGGCTTGGAGTGGAAAGCACTTGCCTTGCAGGCACCGCATATGGTCCCTGACAAGATGGGTGTGCCCCCCAAAACCAAAAAGGAATACTTAATTACATTAAAGGATAGAACAAGGTCGAAGTCTCATAGATTCTGATAAACAACTATAATCTCAATAAGCTAAGTTGCAGAGTTCTAAACTAAAGGTGCCTGCCTAACTTATGGCTGGCCCAGGTTCGATCCTCAGTACTGCATATGGTCCTCTGAGCACTGCCAGGCTTCACGCTTGAGCCCTGAGAATTATGGCCATGGCCCCCAAGCAAAACAAAAATAGGTAAATGTCATGTGTTTTTTTAAAAAAACAGTCATGGGCCTGACTGGAGAAGATAGTACAGGGGTTAAGGTGTTTTCCACGCATGTGGCCGATCCTGGTTCAAACCCTAATACCACATCCTCTCCTGAGCACGTAGCCTGATCACCTGTGGGTTTGGCTCCAAAACCCCTACCTCAAAAGAAGCATAGAAGTAAACAGTCGAGTGGCCCTTTCTATGCATATTCACTCAGTTTAATGTTGTATGTAAAACCGTCACTTGTAGACAAATTTACCTGTTGGTCTGAATTTTATGTTCCCTGAGAAGGCCCACTTCCTCTTTGGCCCTTTTCAAGAGATTTTGCTTATTTTCAAATTCTGATGACTTCATGTAGTTTTCAATTCTCTGGTACTGAGTATCAGAGAACCGTGCTAATGAAAGATATGCCCTCATTTTTCCATTTTTGAGCTCATCATTGCTTTCTCCATCAACATTTCCAGCAACTTCCACGGCCTGCGAAAGAAGACCACAATTCACTTCTATTTAGATGCAGGAGCACCTAAAAACCACTCAGGTCTAAGACACAGCAACACGATGAGTTAACATTTATGAGCTAAAATTATGGACTACAATATTTTCTTGACTTTACAACTTTGGCAGTTCAGAAATAACCAAAACAGCATGTATTGGTATAAAACTTAAAGTCAACCACATTACATTTTTCATGTTACACTTATTTAGTGAGGTGGCTGTTTTCAAAATTAAAAAGAGAAAGAAATAGGAAAATTGGAGAACTGGAGAACTTGGGGCCAGAGTGATAGGACAGTGGGTAGGGTGCTTGCCTTGCATGCAGCTGACCTGGGTTTGATCCTCCGAGTCTCCCTGGATCATCCCTGAGTATAGTGCTGGGAGTAAGTCCTGAGCACCACTGGATGTGGCCCACAAACAAAAAACAACAAAAGCAAAAGGGGCTGGAGAACTTAAGTTCTATTTTGTAGGCTAGTTGAGGTACAAATGAATAAAAGCTGACTTGAAGATTATATAACCGGCTAATTTTGTAGATAAGTGAAAAAACAACAAAAATAATTTTTGAGGGCCAGAGTGATAGCACAGTGGGTAGGGAGTTTGCCTTGCACATGGCCAACCTGGGTTCAATCCCCAACATCCCTTATGGTCCTCTGAGCACAGCCAGGAGTAATTCCTGAATGTAGAGTCAGGAGTAACCCCTGAGTATTGCTGGGTATTTCCCCAAAAGCCAAAAAATGATAATAATAATTTTTGAAAAGAAGAGTTGGTGTGGGGGTACCAAGAAGATACTCTATTTTGAAAACTTGCTTCTTCTTTCTTAAAATTGTATTTCTATCTTGCACTGCAAAAAAAAATGTAATAACTATACAAGGCTACAACAATATTTATGGAAAAGTAAAAACATATCTTCAATTGTTTTTGAAATGCATACACTATCAATAAAAAAGACAGTTTATCTGGACTAAATACTGATCTGAAGGTTTGTTCAAAAATCTTACCTTTTCTAGGTAAGTCTGCATAATGACTGTAGGATTTTCTAAGCATGTTTCTGCTAACCAGTTGCCACAAACCCTCAGGCACTCTGTGTATATAAGTTTTAAGTTGGGATCATCCTAGATATAAAAAGCGAAATCTTACCATATACTCATTATCATGACTACGCAACTCTCTCTTCTATGCAGGAGAAAAAAGCAGGTTAGCAATGCTGCTTTTCAACTACTTTCACCATCCAACTATTTTAAGAATATCAAGAATGGAAGTTTATGAACAATCATCCTCTGCTGTTTATTATTAGCATTATGGGGCAACTTACATTTACTGAGTACTTCTAACAGCATCAAATATAAACTCATTTAATCTCATGAAGCAAACCCAATGACATAAATACCATTATTATCCTGAATCTTATAGAGTAGAAAATTAAAACTGAGGTACAAAGAGAGTAGATAAGTCAGTATTGTTATGCAATACTTAAAATCACACTGTTCCAGCTCCTGGTGCTTTGGTGCAATGATGACACTCCTGAAAGATTGTCATCTTTTAGGTTGTCTTATAAGTGTCCAATACCACAAGCACACGTAACAGTCACTACCAGGTGGAGGTTCAAGTGACCAAACATTTATAAACATTTAATGATTCCTAAAGGTGCCTCTACTCTGGCCACTGTAAGCTGGCGATAAAGCTGTTTAAGAACTGCACTTGCAATGACAGGTCACATTAGATAAAATTAAACATGACTGTTTCCAAAGTATTCGAATTGACAAACTTATGCATGAAAAGTTGCTCTCCCCTCCTTACTTTCTCTTCTAATTTTTTATCTGTAATTTCAAATTTAGAATAGACATTTCACGTTCGTTTCCCACATGCCCCTTCTAAGAGTCTATAAAAGTTTTTCAAAAAAGGCTTAACATTGGAATAAACTATAAATCACAGGTAGATGAATAGAATTTTATAAATAGGAGAAACAAATACTTTCTTTTTTTTTTATGTAGGAGTACTGCTATTTATTCAGCCACTGATTAGCTGATTTAATTGGGCATAAACTCCACAAGAAACAAATACTTTCTAAATGGACATATCCTAATTTCCAAGAACTTTTATAACTTATTTATGTATTAGTAAGTATAAGGCTTTAATATAACTGCAGATTTATCAAAATATTTGAAAGCATGGAAAATTTTTAAAATAATATTTTTAAAATAATAATTCAGTTATTTTTTTTTTTTTAAAAAAGCAAACCTCTGCACAACTGGCATCCAACTTCTTGATCATTTGCTTGAGAATGTTCAGGGCAAGGCTCTGTTCCTCTTTTGCCCAGAATACCTGGGCTTCCTCCAGCTGCCACTCAGAGACTCCACAACTAGCTGGATTATATTGTTTAATTTGAAATATTGCCCTTTCAGGGAGCTGAAACGAAAATGACATGGGAATCAGGACTTTTACTTCCTACTAGTAATAATAATAAAAGCAGTAACTACCCTTCATGAGGACCTCGCTGTTCATACTGTCGTAAACAGATTTATGTCTATCTGGCTCTCACTATTTCTAAGTGATTACAGACAATCTGTCTGTACACAGTATATAAAACCACTGACTTGTTATCAGTATGTTAAGCTAGGTACCTTATTTCATAACCAGAAATTTGAGGTTAGCCAGAGTTCCTTGCCTAAACCTTAAACTCAAACCTTAAAGTCTAAACCTTAAAGTCTAATTACAAAATGGAGCTTTTAAACAAACTAAGCTATATAATTTGTGTCTGAAATCACAAATCACAATCACAAATCATCCTGTTATTCGTTGATAGCCTCGAGCAGGCCCCAGTAGCGTCTCCTTCATCCTGGCCCTGAGGTTATATTCAAGGATCTTTAGGAGAATGAGACCCATCATTGTTACTGGTATTTGGCATATTGGGTACGCCACGGGGAGTTTGCCTGACTCTGCCATGTGGGCAGGCTACATTCGGTAGCCTGCCAGTTTGTCAAAGTAGGAATGAGATGTCATAATAAGATGTCGTGCGGCCGCAAATGCGGCCGCGTGGTTCCAGGAGCATCTGGCCAGGTGCTCATTTAGTCACATCATTTCCCGGAAAAAGAGAGCAAGCATGTGTCTGAAATACGCACAATATAATTTTAATCACAGCTGCTCTCTCAGTAACATTTATTTTTTTGACTCAACTCATGCTTTCTGTATCCTGGATAATGAAAGGAAATGTCAAGAGGTGAGACAGCATAGTTTCAATCCTATTACCTGAGTGTTCTTGAAAGTTCGAGCTAGCGTGGAGAGTTCTATGAGATGCTTGGTGAGAATGTCCTTAAAACATTCTTTCTGAGCGTTCTCCATCTGCTTTTCCATCAAGATCTCCAAAATTACTGTGCGCAGAGCCATGATCGGCTCCTGAAAACTAAAATCACTGTCTTTGAGAAGCTGAGAGTGTTTTCTCCATTTATTGTATATTTCTGTAGGTGGCTTGCCAGTGACCGATCTGAAAACCAAGTAAGTCATGTAAGCAAAAGAAATTTTAAAAATTGCTATTATGCAAGTTAGGAGTCTTTTTTCTTTTTAAAAAATTTCTTATTAGTAATTCAATCAGCTAATCAGTGGCTGAATAAATAGCAGTACTCCTACATAAAAAAAATAAATAAAATTTGTTATTAGTGAATCACCATGAGGTACAGTTACAGACTTACAAACTTTGTGCTTCGTTTCAGTCATACAATGATTGAGTTCTCATCCGCCCACCAGTGCCCATTCTCCACCACCAATGACCCCAGCATCCCCCCATGGCAGGGCATTCCCTTTTGTTCTCTTTCTGCGAGTTAGGAGTCTTAAGATGTAATAAAGGAGTTTTTATTACATTTATTACACGATGGAAACTTCTAAATAATGTTTTTGCGTGGGGCTACACAATGCTCAAACAATGCTCAGGGCTTACCCCTGGCTCTGCATTCAGGGATCAGATCACTCCTGGGAAGGCTCAGGGGAACATACGGGAGATGCCAGGGATTGAATCGAGACCAGCCGCATGCAAAGCAAGAACCCAATCTACTGTACTGTCCTTCCAGCCCTCAATGAAACAGAAATAATTTAAAATTAGGATCAAAGTTTGGAAAACTACAAAATGATCAGAGCTCTGGGAAGCAATCTAGACACTACAGACGAAGACCACGTCAAGTTTTTATTTAAAAATACCCTCAGCGCATATGCTGCCTGAGCCCATGTGCTGCTTGCGCCCACGTGGCCGAGCACATGTGGTGCCCGAGCACATGTGTCGCCCGCATCTCTCCTCTTGAGATGTGTACTTTCATGCTTTCGTGTCTAATGCTAGGATGTGTGTAGGGGCTCTCTCCGCCCTTGGAGAAGCCCGTGTTCTCTCTCGAGTACGTTACTCTCTCTCCCTCTCTCTCCCTCTGTACCTAAAAATCCTCCAAATAAAATCTATTTACATCAAAAAAAAAATACCCTTTAGGATGAGAAAGACAGTTCAGGCTGGAGCTCATGCTTTGCATGTAGGACATCCGGGGTCAGTTCCTAGGGTTGCATGGTCCCCTGAGCATCACTGGCTGTGGCCCAAAAACAAACCAAAAATACCCGGCCTTCACAAAAGCAGGCATATAAATGAAAACTTTGTTGCTTGTTGTCGTCATTTGGGGGCCATTCCTTGGGAACACATTCTGCTGGCCTATGTACAGAATGCCTGCGCTTTCTGTATCCAGTATTCCGTACTCTGGATGTCTTGCATCCAGGTCCTTGGGACAAGAGGTCATGCCAACCAGGGCATGTAGCAAACTCGCCAGTGACCTACCTTGCCTCCAAGACCTGGGGGAGGGCTCTGCATAAATGCAGTTGCCAAAGAACCTAACCCAGTGAAGAAAATGCCGGCATCTGGCCAGGTGCTCATTTAGTCACATCACTCCCCGGAAAAAGAGAGCAAGCATGTGTGCATTAGTTAGTTTCTTGGAACAGCATATGCAGAGCCTATGTTCAAACGTAGCAACATCATCCAGTCTTTCAGGACTGCTGTGCTGAGGAGTTGAGATGAAGCAGAGAGACCCAGAAGTCCACAGGTGAGGGCAGGGGGTGATGGCAACATGAAACTGGGAAGGATACAGTGACTCGAAACTTCTAATTCCTCCCAGAATGGTTCTAGAGCAGTCAGTCTCAAATTTTTTCCTGTTTGGAGGTTTTTTGGTCACATCTGGCAGTGTTCAGGGCAGTTCTTGGGGACCATGCAGTGCCAGGTGTTGACCTTGGGGCCTCCTGCATGCAAAGCGCATGCTCTGACCCTCTGACCTAGCTCCAGCTTCACAAGTCTCAAACATTTTTGTGTGCCACACACAGTGATGCTCAGGGATTACTCCTGGCTCTCCACTCAGGAGTCACTTCCCGGCAGGCTCAGGGTACCATACGGGGTGCCAGGGAAAACCTGGTTGGCCGCATGCAAAGAGCCTTACCCGCTGTACTATCTCCCTAGCCCACAAGCGTCAAACTTTGAACCCCTTTACAATCTTAGGAATTATTGAAGAGCCCAAAAAGCTTTTGTTTATTGGATTATGTCTACTTTTTATCATGAAGAACTAGGGGAAATTACAAAAAACTTAATTAAAAATTAAAATTAGTTTACTATATATTATAAAATTTAAAATTGTTTTCTTGTGCTGTGTGTGTGTGTGTGTGTGTGTGTGTGTGTGTGTGCGCGTGCGTGCGTGCGCGCTGCATAGGGCCATATTCAATGGTATTCTGAGGCTTTTTCCTGTTCTGTAGCTCAGGGGTCACCCTGGTGGTGCTCAAGGGATAATACCAGCCAGGGATCAAACCCAGGCATTCAACCCTCCTTCCTGCAAAGCATGCACACTGGCCAGAGGTCTATGCCCAGGCCCCTATCATAAATGTTTTTTTTTCATTTTTATTTTTTTAATCGAATCAGTGAGATAACAGAGTTACAATGTTCTTTATGATTGGATTTTAGTGATATGTTCCAACATCCTTCCCTTAATAAAATTTTTAATGAAAAGTATTTCTCAAAACAAAAAGATACTTTTGCATTTCTGCAAATCTCTTTATTAGACTGAGGAATTCTCAAGCCTGTTTCTGCATTTGGTTTGATGTTTTGGCTGAGATATATAAAGAAATCTAGCCTCATGGACATGCAATCGAGGAAGGGGGGAGTACATTTAATAGTCCCAAAAGACTATTGTGAAGATGTTTTTCTGACACATCACACAAAAACTTCACTTTACTTCATGGCAGAATAATGACCCCATTCCTATCACCTCCAAACCAAACAAAATCTTGCTATAATTAGAAAGATAGATTTGAATTAATGGGTCCCTTGGAATGGATTTTGGGGATCCAGGATTTTTCAGACAACACCAAGAACTGCCCTTCTCAAAGCTTAGCACATTAAGTGCAAAGCCAGAAGTCCCGAGAGCAGATTTTCCTGTGACCCCCCCACCCCGGCTTCCTTGTGAATCCTCTACGGGGTACTGTTACTGTCAGGGTTTCTTTGAGGACACTGCGCTCTCACTTCACTGGCTTTGTCTTTCACGATGCAATTTTGGAAAAGTATCCTATTTTCTGACTCTAAAATTTCTCCTTTCTACTAAAAAAAAGTATATTTTAAGATTTATTTTAGTAATGTAGAGAACAGACTATCCAATATGCAGACCCCTCCATTTTAGAAACAGGAAGAGAGGCTCAAAAGCACCAAGTGGTTTTCTCAGGGTCACAAAGTTTGAACTGTAACATTCTGTATCTTAAATAACTTTTCTCTGATGTTTCATTGTTTCTAAATTACTTCCTACTCACCATCTTAAGAGGCAATCTGCCCTAAACACGGACTGTAGTTACTGACAGTCACTCAATAAAGGCAGATGAATATTTCCTAAGAGTCTAATATTTCCTAGAGACTAGTCAGCAAGAAAACTACTCTGGGGATACTAGAATCAACATGAGAATGGGCCCCACTTTGAGGCAATTTCTAATATAGTATGGCAGCAGATCAACGAAATGACACAGTACTGTACAGCGGGGCAGAATGTGCTTTAGCTAAAATAAATAAAAGTCATGGTCACGGGCCTCCCGTTGTTCATCGATTTGCTCGAGCGGGCCCAGTAACATCTCCATCGTGAGACTTGTTACTGTGTTTGGCATATCGAATACGTCACGGGGAGCTTGCCAGGCTCTGCCGTGCGGGCGAGATACTCTCGGTAGCTTGCCGGGCTCTCCGAGAGGGGCGGAGGAATCGAACCCAGCTCAGCTGGGCTGACTGTGCACAAGGCAAACGCCCTAAATAAAAGTAAATAAAAATAAAAGGAGGAAACAATTTCATCTAGGGTAGGGCAGAGAAAATATGATAAAGCACAATTGAAGATGAAAAGAACATGCATCAGAAAGAGCGTCTCTGAAAACAGAAAGAGCATCTCTGAAAACGTTTATGTCAGTTAGAGGACAGGCCACTCTGGTAACAAACCCGCATCTTGATACAAGGGGAGAAACAAAGTTGTGTCTGGCTAGCTGCTTGCTGAAGTCCCTGCTGGGAACCCCCCCACCACAAAGCCGCCCGAGTCACGTACCTTGACACAAGCTCCCCAATGTTTTCCAGCTCGGTGATGGCCTGCAGTCTGCTCAGTGTGGGGTAGAGGGAATAGACAGACTCCAGGCTGCCCCTGCACATCTCTTCCACTTCTTTGACTCTGGGGGCAGAAAGGACAAGAGTCTCTGAAAACTAAGGAGAGGTTTGAGGGAAGTTAAAAATCCACATTTTGGGGGCTGGAGCAATAGCACAGCGGGTAGGGCGTTTGCCTTGCACGCAGCCAACATGACCGACACAGGTTCGATTCCCAGCATCCCATATGGTCCCCCGAGCACTGCCAGGAGTGATTCCTGAGTGCATGAGCCAGGAGTAACCCCTGAGCATCACTGGGTGTGACCCAAAAAGCAAAAAAAAAAAAAAATCCATATTTGGCTTCCACCCCTGAAGTGCTGGGGGAGAGAGCAGTTTAGAGCAGTTTGGATACAGAAGGGACCACTATGACCATGATGGCTGGAAGGGATCTCTCGGGAAGTGAGATGGGTGCTGGAAGTGGGTAAAGGACCAAACGTGATGGTGTCGCAGCAGCTGAATTGCAAACCATAATGACCAAAGGGAGGAAGGGAGAGGGAGGAGAAGTGCTCGAGGAGGTGGGGGGGGGGGGGGCGGGGGAGGATGCTGGGGCAACTGGCCATGGGAAATGTGCATTGCCGATAGACAGATGGGCTCTGGAACACTGTATGACTGAAACCCGATCATGAACAACTTTGTAACTGTGTATCTCACGGTGATTCAATTAAAAAAAAATAATTCACATTCTGGACTGGGGAGGTGAATCAAAGTATACAGTGTATGCTTTGCATGTGGAAACCCAGGGTTTGATCCCCAGCGCTGTACCAGCAGACCACCAGGAATGACCCAACCTCCCGTCCCTAAATGTTTGCAGGGACAAAGGAGATAGACAGCTCAAAGGGCTAGTGTGCAAGCTTCCTGAGGGGAGCTCTGGGTTTCATCCCCAACACTGTGGGTCCCTGGGAACTACTGGGTATGCCCCTCCCCCAGCCAAAAATAAACCAATCAAAATGCTTGCAGGAGAAAATTCACCGAGCATTAATACCTTAGATGTGATAAAAAAGGTAAAAAGGTAAAGGTCCTCCCACTGATCGTCGATTTGCTCGAGCGGGCCCAGTAACGTCTCCATTGGAGACTTTGTTATTACTGTGTCTGGCATATCCAATACTCTCGGTAGCTTGCCGGGCTCTCCGAGAGGGGTGGAGGAATCGAACTCGGGTCGGTCATGTTGGCCGCTTGTAAGGCGAACGCCCGATGTGGTAAAGCTATAAAATAATTGATCACTGGATATTGCCTACCACTTCCACATTATTTGGGTTTTAACATTGAATGACATGAGTTACATATTACACAGAGAGTATTTTTTGAGGAAATAGCAGGAAATGACAGAAACTAACTGGCCATAACCACCAAGCCTTGTCCCATCACCAGTGTAAATTCTTTTTTTTTTTTTAATTTATTTTTTTATTGAACCACCGTAAGACAGTCCATTACAAAGCTGTTCATGATTGGGTTTCAGTCACACAGCGTTGCAACACCCATCCCTCCACCAGTGTACATTTCCCAGCACCAATGCCCCCAATGTCCCTTCCTCCCCCCACACCCCCAGGCACCTTCTCCCCACCCTCCCCATCCCCGCCTCCCCCCTTTCTCCTTTTGGGCGTTGTGGTTTTTAATACAGACACTGAGAGGTTATCACGTGTCTCCCTTTACCTACTTTCAGTACTCAGTTCTTATCCAGCATGATCATTTCTAACTGCTGCTGTCACACAGGTCCCTTCTGTCTTATCTATCCTCTGCCCCCCACACACCAGTGAACATTCTTATGCTGAAAGCAGCTCTTTCAGGAAAGCTATGACATTGAATGCGAAAATATAGGAACTATTATACAATACCTGGCACATCTGAGCGTCTCGTAAAATGTGGAGAATTCTCTATCTCTTAGAGTCTGTAGTGCATTATATAGTGACTCATGGTAACTGCTTCCTTCTGCTCCTTTGCTGGGAAATTATTAAAAATAAATAAAAGAAAAATTCATTAGTAACAAATAACTCTATAATATGCATTGCACAAGCTTTACCAAACATGAAAAATTTAAACATAAAATTAAGATTTAGGGGCTGGAAGGATAGTATAGTGGGTAGGGTGTTTGCCGTGCATGTGGCTGACCCAGGTTCGATAACTGGCCTGAGTACCAGCAGAAATTTAATTCCTGAGTACAGAACCAGGAGTAACCCCTGAGCATAGTCAGGTAGGGACCCCCACCTCAAAAAAAAAATAATACTAAGATTTCTCCATTTTAAAACATGTCTACAAAGACAAACAATTTTATGGGCTATTTAAATTCTTCAAGCCAAAACAGGTAATTTGTCATGTTTTTGCTGGTTCCAAATATGATATATTTTCACTTATTTATTCTAAAAATTAAACACTATCTGCCAGACACTAGGACCAGGTTCTAGATATGCAGGGGTCCCACAGTGGACAAGTCAAAAGTTCTCCCTTTTCTTTTTTTTTTTTGAAGATGGGCATATCAAACCACTACCAAGGGGCCCTTCCTGGCTCTGAACTCAGGAACGACCCCGGCCATGCTCAGGGGACCATGTGTGGTGCAGGGAATTTGAACTAGGGTTGAAGCTACTGTAGCCACATGCCTTATTCTTGTACTGTATCTCTGACCCCCATTTTTGTGATATATGTTCAGATTTTGAGAAGGACAATGAAAAAGAAAAACATCTAATAGCAGCAGGGAAAATGTTGGTAATCACAACAAGGCAAAAAGAGAGATTGACTAGGAGGCTACTGGAGAATGGGCGATCAGAAAAGGCCTGTGTGAAGGTGTGATGTAACCAACTGAATATTAATTTAGTCTGACAAGTAACCAGGAGCATGTTAATGAAAAGCAAAAGAAGACACAACAAAGGGCTTTATATAGATACAGTTGGTTTGATGGAAAACCACAAAGAACTATGTGGTTATAATTTAGTAAAAACATTGGGGGTTGTATAGTATTGGAAGTCCTGGCCAGTGCAGTTAGGCAAGAGGAAGGTATCAAGGCCATACAGATAGGAAAGGAAGAGGTCAAGCTATCACTATTTGCACACAATATAATGCTATACTTAGAAAACCCTAAAGACTCTACAGAAAAGCTCCTAGAAACAATAGGTCGGTTTAGTGAAGTGCCAGGCTACAAAATCAACACCCAAAAGTCCATGGCTTTCTTATATACAAATATGGGAAGAGGAGAAAGAGACATTAAAAAAACAATCCTGTTCACAACAGTACCTCAGAAAATCAAGTACCTCGGAATCAGCTTAATCAAAGAGGTGAAGGACCTATACAAGGAAAATTACAAAACACTACTTCAAGATATAAAGGACACTAGGAAATGGAGACACATAGTCTGCTCATGGATAGGGAAGATTAACATTATCAAAATGGCAATACTGCCCAAAGCACTATAAAAATTTAATGCGGTCCCTATCAGGATACCCAAGACATTTTTTAAAGAAATAGACAAAACACTCCTGAAATTCACAGGGAACAATAAACCCCCATGAAAAGCTAAAACAATCCTTGGGAAAAAGAAGATGGATGGCATCACCCTTCCCAACTTCAAACTGTACAAAGCAGTACTAATTAAGACAGCATGGCACTGGGCTAGAAACAGACCTGCAGACCAATGGAACAGAGTTGAATATTCTGTCACAGACCCCCCCCCAAATATATGACCACTTAATCTTTGACAAAGGAGCAAGAAATGTGAAGTGGAACAAGGAAAGCCTCTTCAACAAGTGATGCTGGGAAAACTGGATAGGTACTTACAAAAAAATGAACTCTGACCTCGGTCTAATGCCAGGCACAAAAGTCAGATCAAAGTGGATTAAAGACCTCAATATCAGACATGAATCCATAAGGTACATAGAGGAAAATGTAGGCAGAACTCTTCACGACACTGAAGCCAAAAGCATCTTTAAGGATGAAACAGCACTGACCATGCAAGTGGAAGCAAACATAAACAAATGGGACTACATCAAACTTAGAAGCTTCTGCACTTCAAAAGAAACAGTGACCAAAATACAGAGTCCACAGAATGGGAAAGAATATTTACTCAATACCCATGTGATAAGGGATTAATATCCAGGATATACAAGACACTAGTAGAACTGTACAAGAAAAAACCTCCAACTTCATCAAAAAATGGGGAGAAGAAATGAACAGAAGTTTCCTCAAAAAAGAAATACAAATGGCCAAAAGGCACATGAAAAAATGCTCCATATCGCTAGCAATCAAGGAGATGCAAATCAAAACAACAATGAGATATCATCTCATACCACAGAGAGTGGCACACATTCAAAAGAACAAAAGCAACCAGTGATGGCGTAAATGTGGGGAAAAAGGGACACTCTTTCACTGTTAGTGGGAATGCCCACTAGTTCAGCCTTTCTGGAAAACAATATGGACAGTTCTTCAAAAACTAGAAACTGAGCTTCCATATGACCCCACAATACCACTTCTCAGGATATATCTGAGGATGCAAAAAAGCACAGTAGAAATGACATCTGTACCTCTCTGTTTGAGCCTCACATATGAGTGAACACATTCCTGGAAACATCATAAGACACTCCCTACCCTTTTTCCATAATTACCACAACATATGTGATGGGGTTCAGACAGTAGGCAACAAATACATTTCTCTATATAATATATACATGTATATGTTTAAAGAACAAGGCAACACCATGCAGGGGAGTTAGGAGTGGCCCACAGCACTGCCATTTTGTCCCCAAAATCCTCCAAACCAGTAACTGCAACAAAACTCCGTTTTTTGTTTATAGTGGAGAAATGACATTCCACAATGTCCGACTCTTACTTCACAGATGTGCAGTGGTCCCACTGCATGTTCCTCCACGCTGCTTGGTAATGAAGTTCCCGAAGGTCAGCACCCCACTCTTTATTCTCATGATCGAGTCCTTTCAAATAGATGGAAAGAATATGGTGGAGTCCCAAATTCTGCAAGGCCTGTGCAAGTAGTTTAAAAAAAATCAAAAAGTCAGCGATAAAACTACTCGGGTGAAAAAATAAAGCATCAAACATGCAAGGTTAACTTTAAAAATTTTATGCCACAGGTCTACAGTCATAAACCACAAATTCTAAGATATTTTAAAAAAATCTCTTAACAACCCAAAACAGAGCCTGAGAGATGGCAGGTAGAGTGGCTCGCCTGTGGCTGGCCCAGGTTTGATCTTGGCACTGCATCTGGTTCCCCCAGAACCACCGGGAGTGATCCCTGAGCACAGAATCAGGAAGAAGCTTTGAACACAGCCAGGTATGGCCCTACAGACTCCCACCTCCACAGGATTACAAAATATCATTTATCCAAACAAAAGGCACAGCTCAAAGGGCTTTAAAATTTGCTAGATAAATAGCTGAACAATATTAACTACTAACAGAAATGACAGATTCTGGGACCAGCTCCAATGCAAACTATAAGAAATAGTTTACAAGAGATTTTTCACGTGAAGCACTTAATAACACTATCTGGCACATCGTAGATAACTAAGACATGTCTCATTGTTAGTTAACAACCAACCAAGACTATCTTTCTATCAGTGATCTCTCTGGTATTCCCTGAGTAAGAGCCCAATACCTGGAAAACATGTACCTTTCAGAACTTCGTGCAGAAGTCTTTGGGTTGTACAAATATTCCACTGACATACTGAAATACTGGGTTTTATTGTATAATGGCCACTCAATTTTACGCTAATGTATTTTCTTTCCTTTTAAACACTGATTTTTATTTTATTTTAATAATCAGCTTTCTAATTATAGGGTAACATGGTTACAACAGTGTTACTGTTTCTGGTATTGATGTGCAAAGTTGCTGTACCCCACCACCTCCTAAGTACCTGAGATCTCTACCCCGGTCCTCCATCATGGCTGGTCACCTCTTCCTCCCCCACCACGCCTCCCCCCACTGCTTGCTAATCCGTATTGTATTCTCAGGCCAAGAGTTAACTGTTGTTATTCCATACCATCTACTTCCTTGTTTTGTTTCTCTGTGGTCACAGATGAGTGAGATCATCTGTACTTGCCCTTCTATATCAGACCTGTTCTGCTTAACATGTTCCGTCCAACTTTCATTTTATCTTTTAGCTACACAATGTTCCACTGTGCATGTGTACAACAACTTCTTTATCCATTCATCTATTGTTGGGCATTAGGGCTCTTTTCATTGCCTGCATGCCTATTTTTTCCTCCTTTCTTTTTTTTTTTTTTCTTTCTGGATCACACCCGGAGATGCTTAGGGGTTACTCCTGGCTCATGCACTCAGGAATTACTCCTGGCGGTGCTCGGGGGACCTTATGGGATGCTGGGAATCGAACCCAGGTTGGCCATGTGGGCTGCGTGCAAGACAAACGCCCTACCCGCTGTGCTATCGCTCCAGCCCCCAACTTTTTTTTTTTTTGCAAAAAACTAGGGAGTGGGATCAGAGCAATAGCAATAGCAATAACAGGGCATTTGCCTTGCACGAGGTCAACCTGGGTTCAATCCCCAGCATCCCATATGGTCACCCGAGCACTGCCAGGAGTAATTCCTGAGTGCAGAGCCAGGATAACCCATGCTCAGGCATGGCTGGTGTGACCCCCAAAGGAAAAAAAACCACACACACAAAAAACAAACAAACTGGGGAGTGACTATCAGGTCAAACTTCCAAAAAATTGTGCCAGCGTTACTGAAAAGAACACACAGACAAACAAACAGGGTGTGTGGTGGCAAAGATTATGCAAGGCAATACGGTAATCTCAGCACTGCACTAGCAGTGCTTTCTCTAGTCAAACAGGAAACCAAGGCACCTGAATGATTCCAGCCTGGCGGGTTGATGAGGAGATGGCTGTCTCAAGATCATACGTGACAAGGGCTTTCCCCCACATGGCTTCATGCTCGTACGTTCGGAGTCTGGAAAGAAAGAGTTTTAAAATTCCTTTGAATCCAATGTGCTCAAAACATCTTCGTGACCAGAATCGCTCTGCCTTTATCTCAGAAAATGCAATTTTACCTCGTGAGGGGCTGTAATACTTTCCCCCCGCCACAACCATACAGACTATCCGGCTCTCCGATGCTTCTGTAAATTTCTAAGAGCAGATCCTGCAAACATGGAAATGACAAAAACTGGGGTGAACAGAGAAAATCGTAATGGGTGATTCTCAACTTTCTATTTGTATTATAAAAGTCAGGCTGGAGCAATAACACAGCGGGTAGGTCATTTGCCTTGCACGCTGCCTATCTGGGTTCGATTCCTCTGGGAGAGCCCGCCAAGCTGCTGAGAGTATCCGGCCCATACAACAGAGCCTGCCAAGCTCCTCGTGGCATATTCAAAATGCCAAAAACAGTAACAACAAGTCTCACAATGGAGACCTTACTGGTGCCTGCTCGAGCAAATCAATGAACAATGGGAGGACATTGCTACAGTGCTATTATAAGTTAAATATAATATTAAAATATATATTCAATATTTGGATTATTTGGCAACAGGACAATTGTGGACTTCCTGAGAAGAAGTACCGTTTCATAAATCACAATCTGCCATGGGAAAAAAATCACAAAAATAAAAACAAGTCTGTGAACAACTGAAACTATACTAAACCCATCTAGCCTGAGTTTTGAAAAGTGCTTTTGGGAAAAATAAAGGTCATGGATGACATAGTACGGGAGTAAAGCATCCCACCTACTCCAGTTCGAATCCCCAGCACCCCAGGTAGTCCTGAGCCCAGAGTCAGAAACAGTTGCTGAGCACAGCTGAAAATTGTCTCCCTCCCTCTCTCCTCCCCAAAAAGTAAAGGTCATGATTTTTCTAAGAAAGAAAACAAAAAAATATGTAACTGGCAAAATGTGATATTTTTCTTTTTCTTTTTTTTTTTTTGCTTTTTTGGGTCACACCTGGCAATGCACAGGGGTTACTCCTGGCTCTGCACTCAGGAGTTACCCCTGGCGGTGCTCAGGGGACCATATGGGATGCTGGGAATCGAACCCGGGTCGGCCGCATGCAAGGCAAACGCCCTACCCGCTGTGCTATTGCTCCAGCCCCAAAATGTGATATTTCTTAAAGAAGCGGCTTGATGATTCAAATGTTTTGTAGAACTCGCACAGAAAATAACTCATTCTGTTTAAAAATCACCTCAGGGCTAGGAATATAGTTAAGTGAAGCATGCCTCACATGTGTAAGGCTCTGAGTTGAATCCCCAGCACCATGAAAGAGAGCAAGAAAGAGAAGGAAAAATGATTGCAGTAAGATAAACATGAAAACAGAAAAAATTCAGAAATTATATTTCATAGAAAATTGATCACTACCCTCCAAAAATGATCAAGTAACTTAACTGTTCTATCAATAATTGCTCCAAGAAGTACTTTTAAAATACAAATTCTGGGGGGCTGGAGAGATAGCACAGCGGGTAGGACGTTTGCCTTGCACGCGGCCGACCTGGGTTCGATTCCCAGCATCCCATATGGTCCCCTGAGCACCGCCAGGAGTAACTCCTGAGTGCAGAGCCAGGAGTAACCCCTGTGCATCGCCAGGTGTGACCCAAAAAGCAAAAAAAAAAAAAAAAACAAATTCTGTAATTCTAGTCGAACTTTTTCTATTCATAAACATGCTTCTATAGTTTTATATTTTCTACTCAATAAACATGAAATCAAGCTATCTCTGTTCCTAAGCCTAGCAGCGCACCTGATACACAGAAGATACATTAAAAAAAAAATCATAAAGAGATTTAACTCTAAAGAGGCAAAAATGGAAGGAAAAGTTCAGGAGCAGGGAATTGAAAATGGCAGAGGGCCAGGGGGTATCTCAGATTGTGGGAGCACTTGCTTTTTATATGGGACCCCTGAACTCAATCAATCCCCAACACAGCCAGACCACCACCCCCCACCAACACCATTGAGTGCGGCTCCCCCAAAATAAAAAGAAAGGTGGAGGTAACTTATTGCAGTCAAGGCACTGATGTTGCTGTGAGTATGAATGAAGCTGAATAAATGATGACTACAGAACAAAGAAGGCATGAAATTTCTGGCTAATATTAGCAAGGGTTTTATTTCAGTGGGGAGGGTGGGAGATGAGGCAACGGAGAGAGCGTTCTCTTCTATAAAGCTGGCTGGGAAGGGAAGGGTGAGGAGAGGGGTGATACTTAAAAGAAAACAGAGGGAAGAGGGAAGTGACTCTGTGTTTATTTGAAAGAGAAGGTTTCAGCAGGAGAAGCTTGAAAATGTTTGGTTATGTTAAGAGGAAGCACAGCATGATTTTTTTTAAATTTCTGTTTTCTCTACTTTAACAAAAGGGAACGTTATAGAGGGACTAGAAGTCAGGAGATTTCTATGGCTGATAGTCAACTGTGGAACTTCCTATGCGTGTATGTTCCTTGCTTTCAAAACCATAGGAGGCAAGCTAAGAAAAAGAAGCTTCAGCAAAGTTGGTAGGGTGACTGCAGAGGAATCAGTTGACCAAAAATTTAGTAAGAATGCCAGAAAGTGTTGTAAACCAATTTAAGAGTAAATACTAAGAAATTTATAGAGGCAGCAATCTACCTTTAGCCGAAGAACACTCATGCAATAAATGAGTTAACAAATATTTAAAGCTTATAAAGAAGATGAATGGGGTCTTATGGTGGAAAATATACTCACTGTATTTTTTACTTCCATATTTCTGATAAATAAATCCACATTTTAAGTGATTCTTTTTTAGTAAGTATGTAACTTAAGTGGTAATACTGAAGATCAGAATTCAAGTTTGTCTACTCCAAGGCCCAAGTCTCTGTTAATTTATATATATGAGACCCAGTCCAAAAAGTAACTTTAGTTTGAAAGTCCAATGATACCTATATAGTTTCTATAACAAAATAAATCAAAGTATAAGATAAATAGTATCACTAAAAACAGGGTCTGTTCTCGGAAGAGAGCAGCACACTATAGAGATGCCTCCTGACCGAAAAATCACTATCTGGTTAAAAAAAAAAAATTAACTCTAAGTCTAGTACCCTATAAAAAACGTTTAGTATTCCAGGAGTGTGCAGCTGCTTTTAGGGCGGCGTGACATCTCATGCAATTATGCCACTCATGTACCAAGAGTAGCACATCACATTTGATGGGGTGTAAGGTTGAAGACAACCACTCTTTATTTTAAAAAATAATAATAATATATGTACAGCGGGTAGGGCGTTCGCCTTACAAGCGGCCAACATGGCCGACCCGAGTTCGATTCCTCCGCCCCTCTCGGAGAGCCCGGCAAGCTACCGAGAGTATTCGATATGCCAGACACAGTAACAACAAAGTCTCCAATGGAGACGTTACTGGGCCCGCTCGAGCAAATCGACGATCAACGGGAGGGCCTTTACCTTTACCTTACCTTACATATTATGTAATAAATATATATATATACATATATATTAGCACATAAAACTCAAACTCTAATAACATGTTAATGATCTCTATTCCAGGGGCTTAATGGCTCCAAGATGTGATATAATAATTTTCACACACTTTCCTCTAAGGAAACCTTTTTGATCATTTTTAGTCAATAATCGTAACAAGCAACACAAAATAAATTACTTGGGAGGCTTGGGTGGTGGTGGGAAAACTTGAAACGATGGTGCTGGGAAGGTGTAATGGTTGTGGGATTGGTGTTGCAATACTGAATGTAATCAATTACTGTGAACAATTCCTTGGAAATGAAATTTTAAAAAGTAGGGTCTATAATACTAACCTGTAAACTTATTCCAGTTTCTTCTTTACTTTTTTCACTCAAACTAGAAATAGTTGTACTCTGGCTTCCTTCTTCAAACGTAAGATTTCTATTTGTTACAAAAAATGATTTCTTTTAATGAGATCGTACTATTTGGAAACTTACTGATACACATAACAAAGACGGACAGAAAAAACTAACAAAGTTCACACATAAAGCATAATGAACCATTGCTCTTCCAAAACATAAAACCATTTATGCCAAGTATGAAAAATAAACTTTTGAATATAAAATCTCTGAATGAGAATTAATTTTAGTGACAATCTCAAATACCTTAATATAATTACTTAAACAGACTTCATTAGAAATAAAGCATAGCCTCCAAATCAGTGGGGGGGGGGGGTTGTTGTTTATTTATTTATTTTATTTTTGGGAGGTCACACCCAGCGGTGCACAGGAATTACTCCCAGCATTGCTTGGGGGACCATTGGGATGCTAGGGATCGAACCTTGATTGGCTGCGTGCAAGGCAAATGCCCTACCCACTGTACTATCGCTCTGGTCCCACAAATCAGTGGTTTTACCTCAGATTCACTATTATCAGGAATGATATATATACAGGTTAAAGTATATCAAGATACCACGTAGTACCTGGTAAACTGACAAAAATTAGTCACTCTGATAATAGAAAGTGATGAGAAGAAAGTGAATCAGAAACTCCACTTACACTCAAGATATGATAGCAGCAAGTGACAGGATTAGAACCCAGATCTGTCTATACCAAATTTACCCATATGATAAACAGCTCTAAAAGGAACAGTTTATGCAGGCGATAGAGTCCATAACATAATCCAATATACTAAGGAAGTAATATTTAAGGGACAGCATCTTTGTTAATGACCTATAAACTTATTCCAGTTTCTTCTGGAAATACTTTTCTCTCAAACTGGAAATACTCTGGCTTGCTCCATCAAGTGACAGGGTCGTCAGTGCTCAGAGTCATTACCTTTTCTCCTGATCATCCAGGCTTTTCTTGTCAGCGTAGATTTCTGCATAGAGCAGGGCTGTGAAGTGAGCCGCGCAGGACTGGGCCACCTTGGCCACCTCCAGATAATTCAGCTCCAGCCAGAAGGCGTCATCAAACACAGTTCCCGAAGAAGGCCTGAAACAAAGATGAAAGAGAATGTCTTGTCCGGGTCTTGATTTCAATATCAAATGAAAGCACAGAGACACCTATGGAACGGCAGTGAGTCAACTCAAAAAAATTACCATAAAAAAAAAATAAACTGGGCTTTTCCACGGAGTCCACACTTCCTGAAGAGCCCTACTTCTCTTTTTGAATAATAAACTCTATAGTGGATGGGATGAAATCTACAGACTAGCATCCCAGGTAGATTTGGGGTTCACACTAACTTTCTGTACAGTCGTCATGGGTGGAACCAGGCTGTATCAGATAGCTAACAACACACCCAAATCTTTTTTCAAATAACCAATTTAATGACAATATTTCATTTAAGACAGTTTCCCCTCCTACTGCAATTCATTTTTCTCTTTAGTTTTTGACTAGACAGTCATTATCTGAGAAATCTCCACTGCCATAATAGTAAGTCAGAATGGAAAGGAACTATAAATGTTCTACTTTTTAATTTGTTTTTTTGGCCATAGCTGGGCATACTCTGGGTTTCCTCCTGGTTCTGGACTCAACTATTAACTCCTGGTGAAGCTTAGGGGACCGCATGGGGTGTCATGGATCAAATCTGGGTAAGCCCTGTACCATGCAAGTGCCCTACCAATTGGACTATCTCTCTAGCCCCAGTAATTTTCTTTCTTTTTTTCTTTTTTTTACTTTTTGGGTCACACCTGGCCATGCACAGGGGTTACTCCTGGCTCTGCACTCAGGAATTACTCTTGGCAGTGTTTAGGGGACCATATGGGATGCTGGGAATCGAACCCGGGTCAGCCGCGTGCAAGGCACACAGCCTACCCACTGTGCTATCGCTCCGGTCCCAGCTCCAGTAATTTCTAAAACTGATGTCACAGAGAGCAGAGTAGTGATAAAGAACACAGGATATGGGGTGGGATTCAGTTAGCCCAAATCCTGCTGGACAACTTACAAGCTGTAAGGTCTTTGGCAACTACTAAAGTCTCCATTTCCTCACTTGTAAAACTTGGAAATAAAACAATTCAGAGGGCTGTAATAATGAATATCGCTTATTTAAGGCTGGCGAATCAAGAGCCTGTTACATAACATACACTGGATTGCAGATATTCTGAGCAGCTTGAAGTTCTGAGATCACAACGCTTCTACATACTAGGCTTGGTCTTGACCCATTCAGGTTTTCTATGTCCCATTCAGATTTTCTCAAGGAATTTTCTCAAAGACTCCATTGAGAATTAAAACTGAATGGTAGGAATTTCTGTCTTTCCTAAGGCCTGCCCGTGTCAACACCATTCTACTCAATACATAAAAATAAGAATGACCTGAAGTGATACTGTCTCTCAATATCAAGAAAAGAGGTGCTTTACTATGGGTAAAGATTCTTACACGATTTCTCAGAGCTATATCTGGTGCAAAACAAAATGGTCCCTATTTTGGGTTTTTTTTTTTTGCTTTTTGGGTCACACCCAGCAATGCACAGGAGTTACTCCTGGCTCTGCAATCAGGAATTACCGCTGGTGGTGCTCAGGGACCATATGGGATGCTGGGAATCAAACTTGGGTTGGCCGCGTGCAAGGCAAAAGCCCTACCCACTGTGCTACTGCTCCAGCCCCTCAGAGTCATTCTTCGTGGTGCTCAGACTTCCTGGCATGGTGTTGTGGGGTGCTCCCGTTGGTGATCAGATGACAGCTCAGGTTCCTCCATGCAAAGCATGTGCACCATCTCTTTCTATCCGTGATCCCCAGGATGATTCTCTCCTAGTGGTACTCAGACCTAGTGGTGCTTGGCCCTGGCTGTGGGTGGAGTGGCAATGCCATGCCAGAGACCTAACCCAAGGTCTACAATGTGCAAAGCTTGTGTTGTTCCTCCATCTGAAATCACCCAAGATCCCAGTGCTCCTATTTGTAAGAGGGAAATGGAATGGTATACAGAAGAAATTAATTTGTTTTGGTTTTTATTTGGGAGGGGGAGTCTTCCAAACTGTCCCTGGACGTCATCCCAGTGATTCTCAGTCGACTGGACAGTGGTTTAATGAAGGGCCTGGAGGTGGATGCAGTGCTGCTCAGGGCCACAGCCAGTGTATTCGAGGGTCCATGCTGTGCTGGGGATTAACACTGGGTTGGACATGTGCAAGGCATGTGCCTTAATCTCTCTGGCCGCGAAGATATAAATACATTTTAACAGGTTTTAATTTTTCTCCCATTTTCACTCTGGGAGAAAGTTGTAAACTTGGGAGAAAGTCAAAGATCCGGTTAACTCTGGAAATTACCTACTCTATCAATTCCTGGGAGTCACTGTTGTATAAATCTCATGAAAAGTAACCAAGACACCATGTTGTAAAAGAATTGATCAGAATCAAGAAACACACACTGCCACAGAACAGTGTCACTACTGAAAAATCAGAGATTGCAAGGAACCTGGTACATAGTCAAGAAACTTGTGTCTGGGGCCAGAAGGTGCTGGACTTGCATGCAGATGATCCTGGCTTTGAGGCCTGGCACTGCAGGGAGACCTGAGCCCAGAGCTTGGAGTATCCCCAGCTAAATGTGGCCAAAAAAAATGACTCACTATTCCCATCTGTGCAGATGAATGAAACTAAAACCCCCAAACTCTCATAGTTTAGCAAACATACAACTGTTCTTGGGAGTCAGGACTAGAATCCGGCTCTCTTGCTGCTGGCTTTTCTCAAGTGACACCCTCAATGTGGGCTACAAGGTGAGACATCGCAGAGTTGAATACTGCATCCCCTTGAAGTAGCATCACTTAAAACCATCCTGCTCAAATTCAGCCCGAAGTAACGGGTACCCCTACCAAAGCCCAAACTCAAGTGGCGATATTCGGTTGTTACCTCTTCTGTCTCCTCATGTAGTCCACGACAGCAAGCATTGTTCTTTGGGACTTTTTATCCAAGTAACATCGAGAAAGGGACTCTGAATCTGAGAAACAAAAATACCTTCTTTCAGTCCAGGCAGACATGCTTAAACAATTTCTTGTTTGCCTCTGTCTTCCTCTTATTAAAAGGAGCTGGTGAGCAGTTATCAATCACAGAACTGATTTGGTTGTGTGTGTGAGAGCTAAAATTGAACCCAGAGCCTCATACCTGTGAAACATACACTACCACTGAGCCATATCCCTGGCTCCAACTTTAGAAAAAACTACTGTGTTCACTGCATGTAATAAAACTGAGAATGAAAGAAATCTTTCTGCAGTGCCAGAGAGCAAACCCTCAAACATGAGCTTCGTACCCTAACAAAAAGCCATAGTTCCTGCCCAAAATTATCATTAGTTCTGATGTAGGAAGCAGGACTAGTTTCACTGACTCAAAGGACATGTATCAAGGAGTTTTTATATACTAGCTGCTTGGTATCCAACCACGAATAAAACCATTTCCAAGCACACAGAGCTCACTGGTTAGTGAGAGGGACTCTTTATAGAAGGTGATAATGTTATTACAGGAAGCAGAGAAAACTATACAGGCATAGAGAAAGCAGAGTAACGGGATGTTTCTCAGGAAAAGTGATTTCTGACAGAAGAATAAAGGTCCATTAAGCGAAGAGGAAAGGGTAGTGATTCAGGCATCAGAAACACACTGACTGGAAACCAAAGACCTTGAAGAATTTACCGAAGGAATTTCAGTTCTGCTGAAAGATGGCTAGAAAGCGTAAAAGGAGAGTGGAGACAGGGAGAGAGAAAGAGACTAATGTTATTAATACAACTGGCAGCATTTGGGAATGGGATGAACGTGTGACAGAGGTTTCTGGGTTGGATATGCAAATGGCGATCCAGAGGAACTTGTGGAGAGAAAGGAGCAAGTGAAGGGAAGGGGACAGAGAGGGTAAGGCTCACCTTAGCTGAGTGGGACGTACCGACATCAGAGATGGGCCTTTGATTATGGAATTCAGACTCACAAGCATCTTGAGAGGATTCAAACAAGCTTACCTTTTGCAAGAACCGAGAATTTAACGGTGTAAATTCTAGAAATGAAACAGAATACCTGAATCCAAACTTGCTGGGGTTGTGGATCGGCTTGTTTGCGAGGAGTGTCTGTAACAGTTAGTGAAAAATCCCTGGATATGTGCAGAAAGCAGATTTCTCCATGATTTATTTCTATCTTGGAGTAAAATATCATGAATCAAGTAGGGAAGCACAGTCTGACAAAAGTCAGTTTTCACCTAAAATACACAAATACAATATATAGTATGAATAAAAATCAAACACATAAAACAAAGCATACATCTGTATACAAAAAAATATGAATGTATTATGAATATACATATATATAGTCTTTCATTGTGACTAACATACTAACTTTGAAAAACACAGGCCGTGGTCAGAGCGTACAGCCAATAAGTGCCTCCCTTGCACACAGCCGACCCAGATTCAATTCCTGGTATCATATATGGTCCCCAGGCCCCACCAGAAATGTTCCTAAGCACAGTGCATCATGGGTGTGGTCCAAACGCAAAGACAGACAGAGGTCTGGGGAGACTGTACAGACTTAGTAACGCCAGGTTCTGTTTGATCCTGGTTCCACATGTTTCTTCGAGCATCACCGGATGCAGCCCTGGAGGCCCCGAGCCCTGCCAAGAGGCAAGAGTAATTCCTGACGTCACAGGGCCCGAGCATTAAACAGAGGTCCTGGTTGGCTGAGAATCACCAGAACAACCTCTGGTTTTCCCTGAGCACACTTATCCCCACCCCCACCCCCCTATTCTGTCCTCCCGGGGAAAGATAGATAAATGTGCCCAGAATTCAGTGTATTGCTAAAAAAGAGAACACATATACCTGATAGTTGTTTTGTTTTTGATTTTTTAATTATCCAAGAGGGGCGAGAGTGGCAGGACATCGAATATGGCATTTGCTTTGATGTGGCCAACCTGGGTTTGACCCCCAATGTCCCATATGGTCCCCCGAGCACCACCAGGACTAATTCTTGAGTATAGACAAAGCCAGAAGTAACCCCTAAACATCACCAGGTGTGCCCCCAAAACAAAAACAACATAAAGAGGAACCTAGAATATTTATATCAAGTGAGTATTAATCGTACTCCAACTGCTCCAAAGTCTCGTCTGTTCGTATATAGTGAAGTAGAATATTATTTACAAGTGAAATTATGATGTCACCAATGTAAGTTTCCTAGTTGAAGTGTTAAAATAACGGAAGTAATGGTGTTGGGTGTTTTTAATTCGTTTTTTGCTATTTGGGCCACACCCCACCAGGCTCTGGGCTTATGCCTGGCTCTGCACTCAGAGATCACTTTAAGTGGGACCCGGGGCCCATATGGGGTTTGGGAATTGGACACGGACTGACTGTAATGCTTACCACTGTACTATCTCTCTGGCCCCAACAGAATCAGGTTTGTGTGTCTGTGTGTGTGGGGGGGGAATGAGGGTTGAGAGTTGGGGGGGGGGTAGTCCCCAAACCTGGAGGTGCTCATGGGCTACTCCTAGCTCTGAACTCAGGGATCACTCCTGCAAGTGCTGTGGGACCATGTGGTGACAGGGATCAAAACAGAGTTGGCTGCATGCAAGAAAAGTGCCTTCAGCCTTGCAGTATCTCGTCAACCCCCAGAAGTCACCTTCTATGTAAGAGAAAGTAGGGGGTCACAAGATTTAGGAGGGAAGCCAAAGATTTGATTTTTATACATTTTCTAAATTTAGTGAAAAGTCATCTTGAAATGTTGTATTTCATTTTTTTGTATTTATATTTTTAACAAATCTCTATCTTGAGTATCCGATTTGGTGAAATTGGCTCCGTATGGGGCCTGGAGATCGATAAGCAAAGAAATGTTTAAGCAAAAACTCAAAAGGAAAATACCATGGAGGGAAGGGATTAGTCAGAGTAATCAAGGTAATCAAGCTCTTACTTCACACATTGGCTTTAATAACTGAAGAACATCACTTTTTAAGCCTCCACTGTCCAAAATAGCACAAGTCAATGTTTTTATCCAAGCATCATGATTTTCACTTTGAGGAATCCAGAGGTTTGTATCATCTAAGGCTTCCAGAGGTTTTTCTATGTCAAGTCTGGGTATTTCTAAAAACTAGAAATAAAACAACCAGAAAATGTAGATAGTAGATATACATTTTACCTTTCTGAAACAAAATAATTCTCTACGCATTAAGATGTATGTTTTCAAATAAACTCAGCTTAAATTAAATCTGGACGCAATGGTTTCCTTTTAAAATTAAAATATCACTATGCTTATAGGAGGCAAAGGGTATGATAAAACATATTACCAGTCTAGAAAGGAGGAAGCTAAGAATCCTCTCTGCTTACTATTCATATGTCAATGGATCAAGTGTTCTCATATACAAAACCAGCCCAAAGCTACCACAGAGAAACTTATTTCAATGTAAAGTGGTTTTAGTGCTAAACCTATTGCATTTTACATTTTGGATTATTAGTTTTATAATTTATATTACAAGAACTTCACCAAGGCTGAAATTTTATTTATCTAATTTTATTCATTAAAAATAAAATTTCAATGATGGGGTTTATGTGCTGAGATTAAACTGCTGAAGCACAACTGTTTTTAGAAAAATATCCTTAAAGGAAAAGCAAGAGTTCTTTTTTTTTTTTAAGGCTTCTGAACAAGTGATTATTTTTTTTTAACAATTTAGATAACTGTGTTTCTTGGAGTAGCATGTGCTTCCCAGGAAACAACTAACTTTAACCACTTAAAATAAATAAAGCATCCCATTTAAGAATATAATCCCCTCCCCTCGACAACCCCCCCCCACAACCAAATCCTGACACCAGAGTATGCAAGCCACCTTCTAAAATTCAGAGCTGTTCTAAACAGTCATGGATCTCCACCATAACTATCTTTTTTTTTTTTAATTAGTGAAACACCATGAGGTACAGTTGCAGACTTACAAACTTTTGTGCTTGGGTTTCAGTTATACAAAGATCAGGTACCCATCCCTCCACCAGTGCCCATTCTCCACCACCACTGATCCCAGTATCCCTCCCACCCCCACACCCCATCCCCTCCGCCCCGCCCCACCTCTTTGGCAGGGCATTCCCTTTTGCTCACTCTTTCCTTTAGGGTGTTGTAGTTTGCAATAGAGGTTTTGAGTGGCCACTGTGTTCGGTCTATAGTCTACTTTCAGAAGAGTTCTTAATTATATCTCTGAGATAAACGTTCAGGCCAGAGATAAGGCTCGGTAGAGTACCTGCCGTGCCTATCTGAGGCGCGGAGTTGGATTCCCAGGGGAACCAAAAAAAACTCTTAATAAAAGATCAAGAGTAGAAAATGAAAGAAATCTATAGGAGATCTTATATTTCATTAGGGGGACTGTGGTATTTAGTTTGCTATGGAAATAAATGCTTGTTGATGGCAATACTCATTCACCACAACCAGAATCTGTGTCTTTCATACACAGGAGGGCTTTGTGCTGCTAAGAAAAATATCAGTTACTGGGGCTGGAGCTATGGCACAGTGGGTAGGGCATTTGCCTTGCACGCGGCTGACCCAGATTGGATCCTCAGCATCCCATATGGTTCCCTAGGCACTGCCAGGAGTAATTCCTGAGTGCAGAGCCAGGAGTAACCCCTGTGCAATGCCAAGTGTGACCCCCAAAAAGCAAAAAAGAAAAGAAAAGAAAAAGAATTGGAAGCATTTTTAAGACTTAAATGTTAACACGGTGTATCACTATATTAATATATAAGCAATCTGATACTCATAACCCAGAACATTGTCCTAGATATAGTGTTTATTCAATAAACATGTATGAAAGGGACCTTTTTCCTCGATGTTCTAAAAGGCTGGAGATAGATGAGCATGGGATCACTTGTCGTCTTATAAATCTCCCAGAAACTATGTCCAGTCCTTGTGGCTAAAATACTTTTCAAACAGGTAACAGCAGCTGATCTTACTTTGACACTGAAAAACACACAGAATTCAGATGCCTATCAAGCATATCAACTATTGAACTTGAGGATTTTTCCAAATGAAAAGATTAAAATCTAAAATTTATACTAAGAAATATACATTGAATAGAAAAGATTAAAATCTAAAAGATTAAAATTTATACTAAGAAACATACATTGAATCAAAAATAGAAACAAATATTTATCAAATAATTTTACACCTATAAAATTCTGTAACATTAAAGCCGGTAACAATTTAATTAATATTAAATTCTGTAACAAAGCATTTTTAGTATTTCCTTCAGTAAATGTGTTACTAATAACTACAAAGGAATTCCCTTTATTAAATACAATAGTTTATGCTTGTTGATGACAATACTTATTATAGCACACTATAAATTTTAAGAATTCATAAAAATACTTGAAAAAAACACTAATAAATGAGTAAGGAGATTATACAGTAACATACCTGAGAAAGTATTAATCAGAGATATTTTCATGAGAGAGAAGTAATTGGGAGCAAGGTAAAATGGCATTTCCCTTGGAATTATAAAATTTGCCACATAAAAGTCAGAGAAAAGGGGCTGAAGTGAAAGCACAGCGGGTAGGGCGTTTGCCTTGCCCTCGGCCAACCCGGGTTCGATTCCCAGAATCCCCTATGGTTCCCTGAGCACCGCCAGGGGTAATTGCTGAGTGCAAAGCCAGAAGTAACCCCTGTGCATCGCCAAGTGCACCCGCAAAAAAAAAAGAGAAAAATCTAAACTACCTTATGACCCTACTTTGCCTCTACGACTTGCATTTCAAATAACAGGTTTGTAGCTTTCTTTAATTTCCACACCTTCCTAATTTCATTTCCTGGCATCTTTCTCCGTCCCAGGTTTCATTCTATTCTTTCAACACATCACACTCATTTCTACCCAGCTAATTTTGGTCTGGGATGATTTCGTCCCAAATCATCTCTTTTTTAGTCAATACAGTCATTCAACACCTGAGCCCTTTTAAATATATAGTCATCGTTTTCCTCTCACAGAATGGTAGGAATAGATCTTACTCTTCCCTTTGTTTGAAAATTTAAGGTGCAATAATATTTCTATATACTTTTTCAGAAAACAGTTGCAAACAGAACATTTAATGTCGGCAAATTTTCTAAGAAAAAATCTCTTTTAAGAAAACCATGGGACGAAATGTGGCTCTCAGTAGCAGTCTGTCATGCCTCACATGTGTGAAGGCCCTGACTTCAAGCCCCAGCACTTACAAAACAGAAAAAGAAAAACTAAAAACCAGCTCTATGAGACATATACAGGTACACATACAGGCATATCCAGGTACCATACAGGCATATACAGGTACCACAGACATATACAGGTACACATACAGACATATACAGGTACCAGCTCTATGAGACATATACAGGTAAAGGAGAGGAATTGATGAGTGGATATAGGATGCCTAGATGTGATAAAGAGAGGTATAGTAAAATATTAATGGTAGAATATAGGTGGTAATAATGGATGTTCACTATAAAATCCTTTTATCTTTGCTGTATGAAAAATTTTCTGAGAAAATGTGTTGAAAGAAATTATTCCAGCCTTTTGGGGGTGGATTTTTAGGGCACGCCTGGCAGTGCTCAGGGGTTATTCTCAGTTCTGTGTTCAGAGGTCACTCCTGGAAGTATGCAAAGGACACTATTTGTTGCCAGGAAATGCTGCCAATTGGGGTTGGCGCACTCAAGGCGAGCACCACAGCCCCCAAATCAATTCTCTGGCCCCCACGCCAACCTTTGTAAAGGATACATTTCCTTTAACAGAGAAACCATGGCAGAGAAATATTCAACAACCGTTTATTCCCAGGACAGAAAGTTAGAAATTCTATGTTAGAAAGATGCCCAATTTGTGAAAAATGCACAAAATTGGGTGAAAACACCCCAAAATCGGGTTAAGTGCTTAAAAATGCTAGAAGTAGTTTTTTTTAAAGGGGGTTGGTGAGGGGAGAGAAGAGGGCAAACACAATATCCCAATCAGCAAGCAGAGACTATGATAACTGTCTTTTGTTTCTTTGGGTTTTTTGTTTTTTATTAACACTGACGATAAATTACAGAAAACCTTGTCTGACTAGTTTGGGACCTTTGGAGTGGTGAAATTTCTGATCTAGAATTTATTTTAAAGGAACTGAAAGAGTCAATATGAGAGGCAAGAGGTACCTTAGATTGCAGATAGCGCCCCAAATTTACATCCCCCATCCCCATGCTAAGATACCTTGTAAATTGCACTGGTAAATTTCTTAATGCACATCTAATCTGCTATTACTAGAATTTAACTCAGACCTTGTCTGGGATGTTTCTCGCACTATCAAGTGCCTGGCATTTTTAGTAAGGTCTCCCTGATTAGATAACTCATAAAAATAAACCGAGATCCATTAAAACACCTGAGACTAAAAAAAAAAAAAAAAGTCTTGGCAACTTAAAGGAGAAAATTTTCACTAGAAATACTGACCTATGGAAGGTACCCTTCTTGAGTGTCAGATGAAGTAAGGGATACCAGCTCTGATGTGTCATGATACACTTACCAATCCTCCACCAGCGCATTACTCAGGTAGGTCAACATGATGAAGGTCCACTGAAGTTCTTTATCACTGAACAACTCCAGGGCCTTGGTATAAGATGTATCTTTACTATGCTGGATGGCGATGGTGGAGAAATCAACAGGACCCACTTCTCCCAGGCAGCGTCCAACAGCCTCTAGGTAGAGGAATTCCACTTCATCAGAGTTCTAACTCAGAGATGACATGTAAAGCTTCCAATTTAAAAACCATAATGCTTTAAAAATATTATGCGGGAACCAGGACATTTACTCCAAACCGCGTGGCCGCTGACCCGGCCGCACGACATCTCCTTATATACAAAGTGATCAATGGAAAGTAAATCATCCAACGTTTCTCCCTGAAAATCAGGCTTAACTCTTTTGCAAACCACAACACCCAAAAGGAGAGAGAGAACTGAGGGGAATGCCCTGCCTCAGGGAACAGGGTGGGATGGGGGGGGATGGGGGGTGGGAGGGATACTGGGATCCGTGGTGGTGGTAAATGGTCACTGGTGGAGGGATGGGTATTCAAAATAAAAAAAATAAATAAATAAAAATATTATGAAGGTGGCCACTCAGATGAAACGCACGTTCATTCATTCATTCATTCATTCACTCAGAGTTTACCTAAAACTTCTCTTTCCCCCGTGTGGTTTACAGCCCTCTTGGACAGCTGCAACAAGCTAACAACAAGCTTCACCATGATGCCATCTTGCGGATTATCTAGGAGCAGTTTGGGAAAGATTGATTTAAGCTATCATGAAGACAACACCTTTTTTTACAATATGCCATATGTTAAATGATCTGACTAGAAACATTTATAAAGATTTTTTTCTCAGGATTTGAGTGATAGTACAGCAGGTAGGGTGTTTGCCTTGCATGCGGCCAACCCGGTTCGATTCCCAATATCCCATATGGTCCCTCAAGCACCGCCAGGAGTAATTTCTGAGCACAGTGCCAGGAGTAACCCCTAAGCATCACCGGGTGTGACCCAAAAAGCAAAAAAAAATTTTTTTTCTCTCCTTTTTACTTTTTATTGTAATTTAGGTAATAATGTTACAAAAGTGTTTAAGTTCATAGTATTGATGTGGGAAGTCACTGCACGTGCCCACCACTGAAATCCCCATGACCATTCATCTGTGTCCTCATGTTCTCCTCTGGCTGGACCTTCCTTTTCCCCCATATGTCCTCACACTGTTTGCAGACAGTTATGGTTTGGGTGTATAGTTACATAGGGCAGAGATGGAGGGGGCACGATGGAGGGTCTAAAGGCACATTGGTGATGGTTAAACGCAATATAATTTTTTTTTTGAAAATGGATTTCAAATCATGAGCAGCTCTAAAAGCTGGAAATTAATGTTTCTGAACTTTTTACTTATTTATTTTTAATTTTTGGGCCACACCCAGTGATGCTCAGGGGTTAGACCCTAGCTCTGCACTCAGGAATTACCCCTGGTGGTGCTCAGGGGATCATATGGGATGCCAGGAATCGAATCCGAGTTGGCCGTGTGCAAGGCAAACACCCTACCCGCTGTGCTATCACTCCAGCCCCTTCTGAACTTTCTTATGAAACAGAACCCTGTGAGAGATATGAGCATCTGCAAGAGAGAGAAAATGTCAAGGTTTGCAGTTAAGCAAATTTCGAGGAATAATGAGATTCTAAATGAAATAAGAACATCAAATCCAATCCAAAACAATTAGAACCAACAGCAAGGACAAAAAGAATTTTTTAGAAAAGGTACAAATAACCCACGTCATTAGAATTAGTACCCTGAGACGCTCTCATTAGATCCAACATCTGATCTTTGTGTTGTTCTAGTTGTCTTCGAAGATCCTTGAGTCCTTCCAGCCTTGTCAAAGGAAGTGCATCATAAACACTCACTGACAGAAAATGGTTAATTTCCTAAGAGTGAGAATTAATAGAAATGTAATTTTCTTTTGATGTGCACTGGTTATGTCTGTTAAAAACAGGAAATGCCTTTTACAGTGACTCCTATCAGTATGTCCTAACAAAGCCCCCAAAGAGGGAAAAATCCTACGACGTTTTAGTAATTTACATTTTAAGACACTTTCATAACACAAACTTTAAGACTGCTTATATGCAAAGATATGGAAAGATTAAGTTTATTTTTACTTAGTGCCAAGCTCTAGTTTTATATTAATACACTTAACTGTACTTTCATACAGTTAAATTTCAAAGAATAATTTTAACTTGGGGTGGGGGGGCACCTGGCGATACTACTGGCTCTGTACTCAGGAATCACTCCTGGCAGTGCTCGGGGACCATATGGGGTCCAGGCATCAAACCTGTACATCTGCCATGTACAAGGCGAGGGCTCTATGCTCTGGCCCCTAGGAAATAATTTTCAAATTATAGCATGATTTACAAGAAAATATATATCTAAAATTAATCAAGAAGCTTATGTGGAAGGTTGAAACAATTAAAATTTCAGAAATGCTGGGCTGGATCTAATGAACAGCAGGTATGATGCTTGCCTCATCCAAGGTCGACCTGTGTTTAATCCCCTCAGTCCCACCAGGAGTGATCCCTGAATCAGAGCCAGTCAGGTGTAAGCCCTGACTGCCGTCGCATGTGGCCCAAAGAACCAAAAATCACAGTTTTAGTTTTCACGTTGGGGCCCCATGAAAACTAAAAATATCCGGGTTTTTTTTTGGGGGGAGGGAGGATGGGGAATGACGGTGCTGAGCACTGAATCTGGGGCTCCCACATCCAGAGCATCACTCCGTCTCCCTAGCTCTTCATCACAACCTTACAAAAAAGACTCAATTCCCTTCTAGAGCCTCAGAAGGGTTCAAAGGTACGACCATCTGTCCTTTCTGATTCAAACTTGTGAGATGTAAAATGTTGGGATAATTATTACCTCCAAAAGGGAAAAAGGTCCTCGACTGTATTTTATTTTCTGCTGTGCAACTCGCAGATCCTTAAAGACGGCATGGTCAGGAAAAGGATCCAGAAGTTTGATCGTGAGATAGAGGTTTTCATTATCCTTGTTATCGATCACTAAATATTTCAGCAAGTCCAATACCTAGGTATAAAAAAAAATAATAATCGAAAGTGGAGAAACAGCTTAATTATGTTAAGTAACCACACCTACTATAATAAAAGACAAAATTTTTATTGGTCTAGATCAGATAAAATGTTTTCATTACTTTTTTTGTGGCTCTGGAGACTGAACCCAGGACCTACATATGGTCTCCCATTGCAGCTCCATCCTTGATTTTTTTAATCATTCTAAGGCACTATTGCGGTTTCTGTGCTTTCAAATAATTCAACAGATATGTACTGTGCAATTAATAGACGGGCACTGTAGTACAAAAAGTCCAGTATTACTGAAACACAATACACAGGCACTATCTCACCCCCACGGCACAGTGCTGCCAACTGTTGCCCCTTATTGGCATAACGGGAAACACCCAACAGATTCTAAGAATCCTGTATCACTGCTTCCAAATACCAGGGAGATGCTTCAGGACATTACCTGTTCCCGAACTTCCATCTGCTCATCCACGAGGGGTATGAGAGTGCCAACGATAACGTGAAGGTGGTTTTCCAACGCATCCTCACAATGAGTGACTGCGGTGCGGCAAACCCGGCCTAGCAGGTCACAACAAAGGGAGAAGCTACGCAACGAAACGTCCATGAAGCGAGAAGGCCTGACAAACGGGGGGGAAATGGTCAGAGCCAGAAAGGAACTTTAATATATCCCAAGTCATTTTTATGTAATAGCTCTAATTCTGGTGTGTCCTCATGGAAAGTCAGCCTGTTATCTTTTCTTATGATTTAAAAGCCAACACAGCAAAACTGCTAAGTGGGCCAGTTCCAAGTAACTCTTCTTGAGAGAAATATTCCGAGAAGACAAGAACTGCTAGAACTTTCCCGAACTCTGAGAGAGTCCAACGTTTACAATAAATAAGCAAACAATGAATGAATCAGGGAAAAGGCAACTCGAATCATTGGAAGGCCCAGAAGATGGTTCAAAGGGCTTGCGCACATACTCTGCACACAAGAGTGAGGCCCACATTTGACCCCTGGTACCACCCACAGCACCACCAGGGAGTCACATCAGTGCACAGAGCTGGGACTAGCTCCTGGACACTGTCAAGTGTGTCTTATCACCCTCCATCTACACCCCCCCAAAAAATAGGAAAAATATCACGGTCCTCCCATTGTTCATCAATTTGCTTGAGCTGGCTCAGTAACGTCTCCATCATGAGACTTGTTGTTACTGTGTTTGGCATATCGAATACGTCATGGGTAGCTTGCCAGACTCTGCCATGCGGGCAAGATACTATCGGTAGCTTGCCCGGGCTCTCCGAGAGGGGAAGAGGAACTGAACCCGGCTCGGCTGGGCTGGCTGCGCGCAAGGCAAACGCCCTACCGCTGTGCTATCGCTCCAACCACGTCTCCATTTGAAACTTACTGTTACTCTGTTTGGCATATTGAATACGCCACGGGGAGCTTGCCAGGCTCTGCCATGCAGGCGGGATACTCTTGGTAGCTTGCCAGGCTCTCCGAGAGGGACAGAGGAATCGAACCTGGGTCAGCCGCATGCAAGGCAACTGCCCTACCTGCTGAGTTATCGCTCCAGCCCTATACCCTAAAATTATGAGTTGGTAAATTTGATTGAGTGCCCACTCAGACCACATAAGATCCAAAATAAAACATCTGTACAAGTAGTGTCACACTGCTTCCACATAAAAACCACTCAGTAATTGTAAAATAAAGAAGTACAAAAAAGCTCTGGGGAAGAACTACCCTCTGCTATACCACTCCCCTCTGGGAAAACACCCCTGAGAATGAAACCCCCGTCCCAATGGGGGGCCATCCTCTAAGAATCTGGAAGGAGCAGACTGGTCCTTATTCACCGTGGGAAAGCTGGCAGCTTCTCAACTAATGCCATTCCTAGGCACAAACCCAAAGGCTGAAATCACTATGAATCATAGCCTGACCTTGTGAAATCTGACACTTTCCTGTGCAGAGAATCAGAACCAAGTTGAATTATAGGATACCCGGCTGGGTTCTCAATTCCTGGATGTGTATTCTAACTGCCACCCCTCCACAGATATATACATTTGAACCGGTGACAGAATCCTGATGGTAATATTTATTTCAGGCCATTCAAAATCACTTATTTTAAAATTATTTTTCAAGGGTCTGTATGGTGGGGTTGGGGGGAGCACCATCCTTGCATGGTGTAATGGTTGAGGGATCTTTGCTGCTGGTGTCGCAGTACTTCAGGCAGAAAATAATACTTGAAGATCCGTTCTAAACTGGGGCTAGAGTGATAGCACAATGAGCATGGCTGTACGTTAAACCCCATATAGACCCTGGAGCCCAGAGCCAAGAGTAAGCCCTGAACACTGTAGGGTATGCCCCCCCCCCAAACACATAGTAGGTGGACAGTAAAAAGCAAAATCCAGAAAATAATTCTTGCCTTCTACTTCCTAGAAGCATGTATTTCTAGTTGACAGATACATTCAGGGTGGAAAACTGCTTATATATGGATTTTAATATACGATTTACCTTTTGTTAATGTAGTGAATCAAAGTATAAATCACATCTCGCAGAACAAAAGCCCACGCGCCTCCTAAACCAGTTTTTATATCTTTCAGCAATAAATTAACAAATAGGTGATATATTTTAAGAATTCTGTGCTTTTTATAAACATTATTTGTCTCAGCTGCTTGCTCACATATAGCTAGAAGAATTTTTGGATAGGAATCCTGGAAAATAAAGAAATTTAGTAAATACTTGTCTGATCAGATACATTCTACCATAATAAATATACTTTACATTAAAAATAAATTGCAAAATTTTGTTTTGAGTCTGATATACAAACTATGCAAACCTTAAAAACCTTAAAAACTATCATCAATTTATTATCATTTCAAATAGATATCAATAAATAAAAAACATTCTAAAATTATATATATTCTTGATCTTCTTGTAATATAGTTCATCTAAACACTGTTACTGTCACTGTCCTCCCATTGTTCATGGATTTGCTCGAGCGGAACCAGTAACGTCTCACAACAAATTGTGTGACTTGTTGTTACTGTTTTTGGCATACTGAATACATCATGGCGAGCTTGCCAGGCTTTGCTGTGCGGGCAAGATACTCTCGGTAGCTTGCCAGGCTCTCCAACAGGGGCGGAGGAATCGAACCCGGATCAGCCATGTCAGCTATGTGCAAGGCAAACGCCTTAACCAACCGCTGTGCTATTGCTCCAGCCCTAGTTCATCTAATAACAAGTAAAATATAAGCTGTAAACTGTTGAGTGAATTTTTTCTTAATTCAGATATGTTTTATCTTAGTTTACTTTAAGAGGTACTTAAAATTTCTTAGCTAAAAAAGGATAAAATTCTCTTTTAATATACTAGAGAAGTTATATTAAGAAAGAAGTACACTTACAGGGCTTTTAGAAAGGATTTTTAAAGTGCTTTTAAATTTTATATTAGGAAAACATATTAGGTAAGTATATATATTATTATTATGCTAGGAAAGTATACTTACAGGGCTTTTAGAAAGAATTTCTAAAATGCTTTTAAGCTTGGTCTTATGGCAATTGCTGATATAGGCAAATGTTGCTTTAATCACATGTGATGGAAAATGAGGTGGATTAGGTGCAGGATCCAAGTCCCTAAGAGTTGTAGGGGGAAATGCAGTCATCATTGTCAGAACAAAATTATTTAAAACAAAAAATAAACCCAGATTTTCTTGGGAGAACAGTGAACTTCCCAAAAATGAAAATCTAGACTAGAATAACCACAAAACTTTACTTTTATACTATAAAAACTTAAATTCTAAAACATCTCAAGTGACATACCATGGTACAAGATACCTTTGCCCGCTTTAAAATCTTTTATAAAATTAATGGTAATTCCAAAAATTATGTCAGTATGCTTTCTTCCAGATATGAATTAAAACTCTATGCTTACTCTAAAGGTAAATATTATAGTCACACAAAGCAAATATTATTTATAGCAAGTACAATTATACATGAAAAAAGCACATATTATTTCATATCTATTATGATTTTATATCATTGCATCATAGGACAGATAAAAAAATTAAGGATATAAGTACAATTAAGCTGAGAAAGCAGCTCTAACTTTCTACAACCAAGTGGATTTCATATCCAAATTAAATTTTAGTACAGTAAGTTTCAGATATATAAGGAACACGATAAAGATAAGGTGCTCTAGAAAGACAAGTCATAGATAAGGAGAAAAGGACAAAGGATAATCAGTCATAAAAAAAAAATTTGGGGTGGGGTGGGGGACTTTTTCATGCCACACTGGCAATGCTTAGGGGTTACTCCTGGCTGGCAGTGCTCGGGGGACCATATGGGATGCCAGGGATCGAACCCAGGTCGGCCATGTGCAAGGCAAACGCCCTACCTATCACTCTGATCTGAAGAAGAAAATTCAAAGAGACAACAATGGCACGTGCTCACACATTTCAGAAAGATTGAGAAGAAAAAGGTCGCTGGGCTTGCAGACAGGAAAGACTATTAGGAGAGACAGGCACCTTCTTCAGTTCAAAGCTTGTTTTTAAAAGAACATTTTAAAGCCGAGTATATGCCTAAAAACTGAAATAGACATTTGCACGTGTCAATTCATAATCTTCCCTTGATACTTCCGAAACCGCAGCTAATTCTCCAACTTTAAAATACTCTTACTCAGAAAAGTCACCCAGGTCAGTGTTGGCCTCAGAAGTTGCTGGTTCGTGTAATGTCATCAATAACTCTACCACAATCTCTGGTAAATTGCTCATGAATAAGTGATCAATCTGCAGATACAACATTAAAATAAAATGTTTAATACTTTTTTTTTTCTGGGGTCACACTCGGTGTTGCACAGGGCTTACTCCTGGCTCATGCACTCAGGAATTAGTCCTGGAGGTCGGTGCTCGGGGGACCATATGGGATGCTGGGAATTGAACCTTGGTTGGCCGCATGCAAGGCAAACGCCCTACCTGCTGTGCTATATTGCTCCAACCCCTGTTAAATACTTTTAAGGCAAGTTAGGAGGCCAATATTATTGACTCATTCCCCAAATTCTCCAGGAATGAAACCAGGAAACAGACTGAAGCTCTTCAAGACATCCACTTACAAGTATGCTGCGGAAACAGAGGCTGGAGGGATAACTCAAGAGCTGGGGCACAGTACAAGCAGGGTCAAACTGCATAGGTTCGATCCCCAGCACCACTGTTTCACATGCACGAGCAACCCTCAAGCACAGCCCTGGAAGTAGCCCCTGAGCACTGCTGGCCCAAATTCCAAAAACACAAGAGTAGGCAAAGTGCGGGCTGGAGCGATAGCACAGTGGGTAGGGCGTTTGCCTTGCACGCAGCCAACATGACCAACACAGGTTCGATTCCCAGCACCCCACATGGTCCCCTGAGCACCGCCAGGAGCAATTCCTGAGTGCATGAGCCAGGCGTAACCCCTGAGCATCTCCGGGTGTGACCCAAAAAGCAAAATAAATAAATAAATAAATAAAGTAGGCAAAGTGAAAGCCAGACCTGTTTTCCTAGCAAGTTTTCGTCCTTAAGCATGTCGTAGACTTTGGCAGCCGTCTCTCTCCGCTGCGCCATCACCGACTCCCCTGTGCTCTCGTAGGCGAAGTAGGGGAGGATGTTCACCAGGATCTTCGGAAAGCAGTGTGTGAGGAGAACTTTCCAATCTTCTTGAATCTGATTAGCAATGGATTTCACCTCATCAAAGTTACTTCTGATCACCAGATGCGGGATCAAAACCTTGTAACAAGATCTGAAGACATAAAAGCGAAAATATGTCACATACAACTTCTCAAAGTAAAATCGGAAAAAAATTTTTTTTCTTTTCCTTAGGGGGTGGGTGAAACACATCTGGCAGTGCTCAGGATATATTCCTGGCTCTGCACTCACAGTTCACTCCTGACCAGACTTGGGGGAACCACATGTGGTGCTGGGGTTCAACTCAGGCTGGGTGCTTGTAAGGCAAGAGCTTTACCAACTATTTCTCTGACACCTAATAGAGTTCTTAACAAAATATTTACTAATCACAAGGGAAGTTTTTCTAGACCAATTAAGCATTCTTACTCTGATTTTATATGGCGAGAAATAAAGTTAAGTAGTTAAATTTAGAATGTAAATTCTAAATAGTTAATCTAAAAAGAACTTATCTTAAGAGTATCCACGATTCTCCTGTTCATCGATTTGCTCAAGCAGGCACCAGTAACGTCACCATCGTGAGGCTTGCTGTTACTGTTTCTGGCATATCGAATACGTCACGGGTAGCTTGCCAGGCTTTGCCGTGTGGGTGGGATACTCTCAGTAGCTTGCCGGGCTCTCCGAGAGGGGTGGAGGAATCAAATCCGGGTTGGTCACATGCAAGGCAAACGCACTGCCTGCTGTCAGCTCCATCTTCAGGATGGAGCGGCTGCTAAGAGTATATGTTAAAAGTATATCACCTTGATTCTCCACTTATATCACAATACTTGTGTAACAAAAGATGGGTAACTTTGTGTACCAAAACCATAAACATTAACACTAAAAATGATAAAACCATGAAAATTGAATTTCTTTTAATAGCACAGCGGGTAGGGCATTTGCCTTGCATGCGGATGACCCAGGTTTGATCCCTCCATCCCTCTCGGAGAGCCTGGCAAACTACCGAGAATATTTTACCCACACGGCAGAGCCTGGCAAGCTACCAATGGTGTATTCGATATGCCCAAAACAGTAACAAGTCTCACAATGGAGACCTTACTGGTGCCCGCTCGAGCAAAGCGATGAACAATGGGAGGACAGTGCTACAGTGCTATTTATGCCAAGTTGCTATAAAATCACTGTCACTGTCCTCCCGTTGTTCATCGATTTGCTCGAGCGGGCCCAGTAATGTCTCCATCGTGAGACTTTGTTATTACTGTGTTTGGCATAACAAGTACGTCACAGGTAGCTTGCCAGGCTCTGCCGTGCGGGCGAGAGACTCTCGGTAGCTTGCCGGGCTCTCCGAGAGGGGTGGAGGAATCGAACCTTGGTTGGCCAGATCGGCAGCGTGCAAGTCAAACGCCTTACCCGCTGTGCTGAAATCTTTTAATTCAAAGGACAAATGTGAATATTACCAAAATGAGCAAAGAATAAGGACCGCTAACGATGACCATCCCATTATTCCAGAGTTCAGCATTACTCTCTAGTTGGTTCCAATCTCTCCATCCTCAAAATTTCTTCTTCAGAGTAAGTGAGCAAAATTCACACTTTTTGGTTAAACTTTAAATCTACTAGAAATAATCACTAAATGACTTAGTCAAGTAACAAAAAACAAGGCAGCAATAATCAGTCGCTAGCAGCTAATAGCTAATATTCGATTTCCACAGGGAATCAAACTAAATATTAAAGTGGAAAGTGACCTGAAAGATCTCGGTAAACACTGACTCACACAATACAGCCCCACTTCAGTGTACAGATGTGTGTTCATGTGAGTGTGAGTGTGAGCACGCACTGGGGATGGGGGAGGAGGGGTGGGGAGGAGGGAACAGCGAGTGGAGGGGGTGATCGGGATGGAGCGACTGCTAAACATTATTACCTAATTTCACAGCAAACATATTTTACATGTGCTAAATGTAATCCTACCTATAGAAATCTCCAACATTTGTGTAGTTTAATAACATGAAGGGAAAAGAAGATAAACTGTATTCAGCATCTTGAAGATTGAGCCACTCTAAAACCAAATAATCCAGATGAGAAGCCATGAAGTCTTCTACACGTTTATATCCGAAAGTGTCAGAAACTTTCTCTAAAACCTAGAGAAATCAGAAAGAAGTGAATGCTTTAAGAAAATAATAAAACAAAACCACGCATGTCTTTGTTAATATTTATTTACAGAATGGCTTTGAAGTATTAATTTAACTTTACATTTAATCCTCACCTACGAGAGAGGGATAATTAAAGTACCAATTCAACAAGACTAAATGAGAAGAATGTATTTAACAAAACATATAAATGAATTAGCCTAGTGCCTAGCTCACAGCAAGCCATTAGTAACTGTAAATGAAATAAAATGGAAAAATAAGTACATATAACCAACACTGGATTATATCTGAAGATCCAAAAATAAAACCTTCTTTTCAGTCCTAGAACAAAATGAGAAAAATCCAAAATACTACATTACCCTCACAATAATTAGGTAGTATCCAGGTCTACTTAAGAAAAAGAGGGAAACTCCTTAACATGTGAGGGTTAAGACTAACCTAGGGCACTTTCTGTTGGCTTTGCCCTGTGCCCTGCATAAAGCTCCAAGAAAGTCATCCTGGAGGGTGAAGGATGGATCAGTGATTCCTCTCGCAGAAAGCAGCGTTGGACAGGCCTGGGGCCTCCCAAGCCGTTAGTGCCGACGTGCAGAAACAGGGTAGAGAGAATTCACAGCACTCAGAAATGACGAAGACTCAGTCTTCCTTTTGTGGGCATGTAATTTTAAAGCTACACCGTGTAAATGTTTTTACTTCTGATCTTGCTAGAAGCGGGAATTCCACCCCAGATTCCACCGAGGCAAAACATTTGCTTCTGCTCTTTTTTCAATGTATTTTTCTCACTACATGCCTCGCCTGCCTGGTAACTCAGCAACTCCTCTTCAATGGAATGTAAGAAACCACCCTGCACAAATAAGCACGCCCCTGAAGAGTTGCTGCTTTCTGATATTCCCATCTGGAAAATAAAATGGTCCCAAGTGTAGTGGCGGAGGGAATTAGACACTCTGGTGGAGGGTCATGGTACTGAACATTTTCTGTATGAAACCATACCATTATCAGGATTGTAAGCCCTGGTGCCTAAAACAAAAATTTTTTTTAAAAAATCATAGCTTTCGATTTCCCGTTTAAAGTTTCCCAAGGAAGAGCATAAAACAGATTCATTGGCACGTACCTTTTTAATGAGGTGCGGTTCTAATCCATTCTCTTTCACAGACTTGCACAGGGCGAACAGAGCCTGTTTTTCACACACGGGGCTGCAGTGTAAAACCACCGCTATCATCATCAGTAAAACCGATTTTCTATTATAAATCTCATCCAGAAGCTCGGGACTCTCAGCTCTGTGGGACTTCAGAAGAATTTTAAAAAACAATAATCTAAGTATCTCAACATTCCCAAGACATCAGGCGAGAGTCAAACCACAAATGACAGCACTTAAGCAGCCCACAAGCTGTGTTGGAAGCCTGAGTGATGGAACTCAGTGCAGAGATTTGGAGAAATTTCTCAAATAAAAATGATGAATGCAGGAAAGAAAATGCTATTGACATAATCTCATTGAAACAACTGCCAGGGGCTGGAGCGATAGCACAGCAGTATGGCATTTGCCTGGCACCTGGCCGCCAACCCGAGTTTGATTCCCTGCATCCCATATGGTTCTCTGAGCACTGCCAAGAGTAATTTCTGAGTGCAGAGCCAGGTGTGACCCCCCCAAAAAAAACCTCCAAATATTCTGGTGAACTTAAAAGCAGTTTTAAACGGGGGCAAAAAGTGGGCTGGGATGCAGTTTAGCATAGGCCTATTCTGTTCCAGGCAGAGAATAGGCTGCCCACCACAGCACACACGCCAGCGCCCAGCCCCCCAGCAAGGAGAGCCAGCAGCAGCAAAGAGATAATAAAACTTCTCTTCCACCATCAGGCATATTTGCCAAGATGTTTATTATCATTATGACATTTTATTTGGTTTTGGAGCCACACCCAGCTGTGCTCAGGGTAAACTCCTGGCTCTCTGCTCAGGACTCACTGCGGGTGGTGCTCAGGAGAACATATGGCATTGCCTGGGATGGAACCCAGGTGGGCTGAATGCAAAGCAATCGCTTTAACCCAAGGACTATGTAACACTCAATACTTTTGTCTGCTTTTGGACTATTAATAGTGAGGCTCAGGAGTCACTCCTGGCTCAATGCCCATGGTTGCTCCTGTCAGTGCTCAGGGAATCACATGGTGCTCAGTGGCTCAGTGCTCCTGGATGTTCTTGTCAGTGCTTAGGGAACTACAAGGCCGGGGATTGAATTTATGGTTCCCACCTGCAAAGCACATGTTCAAGTCCCCAAGCTATCTCTCTGGCCTCAGCACTCAATACTTAAAAAAACTAAAACTCAATACTTAAAAAAAACTAAAACTGTTATAACCAAAGGAACAACAAAATCTTGCAGCTAGACAGAATGATATAATGTTTAGTTTAATGCTCAATCATTCTAACATTCCAAAAGACATTTTTTTTTTTTACTAGAAATGGCATACTATGTGCCAAGAGTTGTACAAAGAGACCAGAGCAATAGTACAGCGGATAAAGCATTTGCTTTGCATGTGGTTAACTCAGATTTGATATTAAGGATCCCATATGGTCTGCTGTGCACCATCAGGAGTGATGCCTGGTGCAGAGCCAGGAGCCAGCCCTGAACACCACCAGGTATGATGCAATAACCACCCCCACCAAAAACCAACAACAACAAAAAGAATTGTGCAGAGAGAATTTCTTTCTTTTAGGGGCTCTCCGGTATTCAAACAACTAAACCAGTTATGATTACTGACATGATACTTCAAAAATGTTCAATCTTATTTTAAAAGACTTATAAACATGGAGTGATAGCACAGCGGTAGGGCGTTCGCCTTACAAGCGGCCAACATGGCCGACCCGAGTTCGATTCCTCCACCCCTCTCGGAGAGCCCGGCAAGCTACCGAGAGTATTCGATATGCCAGACACAGTAACAACAAAAGTCTCCAATGGAGACGTTACTGGGCCCGCTCGAGCAAATCGACGATCAACGGGAGGGCCTTTACCTTTTACCTTTTACTAGAAATCTCTATTCGCATTTAGAAAATTGTGTCCTCATTAATCCTAGTTCTGGTTTTTGGTGCAAGGAAAAAAGAAAGGACCTGATTCTTTTAATAACTGGTCAATCATTAACTTGTCTGTAAACAGTTGGAGGTTCCCACTTTGTCAACATCCTCACCTATTCCTTATAAAGAGAGCTACGCTCTAACTCTTTTGGGAGCAGGGGAGATGTTGGGCCACTCCCAGCTGAGCTCAGGACTTATTCCGACCTCTGGGCTCAGACTCGGGAACGTATGGGGTGTGGCAGATTGAACTCTGGTTGACCACGTGCCAGGCAAGTGCCCTGCCCACTATACTATCTCTTCAGCCACATAAACGTTCTAATTTAAAAATTTACTTTTAATTAGAAACAAACCCAGCAGGCTATTGGTTATCTAAAATATATAGAAGATCTAAGCTCTTTTAATCAATTTGTTCACAACATTATGTTTCTATTACTTTTAAGACAAGTTTTTTCTAATAAACATTATAATGCTTATTTATATTATGATTTCAGTTAAAAAAATTCCTGATGTCATTTTCCATATGAACTGCTCTCAGGTCAGAATTTTCCCTTTTTGCACATTCTGGGCTAATTTATAATAATACTGTTACTTTTATTAAATTTTATAATCCTGTACTCATCTTTCTAATCTATTGAAATTTTTTTCTAAGTTATATTCTTTCATGAAACCTCATTTTCATTTCTGTTCTATTATAGATAAGATAGTCAAGTAATCAACTTGTATTTTTTAGAAAGGCTTAAATAAATGAATACATTTAGACCCGGGTTCGATTCCCAGCATCCCATATGGTCCCCCGAGCACCACCAGGAGTAATTTCTGAGTGCATGAGCCAGGAATAACCCCTGTGCATCGCCGGGCGTGACCCAAAAAGAAAAAAAAAGTATTATTTTACAGAGAAATATGAAAATCACAAATCATTCACAAACACCAAGATAATTTGAACTTCCCTTGCCAGAACATCTTTTTTTTTTTTGCTTTTTGAGTCACACCAGCAATGCACAGGTGGTTACTCCTGGCTCTGCACTCAGGAATTACTCCTGGCAGTGCTTGGGGTACCATACGGGATGCTGGGAATCGAACCCGAGTCCGTCGCATGAAAGGCAAACGCCCTACCCTCTGTGCTATCTCTCCAGCCCCCAGAACATCTTTTTAATCCATTTCCCTACTGTCAAAAATACTCTGAATCAGTTTTTAAGATTACAACAAAGCCGGAACTTGATCCTTGGCACCACGTGGTCCCAAGGGGTGTCAGGAACGACCACTGAGCAGAGAGCCAGGAGCAGCCCATTTCGAGATATGGCCACCAAAGAAGCGAAATAATTCTATTTCAAAATAAAAAGGAGGGGCTGGAGAGATAGCACAGCGGGTAGGGCGTTTGCCTTGCACGCGGCCGACCCGGGTTCGATTCCCAGCATCCCATATGGTCCCCTGAGCACCGCTAGGAGTAATTTCTGAGTGCAGAGCCAGGAGTAACCCCTGTGCATGGCCAGGTGTGATCCAAAAAGCAAAAAATAAAATAAAAATAAAAGGGAAAGCCACTTATTGATTGTACTTTTTCCTTCATTTTTGTTATTTACAGGACTAGGGACCAAATTCAAGGGTCACACATATGAGGTTGTGCTCTACTGCTAAGTAAATCCCTGGCCAAAAGAGAAGAGAAAGCCGTTTAAACTGTGATAAAGACTCAATGAATTTTTTTCTCACAAAAATGCTATCTGTAAGATGAATCAAAATAAACTGCCATTATTTAACTGATTTTACAAAAACGGCATTTAAATTCATGTATCTAGATTTGTCCTGTAAATTACGGAATATAAATATTTTGGGGCCAAACTTGGTGTAATATATGACATTTTTAATAGAAAGCATCTGATAACAGCAAATATTCATCACTAAAATTACCTACAGGACAGAGCAATAGTACAGTGGGTAGGGTGCTTGCTCTGCACACTGCCTACATGGGTTCGATCCCCAGCACTCCTTACGGTTCCCGGATCCCTGCCAGGAGTGATCCCTAAACGCAGGGACAGAAGTAAACCCTGAGCACCTCTGGGTGTGGCTTCAGAACCAAAATAAAATAAAACACTCTTCAAGCCTATGTTCTCCCTTGAATACATATCTTGCTTGACTGTATCTTCGTTTGCTTGTCCCACTCTGGAGAAGCCTGTAACACGTATTTCCTCTCTCTTTTTCTCCTCACATAATTTCTGTCACTGTCACTGTCACTGTCCTCCGTTGTTCATCGATTTGCTCGAGCAGGCCCAATAACATTGTGAGACTTGTTACTCTGTTTGGCATATCGAATACATCACGGGTAGCTTGCCAGGCTCTGCCGTGCGGGCGAGATATTCTCGGTAGCTTGCCGGGCTCTCCAAGAGGGGTGGAGGAATCGAACCCGGGTTGGCCTTGTTGGCTGCGTGCAAGGCAACCACCCTACCCGCTGTGCTATCGCTCCAGCCCACGTAATTTCTAAGTTAGCTTAAATAAAAACTTCACAAAATAATAACGATAATATTATTATTGATAATATTTGGCTTCACAAAATAATGATGATAATAATAATAATAATATAAAATTACCATTTCTCTCATTCCTTCCTGAGCCTTTAAGTATGCATTTTCAAAAGCAGTTTGCTGAAGTTTCAAAGGAAGTGCTTTCAGTAACTTAGAAGAATGTCCTTGTCTCATATCCTGGAATAGTCTTAAGGAGAAAAAAAAATTGAAATAATTTTTATTTTAAACCTTACTTTCCAAAACATATTATAAGAGAAAAATGAACATTTCTGAGACTTACTAACATACTATGGTTCCAAAGGACTAAAGAAATTTTAGTTTAATGAGGTTAAGCCAGCTGTTGAATCAGGTTCTTAACACATACTCCAATTTTTCCTAGGCCTGAAAACAATCCCAACAGAGCTTTTATTATCCAAAGTTGAACAGCCCTGAACTCAAACTCACCGGAAAATAAATTCTCTGGACTCAGACTATTAGAATAGGCCACAGATCCTATGTTAATTCCTAGACCACTTCTATTAAATCTCCGCAAAAAGTGATGGCTTTGTTTAATTTGAAGTCTTTTTCTCTGATGAAAAGTTGACCAGTGTTTTTTGCTTTACATGCTACCATAATTCAGGCTTAACTCTTTCAATTTTTTTTAATGATTTTCCAGCAAATCTTTATACTTTCTGGTGTTCTCTGATCCCACCACTTGTTCACAAAAATAACCCAGAAGTAGTAAATAACTTATATTTGATATCTAGTAACTCTCCCCAACTTAAAGAAATCAACAAAAGCTACATTCATGCCCTGTTAGCACATACTATACAGTATTCCATTTTATTACATTACACTGTATTGAATTGTACAGGCCACACCCCACATTCCTTGGCCTGTGGTATGGATGGCATTCAGGCTCATCAGTGCTCCAGCCCCAGGAGCTACTCCCAGGAAGGTGGGTGCTAACGGTGGGCACTGCAGTACCCAAAAGACAGCATGCAAGGTATTCACCGTACACCTCTGGGTTACCTCTGCTGACCCTCTTAATTTTTTTTTAATATATTTATTTTTTAATAGTGAGGCACCATGAGGTACAGTTGCAGACTTACACATTTTTGTGCTTGGGTTTCGATTATACAATGATCAAACACCCATCCCTCCACCAGTGCGCATTTCCCACCACCACGGATCCCAGCATCCCCTCCCCCCTCCCAGCCCCCATCCCACCCTGCCTCTGTGGCAGGGCATTTCCCTCTCTCTCCTTTTGAGTGCCATAGACCCTCTTAATTTTTAATGGTGCAGGGGGCCAGGACCACTCAGGTGGGCATGCTGTGCTGGGTATCAAATTAAGGGTCTCATATCTACCACCTGGGTTATCTCCCCAGCTATACGATTTTTTTTTAATCACTGATAACCTGTTAAACCTGTGTAATCCTTAAGACACAATTTTTTGCTCCCTCAAAACCCGATACAGAATCACAGTGTGTGCTGTTCATTTAAGTGAGATACCTGTAATTTACACAATATAAGATCTGATCAATTTCATTTTTGCAAATTCATCTAAAACCACAATGGGTTCCAAAGATTCTGTATCTCAAACAAGCAGGTGCTTTAACCCAACCTCTTACTAGATATATGGCAGAGTACTGAATAAGCTGCTTCCTCTAGGAGAACACCTCTTCACTTATACACAAGGTGCCTGAATTAAGAGAACACATAAGTTGTCACACATATACCATATGCTCCTTAAGAGGCAGCTGTTTTAAAGTCACAAGAGCACCCACTGACCTTGTGAGGCATGCCCTGTGGCCGGCAGTATATTCCAGACACCACAGCGACACTCAGCCATTACCTGTTCATGGACTCTGCGGCCAGCATCCGAACTTGGTGATGGTTATCAGCAAGAAACTGTGGAAATACTTCATTAACGAGAACGTCTTTTCCCATCACGGTAAGAATAGCCCACTTTGAATAAGGATCAGTCTATTGGAAAAGAATGAGTTGTGTTACAAAGGAAATAGTGAGGGCAAGAAAAATAACTAGAAAAAATGATAAAGAAAAGGAAGTAAAGGCTGTTTGAAAAATTTCAGTGGAGAACTTGATAATATTTAATGTGGATTAACTCACCTCAAGGAAAGTCTTAAGGCACTTTACTAGTGCGATTCTTACAGAGAATGTACATTTTCCCTCCTTTGCTAAGTGCCTGAAATGAAATATTTTAATGTCAAATAATTATTCTGAAAAAATCCAGTAAAAAATAATTAAGATCATAGGGATTATTCTGGGTTGTTTATAAAATTTCATTCCATACTACATTTAATTCTCATTATGATATAGATACCAATTATCTTTAGTTCTTTAAAAATATTCAGCTGAAAGAAACTAAGTATCAGGGTTCATTTTAATGTAATTTGTTTTCTAGAGTATGCCTTAAGAAAAAATATTTTTGTTGTTACATTAAAGATTTTAAATCTATAGTGATTCAAACTTTATATCAATCAAATGGCACAAGGGCTCAGAATTATCTATATCAGCTCCTCTCTAAAGTACCATGGTGCTATTTCACACTGTGATGAAATGTGTGAAATAAATAATAAATAATAAATGTATGAAATACCAGCTTGTGGTAACCAGTCCCGTTTATTCATTTATGAAATATAAACAATTGATTTAGGGTTTCTGCATTTATCTGCTTGATTCACATATTAAAATACTAAGTGACTAAAACTCACAGGGAAATATTCAAAACACACTTAGAAAAGCAAGCATTAGGAAACATTTCAGGAGGAAACACAAATTACATTCAATTACTATAATGCGAGATGTATACAACACTCTTACATTTGAGAAGTAGCAAGAACCCCACAAAATTTTTTGTACCTACCAAAATGCCTCAATCACTGTTAGGAACTGGTACTGGGCATCCCTTGAGCTCTCAGTGTCCACACTGATGCGGCCGAGAGTCCGTACCATCGGAAGGGTGTGGCTCAGAATCGTCTTACAAACATCTTGGTCTCGGCGGTATGATGAACACACGTTGCTGTGACAGGAACAGTTTGATTTTGTGATCATGATGGCACTTACCAGTTGCTTACTAAATTTGAATTGAATATAACATAGGGTTTAATTTCTTACGAGAGTGGTTTTAGGAGTTCAACAACATCTTCCATTGGCAAAGGATATTCTTCTCCTGGAAGCGCCTTTAAAAGCACTAAATACTAAGAGAGTAGGGGAAAATCTGGATTATTTTTTTCTGTAGTCCAGTTACTTAAGTACACAGATAGATACTATACATATACAAGCACTCTAAGAGTGCAAGCTTACATGTGGGCACTTATGCATGCGTGCACGTGCGCGCGCGCACACACACACACACACACACACCACTTTTAAAATCTTTGCTCATCTCTGAGCATTTGTACTCCAACCTGTCAAATGGGAATAGAGCACTTACCTGGGGATTCCTGTGAAGAGTAAAGGGATTCAGCAAATTGTAGCTATCACTCTTGAGGTAAAGCCCGAGACTACTTTCACATCCTCATTAAGTCAAAACTGTGCTTGGTTAACAACTATTCTATGACTAAACTCTATTTAGAAAAAGCAGAAATCATCGTGGAGTGGGAAGGTGTCAGGCATCCCACTGACATTTCTGTCAGGCAGCTCACAGTCCCTTTTCGGCACTCAGGATTCACAGGGCCGCTCAGCGCCCCCCAGTCAGAGCCATGATTCTAAGTGAGCAGCCGTTTCTGGATTCTGCCAAGTCATTCTCTAGCTGTGGTCAGTAAGCAAAGAACTGTGCTGAGCTTAGGTGGGAAGGATTTTTAAACTGCTGACAAGGGAGCGACAAAGGAATAAAGAATCCTGTGATGTTGCACTGGAATTCTCTGCACTCAGGGATCTCTCCTGGCAGGCCGGGGGGATTTTATGGGGTGCCAGGAACCGAACCAGGGTCAACTGCATGCAAGGCAAGTGCCCTCCCTGCTGTGCTATCACTCTAGCCTCCAATGTTGCACTGGAATTCTATTAGTAGATGGACAGGCGGGACAGGCAGGAGAAGGATTACGTTTACAATATTCTCACTGATGTTCAAATCTAAATCAACTCATGAGGAAAAAACACACACAACAACCCCCCAAATCAAAGATTCCAGTTGCTGGGGAGATAGTTCAGTGGGCACAAAGCTTGCCTTGCACAAAGCTAACCCAGGTTTGATCCCCAGTACTTCATCTTGTCTCTGGAGCACCTCCAGGAGTGATCCTTCAGCACAGAGCCAGGAGTAAGCCCTAAGCACCACGAGGTGTGGTCCCCAAAATCACAGTAACCCCCAAAAAAAGATTTTATCGGGCATGTGCTGTACTATCAAGATATGAGTCATTAAGAAGACAAAACTCAAGTTTTTCAACATGAAATAAACTATAGGCCTGAACAACTAAATGCAGTGATAGGTAAAGGTAAAGGTAAAGGCCCTCCCGTTGATCATCGATTTGCTCGAGCGGGCCCAGTAACATCTCCATTGGAGACTTTGTGTTACTGTGTCTGGCATATCGAATACTCTCGGTAGCTTGCCAGGCTCTCCGAGAGGGGCGGAGGAATCGAACTTGGGTCGGCCATGTTGGCCGCGTGCAAGACAAACGCCCTACCCGCTGTGCTATCGCTCCAGCCCAAATGCAGTGATACAAATAAATTTCAATATGATTATGCCTTGCTTATACTAGAGAACACTAGTTTTTATGAAAAAACACTGAGCACCGAGTCTGTAACTTAATCTCAAAATGGCTTCAGGAAAAACAAAAGGTACTTACGTATATGAGAGAAGGTGATTATTAGGAAAATGTGATAAAATGTAAACTGTGAAAATTTAAGAAGCGACTATGGGGGTTCTTCCAGTGTGGTAACACTAGTCCCCATTTTGAAATTATAGTGAGCGTATTTAAAGCATACAAGCCATATAAACGAAGTTAAGGAAAAAGATTTAAGTTAAAATGTTATATAAACATTTTAAAATTCACTGTTTCTTGGCTAAGTTTAAGAAAAAAAATGTTCTTTTTCTTTTTGGGTCACACCCGATGATGCACAGGGGTTACTCTTGGCTCGTGCACTCAGGAATTATTCTTTGTGGTGCTCAGGAGACCCTATGGGGTGCTGGAAATCGAACCCAGGTTGGCTGTGTGCAAGGCAAATGCCCCACCCGCTGTGATATCAATCCAGCCCCAGATTAAGAAACTTTGTAAATCTGTACTTGTGAGGCGAGTGCATCAGCAGCCTGATGGCGCCTTCAGACTTCCAGATACCCCAAAATTGCTGCTGTGCCTTTGGCCAGATCCCAAAAACTTGGGGCAAAGTTTACCAAGAAAGTAAATGGCCAAAAGTTAGGTATGTGGGAAACACACCCACAAACCACCTCCGGCTCAGCTATATAATTGGAGGCAAGACCTCTCTGGTTCCTGATCGAACTGCTTAATGGTAATGATCCCAAGAGACTCAGAGACAAATCTCAGAACCCAGCGGCTTTTGGCAGAGATGCATCTGGTCCCCGCAATGGGTACCAGCACCGAACCACCCCGGGGGGGAGGGCATTTTTCCTCCACCTGATCCCCCTTGGCGGCTCGGTGGCCGCCATCCTCCCGAAGCCACTGGAGAGTCAAGTTTAGGCTTGCAGTGACAAGACATGCGGGGCCTCATGGGATGGGGGTGGAGCTGGCCCTTTTCTCCCTGACCTAATGAGATCCCGAGTCGCCACCCACAAATGGCCTAACTCCTGATGAAGCTGCTTAATGGCCATGATCCCAGAGACTCAGAAACAAATCTCGGAACCCAGCAGGTTTGGGCAGAAATCCCTTCAGATTTAATTGTTAAAATATCGGAATTACACAATCGCACAGCCACTACTGTGGCCATGTGAAATCATGTATTATTCATAACCAGCAATAGAAAACAAATTGTCTACTGTTGCCTTTTCGGCAGATCTGAGTGTTGAGGTAAAATCCCAAACAATAATGGTGGGTCTGGTGTCAAAATATTGAATGAAATCAAAGTAGAAAGAGAGTAATGCAGAAATCATCTGTCCCACAGGTAGAGGGAGGGTGTGGGATGGGGATATACTGGGGTTTTTGGTGGTGGAAAATGGGCACTGGTGAAGGGACAGGTGTTTCATTGTATGACCGAGACTTTAACCCAAAAGCTTTGTAACTGCTCTCATAGTGATTCAATAAATAAAATTATAAAAAATAAAAAAGGGGCTGGAGAGATAGCACAGCATGGTCGGGCGTTTGCCTTGCACGCAGCCGACCCAGGTTCGATTTCCAGCATCCCATATGGTCCTCTGAGCACCGCCAGGAGTAACCCCTGTGCATCACCAGGTGTGACCCAAAAAGCAAAAAAAAAAAAAAAGAAAAAAAAGTAAGGTGGAGTTACTGCCCAATTCAATCAGCTTAACCAATGGCTGAATAAATAGCAGTACTCCTACATAAAAAAAAAAAGAGAAACTTTGTAATAATAACATCTAAAGAGAAAATTATACATTCAGGGTACTTCCAAGTTTTAATATCTGAATCTGCTTATATATTCTTTCACAGCACTTTAAAAGAAAAGGTACTTTATGACTACTCTCAGATTCATTTTTTAGCGCTGGGGCACCAAATGTACTGGTGGATTCTGATGTCAGTTCATGAGATTTAGCCTCTATCATCAGAGAGAACAGAAATAGTTTCTTCATTTTACTTAACTTACCATGTGCAAGTGGAGATATTTAGTAAGATCTAGCATGCTAGAATCAATCAGCATTAGCAGTTTCCTCCGAATATCAGCTGCTCTAAATGATACCGCACTGGTCTGAGCAGTCACACACAGACACAAGAACTTGAGCATGTCTAAAATAAGGTAATCTTGTTTGGACAAATGTTCTTCAGCTAAGGGCGTGATGGCACCTGAAAATAAAGAGCACTTAGTAAGACTCTGAGAGGGCCCCAAACCTCACAGATACTCATCAGTAACTCCTACTCCGGATAGGGCGTCTGCCTTGCATGCGGCCGACCCTGGTTCGATTCCCAGCATCCCATATGGTCCCCTAAGCACTGCCGGGAATAATTCCTGAGTGCAGAGCCAGGAGTAACCCCTTGCATGGCCAGGTGTGACTCAAAAAGAAAAAAAAAAGCATCAAAATTCTTCATAATAGGTTTCTTGATCATTTTCCGTAAATCACAGATCACAGATCATCCTGTTATTCGTCGATTGCCTCGAGCAGGCCCCAGTGACGTCTCCTTCATCCAAGCCCTGAGATTATATTCAAGGCTCTTTAGGAGAATGAGACCCATCATTGTTACTGGTATTTGGCATATTGGGTACACCACGGGAGTTTGCCAGACTCTGTCGTGTGGGCAGGCTACATTCGGTAGCCTGCCAATTTGTCAAAGTAGGAATGAGATGTCATAATAAGATGTCGCGCGGACGCGAATGCGGCTGCGCGGTTCCAGGAGCTGGTTTTTATAGTCTCTGAGTCTTGGCCGCTGATGGGATTACACGGCACCAGGGGGCCAGTTGGTGGGTGTGACCATAAATAAATAAAAACTAGTAAATTGAACTCCAGAGTATAGCAGACAGGGTGCTTATATTGCACAAGCCAATCCATGGTCGCTTCCCAGCACCTTGTTGGGTCCCCGGAGTGCTGGAAGAACTGAACCCTAAGTGCAGAGCCAGGAGGAAGCCCTCAGCACTGCCAGATGTGGGCAAAACAAACAAAAAGTCAGTTAAATTACAGAATACTTACAGTCAATTAAAAGGATGATTCAATATAAGTAGTTACGTTTAAAAAACATTCATTTCTAATGCAACACCAGAAAATAGACAAAGTATAAAAGGCCTCTGAATGTTGATGCTGACGACAAGTTTAAAAGGAAATTCACAATTTCCAAATGTACAGAAATAAGAGGAAAAAGTCAACAGTGATTACTTACAGCGAGTGCTTTTTTCACAGTCTTACTTTCAAACTTGCCAAACCATCTATGGCTTCTCTAATAAAGTCTTAACGTCTTCCTTCCTTCCCTATTTTTGGTACCACACTTGCTTTTGCTCAGGGCTGACTCCTGGCTCTGCATTCAGGGATCACTCCTGGCAGGGCTTGAGGCGACCATATGAAGTGTTGGAGATGGAACCCAGGTCAGTTGCACCTAAGGCAAGTGACCTACCCACAGTACTATCTCTCCAGCCCCTATGGCTTTCTTTCTTTAGTAATTATTTTAAATTCCCAATGGAAAAGTAAATAAATAGCTAATGAAATACATGACAAAGCTCAAATGTTTAGAAGGAAACAATCCTAGTGGACTATTTCAAGAGGAAATCAATGAGTTTAAAATTAGTACTCATTGAGCTGGGTTGTGAGTCTTGGCTTTGCATGCTGGAGTCTTGGCTTCAACACCAGCACCACATGATCCCCAGAATTGCCGAGAGTGACCCCAAGCCCTGCCAGGTACAGCCCCCAAATACAAAAAAGAAGTGATATTCATGGGTTGAGGCTGCAGCATATGCCTTGCACTTCCAACATCCCTGAGTTCCAGTCTCCTGAAATCTATCCCCACACTGCTGCTGGTGATTCTGGTGGCCCCCAGAGCTACTCCGAGCTACACCAGACTGCTGGGCCCAAGAACCTAAACTTAAACCTAATGATGATTAGCCAAACCATCAGGTGTGGCTCCCAATCACTGTTGGGACATGGACATGTCTCCCAAAATAGGTGGCATCCATGAGGTATTTTGTACTGCCAAACAGAAATAAAAAGGAACTCCCAGGTAGGAAATACGTATTTACCAAGAGAAATTTGGTTTTCTCCACATTCACTTGCATCACTATTAGCAGAGTGATCACGGGGCAGATTCATGGAGGAATGGTCGTCCATCTCCATTAGATTCTCATCAGCATCTTCTTCCACTGATTCAACTTCTCTATAGTCAAGGGGCTTTTTGGTAAAAGATGCCTACAAAGAAGAAAAAAGATGTTCTTCCTTAAGTTGGTGTCTTTTGGAAGTATGTTTTCGTTAAAACTGATCAATTTTGAATTTTATATATAATCATGTATATAATCAGTATTACTTCTACTATTTACTGCAGAAAACATGTAAACAGCAATGTCTATCATGGAAAATATAAATTTTATAAATAATTTTTATATTAAGTAGGTTTTTTTTGTTTTTGTTTTGCCTTTTTGGGTCACACCCAGCAATGCTCAGGGATCACTCCCGCTCTGCACTCAGGAATTACTCCTGAAGGTGCTTGGGGGACCATATGGGATGCCGGGGATTGAACCCAGGTCGGCCGCGTGCAAGGCAAACGCCCTACCCGCTGTGCTATCGCTCCGGTCCCTTAAGTAGTTTTTTAATTCCCCAAATTTATGATGATGCAAGAACAATTTACACAGATGTCATTACCGTTTTGTAGGATACAACATCCATCCAAGAGTAAAATTCACATTTCTTTAATAAAACAGTTCCATTTCCTACTATGTCTTAGGCATACTATGTCACAGAATTTATCTTCTGTCTTAAATACAGGTACATATAAACAGACAAAAGGACAAAATCTTTGCCACAGAATTTTTTGCAACGAAAAACTAGATACTAAAAAACACAATACAAAACCATAGATACCACTTAAATCTTCATATCAGTAGGAATGGCCCTCCCGTTGATCGTCGATTTGCTCGAGCGGGCCCAGTAACGTCTCCATTGGAGACTTTGTTGTTACTGTGTTTGGCATATCAAATACTCTCGGTAGCTTGCCGGGCTCTCTCAGTAGGAATGAAGAACATAAATTGTTTCCCCATATAACCAAAAAAGCTCTACTGCTAAAAACAATCTTAAGAACAGCAGAAAGTTATGACATACATATCATGAGGCATTCCTCTGTGAAATTTTAATTTAAAAAAATTAAGAGAAATTTAAAATACCGTAATAAAACAAAAAGCATACTCACTAAACTTCGACAAATATCTGCAATATCATTCATTAGCTTTGATGTTAACAATCGTAGGAAAAATCCAGATGTGACCTTATTTGGATTGTGCTATAAGAAAAATAAAACCCAAGCAAACAATTATTCTTGGCAAATATTTTAAGTGAAATGTATATTCTATACTAGAAATGCTGTGTCATAAGAAGCAGGGATAGAGTTTACTATTAGGATATCAAGATATAAACTGCTTCAAAAACACTGATCTTATTTTTTTTTTAGAATAATAATAACAACTCAGTACATACCTTCCACTGAACATAAACGATATTAAAGTAAAACACAACTATAGGCACTAACCCTAAGCAGGTTATAATCATATCCTGGAGTTTATTCTTACACTTTTCCATTTCCAAATGCAGAAACACATATAACACTACCCAAAACACATGCTGATAATAGTGCTATATGACCAGGGCCTTCATTTTTAACTTCCAAAAGTGTTTCCAATTATTATCAATACTGTGGCCTGTCTCAGTCACCCCTAAGGTCTGCTCAGAATTGGAACAAAGATTATACATGGTGGGACTGTTTCTATCAAAAGTCTTAAAAGTCAGTGCTACAGTTATTTATCTTTGCAAAGCTCAGCAGCCTTTGGTATTAATGGTGTGATATCACACAACCAACAGTCAACAAGTTGCATTAAAGGGGTGGCAGGTGGGGAGGGCAGCTCCCATGCAATGAACGAGGGGCTCAGGGGCCACTTCAGCGCCAGGGCCATCACCCTGGCAGTACTTGGGGGTCCTCAGGGTTACCCCTGTGTTACCTCCCTGGCCCCAGGAAGTTCTTTTTTCTCCTTGTTTTTGGGGTTGCACCAGCTTGTGTTCAGGGCTCACTTCTGGTGGTGCTCAGGGGACCAAATATGGTGCTGGGCATAGAATCCAGGGTTCTTATTGGCACTTGTCACTTATCATCCCGTTGACCATCGATTTGCTCGAGCGGGTGCCAGTAATGGCTCTATTCATCCCTGTTGCATGCTAGCGTAGCCCAATGGCGTATTGGGAGGCTCTTTCAGGATCAGGGGAACGAGGTCCGTTATTGTTAAATTACTGTTTTTTGGCATATCGAATACGCCATGGAGAGTTTGCCAAGCTCTGCCATGTGGGCAGGATACTCTTGGTAGCTTGCCGGGCTCTCCAAGAGGACGTATATCAGTGGACTAGAGGGGGTTCTTATTAAATACATGAAAATGTGCTGGCAACAAGAGAGGTGCCGATACAACTATATACAAAAATGTTGACATAATCTTAGAACATACCCAAAGTGACCTAAATTTCATCATGTCATAGAAACTGGGATTACCAACTGCATTACTCCTTTGGTTGCTACACTTATTTACCATTCAATTCAATTTGAAATTAGTGCATAGACTTGTGAATGGCCCAAAAAACAATACCAAAGGAACCCCAACAGCTTAGGTATCTCCGAGGAAGGGTCTCTTTTCAAGGAGGAAGAACATCTTACCTTGGTACAGTTACACAAGCAACTTGTACAGAGATGTATCATGTTTCTCAGTGCAACAATCCTAGATTCTTCGTTTGTCTTATTCTTAAACAGACTGATACTTTCTGCTGCACACTGCATTAGAGACTATTAAGGGTAAAAGAAGGAGAATCACAAATTTCAGTTAAAATTAGAGCGTAGTCATTGCTTTTTAGAGTTTTAAGAGGTTAAAATCCATTTCAAGAAGCAACAGTTGGTTTTATAATTTAAAAATATGTACTTCTAAAAAATGATATGTACACCCCCATTTTTCTTATAAAGCATAGCATCCAGTGATGGAAATAAGTGCCAATGGTTAGAGTCCAGTTGATTAATACTCTTTGTCAGGATTTTTTAAGCTAGATGATTCAGGAAAAACTCTGAAAACTTAAGGGACTGGTAATGTGGCTAAGAGTTAGAGAACATGCCTACATAATGTAAGGCCCCAAATTTAATCACCACAAATCCCAATTTCTCCAAGATGCAGAAACACTCCAAGAATCTTGTTAAAGAGACTAACATTACTGTAATTTTAAAAATTACTATACTTAAAGTTGATTAAAAATAATTTAAAATCTCAATAAAATATAGTACAATTTCTTCTCAGATGCATAAAGATTAACCAACACAAAAAGTAGTGCTTTACAAACAAATACATCAATTTTTCCCAGGAACACACTTTACTGAAAATTCTACCAAGCTTTACCAGCATCAATTCTCCTACCTTGGCTTTCTGGAATAATTCTGATTTGTACACTTGCTCTTCACTTATCACACCCACATAACAGTAGCAGCCAAGAACACCCACTAGAAGACTTGAACACCGAACAAGCTTTTCTGAATTTGTGGCCTTCGAGCGAAAGAAAAAAAAATCTTATAAACATATTTGATGACTCTACAGCTATCTTTTGTAAAAACAAAATTTTAAGAACAAATTTTATGTATGTTATTAAGAAACAAAAGTTTAGTTAATTGAATTAGAAGTGTTTGGGGCCGGAGCAACAGTACAGTGGGTAGGGCATTTGCCTTGTACGCAGATGCTTTTTAGTACAAGTTCGATCCCAGCATCCCATATGGTCCCCCACACACAACACCAGGAGTAATTCCTGAGTGCAGAGCCAGAAGTAACCCCTGAGCATTGCTGGATATGACCCTCCCCCCAAAAAAGCAATAAAAGTGTTATTATTCTATCTGAAAAAACACTTGAGTCCCTGAAGTAATGAGTTAACCGAGGAAAATATAGCAGAAGTGTTCCCTAATAATCAAAGAAGCTATCTCATCTTAGAGAAAATACTGCACACACAATACTTAAAGAAGTAGAAAAGGCGAGGGAGAGAAAAAAAAACTGATAGGTAAATGCTACCTTTTAGTACATTAGCCAAGATTCAGATAAAGACATTAAAATGATGTTTTGAGTCTCTGAGGGCAAGAACCTTAACCTAGTATGTTCTTAACTCCCCATATGAGTAGAACCATTTTGTTTTTCTACACAAGATACTACTTAGTCAATTTTATAGAATTATGTAAGAAACTGCAAAGGTTTAACAGAAAAACAAGTTTTCTGGATTTTGTTTCTACATTCTAGAAAATGGCATTTTAAAAGACTGTTAAAAGACAAGTGGTTTCAACTGTAACCCAGAAGACAGTCAGGAATGAAGGCTAAGGTCCTTTGTTTAGAGAGCATACACAGATCTCTCTGGCTTAAAGCTGTCATGTCATATAAAAACAAAAATGTGACTGAAATTAAAAGATGAAATAATATGGCTGAGATTATCTAAGAAAGGCTTTGGCAAGAATTTTGACATGTGGATGACTGAAACACACACAAAAAAAAAATTCCATGTTAAAAAAAATGGAATTTTGGCTTTCAGTATCATTATTACAAACCACAATGCCTAAAAGGAGAGAGAGAGAGAGAGAGAGAGAGAGAGAAGGGAGGGAGGAGGGGAGGAAGGAAGAGAGGAAGAGAGAGAGGGAGGGAGAAAGAAAGAAGTGCCTGCCATAGAGGTAGGCAGGGAAGGGGGGAGGAGGTAATGGGAGAGAACCTGGGGATACTGGTGCTGGGAAATGTACACTGTAGAGAGAGATGGGTGTTGGTATACTGTATGACTGAAATCCAATCACGAACAGCTTCATAAGGGTCTATCTCAGTGATTCAATAAAAAAGTTTAAAAAAAATTGGAATTTTGGCAAGAGCAGCAGAGTATGATTTTAAAGAGCACAGGAAATGATATCAGAAATTACTAAACGACATCTAAAATAAGGGTGCCTCCTAATTCATTTATTACTTTTTTTTCTTTTTCGGTTGTGGCGCTACACCTAGCTATGCCCAGGACTTACTCCGGGCTCTGATCTCAGGAATTACTCCTGGCAGTGCTTAGGGGATGGTCTGTGATGCCAGGGATTGAACTGGGGGTCAGTGACATACAAGGCAAGCACCTTACCCTCTGAACTATCTCTCTGGTCCCTTTATTACATTTATTAATCACTCCTACCTTTACAAATACTACCAAAATCATTCACTTGTCTTTTCCTGTTACGATAATATTTGAAGAATATTTTCTATTCTTTTTCCTCTGTATCAAAAGGTTCTTTTTAACAATTTAATCACTACACATTACTGCTATGCTCCATTCGTCTACTGAAAGAATTCTACTTTATGATTATTTTGGAGGGTATAGGCACAGTCAAAAAATGGGATGCCTTTACAGCACACAGTCACAGAGAAGAAAGGCCGTGCGGGGGCCTCCACAGCTACCGAGAATGCTCCTGGTTCCGAAGAGAGCCGAGATCACCGGGAAGTCCCAGATGGGGTAGGTGCCGCATCCCGCCTCCTCCAGAGGGAACCCCGGTGACCATGAGCCTCTATAAGCTCGCTTATGCAGGAACCAGAACTCTCACTGCTTAGGCGGCCGCGTGACATCTTCTTATATATAAAGTGGTCAATGGAAAGTAAATTCTCCAACGTTTTTCCCGGAAAATCAGGCTTAACTCTTTTACAAACCACAACACCGAATAGGAAAGAGAGAACAAAAGGGAATGCCCTGCCACAGAGGCAGGGTGGGATGGGGATGGAATGGGGGGTGGGAGGGTTACTGGGATCCGTGGTGGTGGGAAATGGTTACTGGTGGAGGGATGGGTATTCAAAATAAATAAATAAATTTAATTAAAAAAAATGGGATGCATGCACTCCCAGTCATCCTTGGCCCCAAGCATTTTCCTGCCTTGATCTTGATGTCTACCAGAATTCCCGGTACTAAGGAAATGACGGATTCTCCTTTTACCTTCCCATTTGTAGTCCTATGCTTGTTGCTTTGCCCAAAACAAGTGTCTCGTCATCACTGGAGCTTTTCCTGCCCATTTCGCCTTCCTAACAGCCTATCAAAGTTGAATCAGACACAGACTTTAGGGCCTTCTGAAAAGCTCACCTCAGATGAGTAATTATTTAGAAGCTGTTCTGATAATCCAAGAAGAGAGCGTTCCAGAGATTCTTTCAGATCTGGGCGGACAGAAAGGCCTATACTGGATTGCTGCTTCTGTGGAGAACATTCTTTTGCAACGGTTAAAAAGTCCATCTTGTCAAAAGTTGTCTGAAGAAACAACTCTTCAATTTCTGAGAAGGAAGACTCCTCTTTATCTTTATGGTGTTGCTCACTTCAGGAAAGCAAGATTTCAAATTTACAATCAACTACCTCACACTTCATAGTGCCATAAACTGTGAAATGCATTTCACAGATACAAGCATTATTCAAAGATTGATTCAAGTAATACGTGAGCTTTCTTTTAAATACCTCTCTTCCTGTACTTCAACACTTAATTAACTGTATTTAATTTTATAACTTAATAGCAAACATTACTGGAAAAAAACACCTGGATATCAATCAAGAATATGGGGCTGGAGAGATAGTACAAGCAGATAGGGCCTTTGTCTTACATGTGTCTGATCGGGGCTCACTCCCCAGCACTGCATGTGGTTCTCCAGCAAAGCCAGAAGCGACCCCTGAGCAGATTCAGGAGTAAGCCTGAGCACAGCCTGGTATGGTCCAAAACCAAACCCAAAAACAAACAAACAAACAAACCAGGATGTGGCTCAATGGTACAGAATTCACGTTACATGTGTAAGGTCCTGGGTTTTAATGGTCATTCCTGGTGATGTTCAGGGACTATATGTGGTGTCTGCATACAAGGCAAGTAATTTAACCCTTGTACTATCTTTCTGGCCCCATAAGATCATAATTTTCAGAAGATCTGTGTGTGTACGTTACCAGAGACTGAATCCAGGACTTCACATTTGCAAGACAAGTGCTCTAACACTGAGCTATTAATTTAGATTAATTAATTTATGGCAAGGCTGGAGCGATAGCACAGCGGGTAGGGCGTTCACCTTACAAGCGGCCAACATGGCCGACCCGAGTTCGATTCCTCCGCCCCTCTCGGAGAGCCCGGCAAGCTACCGAGGGTATCTCGCCCGCACAGCAGAGCCTGGCAAGCTCCCCGTGACGTATTCGATATGCCAGACACAGTAACAACAAAGTCTCCAATGGAGATGTTACTGGGCCCGCTCGAGCAAATCGACGATCAACGGGAGGGCCTTTACCTTTACCTTTAATTTATGGTGATTTATATTTTTATCTAACTTCATCACCATCTTTGTGATTAACCCTTTACCTTAAATGAAATACAGAACTCTGTTGAATAACCTACCATTCTGGCACACTCTGGAAGAAGTTCATTGCAGCTTTACTGTTTTTCATAGTGAGACTCACAAGAATTTTCTCCAACGCAAGATGAGGAAAATTACTAGAAAGGAAAATAAAAATCTTGGCTTAGAAGACCAAAACTTATTATTCTTTAAATGGAAACATAAATATTTGGATATAAATTGTAATCTCAAAAACTTAGATCCAAATTTTAATTGCTTTCTCTGAGATCTGGTCTTAATAAGTGAAATCAATGATGAAACAGCTAATTTGAGCATTGTATTTTCTAGTTTATCTGGTGCATGATTCTGAGAAGCACCAACATCATGTGTGCTGAGGATGCATAGAAAATACAGCAGATAACCGAAGACTCAGTGCTAGATGAGACCGGGGGAGTGTGTGTGTGTGTGTGTGTGTGTGTGTGTGTGTGTGTGTAAAATGCTGATCAGCTGAGTTCTGATTAAAATATGTTACTTTAATCAGAGGTCAGATTATGACCCTTTTCCAAGGTTTTCTACACTTGATCTGAGCTCAGAATTTAAAAAAGAAAGTGAAAAACATGAACATTCTTTCTGTTTGCTGTTAGATATGGCTACATCTGCAGTGAAAATGGAAAGCGCATATTTTCTGTGACTGTCATTTTCAGCACGTCCTTAGGAGTGGATTCACATAGATTCTGAAACAAAGAGTTAGTGAATTTCAGGTGAAAACATGGGGCCCAGAGGTGTTTCTTCAGTCAGTCAGTAAGTCAGTCAGTCAGCCCCAATTATATATGCCCAGTGTGCAGCTGAACAGAGAAGCTGCCTCACATTCTTAGGCCCTGACATTCCTGTGTCTCAGCCCCCCTGTTGTCTTTCTCTCACTTTCTCTCCCCATTCATTTTAACCTCTTTCACCCAGTGGTGCTCATCATTATAATTTCAGGATGCACCCAAGTTGGCTATGTATGGAACTGACAGAATAGCACAAAAGAACACCTGGTACCCAAAGAATTATATACGCTTATGCATGGGGCTGGAGCGATAGCACAGCGGTAGGACATTTGCCTTGCACGCATCCAACGTGGCCGACCCGAGTTCGATTTCTCCGACCCTCTTGGAGAGCCCGGCAAGCTACCGAGAGTATCTCGCCCGCACGGCAGAGCCTGGCAAGCTCCCCGTGACGTATTCGATATGCCAGACACAGTAACAACAAATTCTCCAATGGAGACGTTACTGGGCCCACTCGAGCAAATCGATGAACAACGGGAGGACAGTTACTAATGAACAGTTACTAATGCATGAATATCCTTCTCTGCTTACTCAATGACCAGGCAGAGTCAAAAACAAAGTGAAAAGGATTTACACAGATCCAGGCCTAAAGTCACAGAACACTGAAAAGACACTGAAAAAACCCCAAACAACTCTTACATATTCAGAGCTGGCCCAAGGCTACCCTGGTTATGAGTAGAGCATCTACTTGAGGGTGAAGACTTACAGAATCAAACCCCAACAGCCTGTGCGCGAGCACTTTACCTGTGAAGAACTGGGGGCAACTCTGTACTCTCTTCTAGGTCATCCTCCGGCTGACAAAGCAAGAGCCATTTCATTATCAATTCCTTTAAAGAGAAATTTCTGTTTACTTCGTATCCATTCAGTTCCATTCCTGCTTGGACTGTTTCCGGAACTGCAGAGGTGCTCAGCGCCAACGTCAAACAGCGCACTGCAGGACTGTACATGGAGCAGAGGACCACAGTCAAAAGGAAGCTCTTTGAGGTACACACAGTTTGTCTGCCTTGTTTCCTGTGGTGCTAGCAGTCCTGGGCAGAACCTGACACTTCATAAGCAGAAAGCAAACTTTTATAACAATACACAGTACTGCTAAAAAGAGTAAGGTTTATAAAGTGTATGCAAATAATTGGGCTGGAGCGATAGCACAGCGGGTAGGGCGATTGCCTTGCATGGGGCTGACTCGGCCAACCTGAGTTCGATTCCTCTGCCCCTCTCGGAGAGCCGGCAAGCTACCGGGAGTTTGTCACTCGCACGGCAAAGCCTGGCAAGCTCTCTGTGACTCTCCATGACGTAGTCAATATGCCAAACACAGTAACAAGTCTCACACTGCTACTGGGCTGGGTCTGCTCAAGCAAATCGATAAACAACGTGAGGACAGTCACAGTGACAGTGATGCACATAATTGTTTTTTGTTTTTTCAGTCACACCCAGCGATACTCAGGGGTTACTGCTCGCTTTGCACTCAGGAATCACTGCTCACAGTGTTTGGGGGACCATATGGATGTCAGGGATCGAACCTGGGTTGGCCGCATGCAAGGCAATTGCTTTACCCTCTGTATTATCAATCTCATACCCTCTCTCTAACTGTTAATTATTAAAGTCTTTACTCTTTTAAAACTGGACTTAGTAACCTCTTTACATCCGAAGCTAAATTTACATTAGGACTTTGAATATGGGCAGAAGAGATAGTATAGGAGTTAAGGCCTTGCATGCAGCTGACCCTGGTTCAATCCCCAGAACCATCTATGGGCCTCCAAGCACCACCATGAGCACAGAGCCAGGAGTGTGGCTCCAAGGTCTGTCCCCCATAAAGACCTCCCAATCAAAAACAGCTGCATTTGATCAAATATATCTCTAACTGAAGTTACAAATTACAAAAATAATAGGGAGAAAATAGACACAGACTGAAAATATGATATGATGCATAGTCAACTTACTATGAAGGTCTGCAAGCTGACCCTGTAAATACCTTCCAGAATTCTCTGTCAATCTCAACCAAATTGCCTTGAATGATGGCTTGAAGTAAGCCAAAATTTTCCGCTTGTGCTTGTTCAGTACTTATACCACGAAAAGCAATTGACCATATTTTAATCCAGAGTTTCCGCAAATCTGACTTCTGTGAGCATTCCAGGTTCGATTTTTTGCTTTGACACAGTGCAACTTCCGCCAGGCACCGCAGTACGTGTGGCCTGCGTTCCCCCTGGCCCCGCTGAGGGAGGAGCTGGTACAGGATCATCAGCAACGGGCACAGCTCAGAGTCTGGCAGACTTGCGGGGTACTTTGATATTAACTGAGTTGCAATCTGTAACCTGAAAGGAAAAAAAGGATCATTTCAAAACGGCCTTCTGCCATAAACAAGTGGTATGAAAGATGTATCCTCTTACCCTTTATCATACTATCCAAATAAACTGGCTCTTATTATTCATCCAAGTGAAAAGGCAGGAAGGTGATAAACTAATTTTTTTTTTACAAAAATGCTCAGGTGGTCTGCTCCATCCCTCTCTGGCTTGCTGTCACCACTTTTAGGTTCATTATTTTCTAACACAAAAACTCCAGGGTGAAGCAATAGTATATGGCTTAAGGACACGTGCCTTACAAGTAAATGGTCACAGTACAAACCCAGATGTCCTGAATAGTACCCAGATCCACTAGGTGTGACCCCATGCACTGAACTAGGATTGAAATGCGCCCCCACCCCCAATCTATGAAAGTGGGACTCGGCAAACAGCTCTAAGGTCTGGAGCACCTGCTTTGCACAGGGAGGCCCTGAGTTTGATCCCAGGCGCCACACACAAGGTGTCCTGAACAGAACTGGGTGCAGACTTTTTGCCCCAGTGTCACTGAACCCAAGTGACACTACATCACCAGCACAAATCTGGCCCGCACACCAGTTTAAATATCACGGGGAGTGGCTCCACACACAAGCTCTAATAATTCAGTTAGCAGTATTCTGAGTTATTGCACACACCCCTAATCTTCAGCTACTAGTAACATGTCTCCTGAAAAAGAAAAACAAACCAGAAGGCTGACTTTCCCTCTTAACATTTGTGCAGTTAAGTCAGTCAATATTTGAGACGAGTACTCAGGAAAGTACTTGATAAGATGAACTGTGGTCTGGGGTGATAGTATTGGGGTAAAGGCATTTGCCCCTCATCCTGCTGGCCCTGATTTAAACTCCAGCACCACATTTGGTCCCTGAGCATGGCCAGGGGTCTCTCCTAAGCACAGAGCCAGGAGTAATAACCTCTAAGCATTGCCAGGTCTGCTCCTCCACGCCCCCAAACAAAAACAAAAGAGAACAGGAACTTTATCTTCACTATTTTTGCAGTGCTGGGGACTGAACCCAGGTCACATGCATGCAGGTCAAGGGCTCTGCTGCTGGACCGTATCCCCAGTTCCAGAAACTTAACTTTAATCACCTCTACATCCCTAATGATTGGCACACACACGAGGTGTCTAATAACTAACTCGTGTTGAAAGGGAATTTACAGAATCCGAAACAGGCGCCCTCAATTACCTAAAATAAACATGAACACAAGCAACCGCTATTTAACCAAATAACTTTCCCTTCCAATTCAATTATGTGTAAATATTCCATCAATCTGGTAAAGATGAGAAAAACCACAAATCACAGTGCAATCTCTAAGTTTATACCTGTCCTCAGGTATGTTACTTAACTTCCTGGGTTTCATTTTCCTTTTTTATATGACAAAAAGGTTGCACTGGATGGAGTCTAAACACTCCTATCAAGCTCACAGAATGATTCCACAGATTTCCACAATTTATTTAAATGATTATAATTGGTATGAAACTAAAGAAGAATAAATAAGGGGAAAAAAAGCATTTTATCATGACATCAGGTGAGAATTATTTGATTTTTTTTTCTTTCTGGGTCACACCCGGTAATGCACAGGTGTTACTCCTGGCTCATGCACTCAGGAATTATTCCTGGTGGTGCTCAGGGGACCATATGGGATGTTCGGAATCGAACCTAGGTCAGTCATGTGCAAGGTAAATGCCCTATTCGTTGTGCTATTACTCCAGCCCTTCTTCTTTGATTTCTAAATGCTATTTTTAACTTCTTCATAAGCCGATTCTACATGCCAGCATGCCTTTGTGCTGCGGTATACAACTGTCCTCCGCTGAGTCAGACACTGGCTGCCAGGCTCCCATTCTCCCTCTTCGTGCCAGGGCTCGAGGCTTTGGAGAGGTAACCCCGGCATGGCAGAGGAGCCCTAACGTGGGTCTCAGCACGCCCCAGTCAATGACTGGCTGGGAGTGGACTCGTGACGTAGTTCTGGCCAGGGAGATGAAAAGATCCTTCTGGAGAAAGAATGCTGAAATGACACCAAACGAGAAAAAGAAAAGACACGTACCAAGGGACAAGATAAAAATCATTCTGGGATTTCTGAAGGTGGTCTTTTATGACTTCCCAGCCTAATTGTATTTTCTTCTTTTTGCAAGGTGTACCACTACAATCTTTTTGTGTGGTAGTGTAATACTGGGAAATCTCCAAAGATGTGATATCCTCATTAAAAACCTGGAGTATAAGGAAAAAGAAAAAGTTATTCTTTTCATTGCCATTGGTCATTAGGACACTGAACAAAAAGTTCATTAGGGGGAAAAATAAAACACACACACACAAGGGTTGGAGCTATAGTACAGCAGGTAGGGCATTTGCCTTGCAGGCGGCCGACCCAGGTTCAATTCCCAGCATCCCATACAGTCCCCTGAGCACCGCCAGGAGTAATTCCTGAGTGCAAAGCCAGGAGTAACCCCTGTGCATCGCCGGGTGTGACTCAAAAAGCCAAATTTCCCCACTTGATCACTTGACATCCCATTACTCATCGATTTGCTCGAATGGGCGCCAGTAACGTCTCCATTCATCCCTGTCACATGCTAATGTAGCCCAATGGCATCTACTCATTCTAGGAACATGAAGAGCTTCAAACCGATCGAAGAAGTCTGACCATCTCATAGGTGGGCAGCCACGCAATCTTTTGATGTCCTGTGGAATCCAGTCGGTAATGGATCCAGTCCAGCGGACATCTCCAAATTTCATTACGTGTCCTGCCCATCTTGGCAAACTAGACAGTGTCCCTGATCCTTGACCTTCGATGAAGGTCAGAACTTCGGATTCTTTCTCTCATCTGAGTGAAGCGTGATACTCCAAGCATAGCTCTTTCGATTCCTCTTTGGGAGACCCGAATAGCGTTCTCATCTTGTTTGCGTAGGGCCCAGGTCTCTGAGGCATATGTTAATGCAGGAAGAACACTGGAATCAAAGAGATGTGACTGGAGCTGGAGGTTCTTTGTTCTCTTAGCTATTTCTTCGACATTCTTGAAGGCGTTCCAAGCCGCTCTCTTCCTCCTGCGCAACTCAGGTGCCAGGTCATTCGTCATATTGACTTCTCGACCTAGGTACACATAACTGTTGCATTCGGAGATGTTCGTCCCGTTGAGAGTGAATGGAACGTCAGGAACAAGACCATTTCTCATAAATAGTCTTTGTTAGATTCAGCTGTAGTCCGACCTTTCCACACTCATGGTCGAAGTCGGCCAGCATTTGTGCCACTTGGCTGATGTTTGGTGCTATGAGAATGATGTCATCAGCGAAGCGTAGGTGGTATAGTTGCCAACCGTCTATCTTAACTCCCATTCCTTCCCATTCCAGTCGTCGCATAACGTTCTCGAGGGTGGCAATGAAGAGTTTCGGTGAAATGGTATCACCCTGCCGAACCCCTCTCTTGACATCGATGATCACTTCTTTGTAGAATGGTGAGATCCTGGTAGTGAATCCGCAATACAGCTCATGGAGGATCTTGATGTATTGCGCTTGAATGCCCTGATTGGCTAGGGCTTCAGTGACCGCTTCTGTCTCAACAGAATCAAAGGCCTTCTTTAAATCAATGAATGTTAGACAGAGTGGCATCTTGAACTCCCGAGAAACCTCAATGAGCTTGGTTATCGTGTGGATATGCTTAATCATGATGAATCCTTTGCGGATCCCGGCTTGATTGCATGGTTGTCCTTCATCTAGTGTTCTGCCAATCCTATTCAGGATGACTCGAGTGAACTGCTTGTACATGACAGACAATAGGAAGATCAGGCGATAGTTGCCAATGTCGTGGATGTCTCCCTTCTTGTACAGTAGTACAGTTCTGCTGGTTTTCCATTGGGACGGAGCCTTGCATTCAGACAGGTAGCATGTGAAGAGCCAAGCGAGTGTATTGATGAGTACTGACGGCACGTTCTTCAGGTGCTTGGGTCTGACCTTGCCTGGGCCAGGTGCTGTTCGCTTCTTTACCAATGAAATAGCATGTCGGATTTCAAAAGGGAGAACGTTGGGAACGACATATCCATCCTGCGGAATTTGGTATGTGGGCAGGTGGACATGGCTATCAAAGAGATCCAAGTAGAAGTCATGGATAATCTTCTCCATTGCCCTTCTGGAAGAGGTGATAGATCCATCAGGACATCGGAGGGCAATCATCCTGGTCTTGTAGTGGGCGAAGGACAGGCGGGTGTTGCAAATGCTTTTCCCAGCTTCTGCCGCAGGGAACCCAGGAGCAGGGATCCTCTGCCTGCTCCCAGCAGCCCGGCAGACCTCCATTACCTCCACTACCTCCACTACCCAGCCGCGGACGCCCTCCAGGATGCTTTTTAGATCATGTGGCCACAGGCAGCCATGCAACACATCTTAAAACATTTAATACAAGATTACTGCACCACATTTGAATGCATTGAAATATTGTTTGAAGCATGGAAACTCCTGTAAGGGTGATTAGAGGCCGCCCTAAAAGCCTCTATCCCTCTCGGAGAGCATGGCAAGCTACCGAGAGTGTTCCACCCACACGGCAGAGCCTGGCAAGCTACCCATGGTGTGTTCGATATGCCAAAACCAGTAAATACAATAGGTCCCATTCTCCTGACCCTGAAAGAGCCACCAATATGGCAGCGTTAAGAAGGATGAGGAAGGAGAGGCTCATAAAATCTCAGAACCGACCTAGGCTGCCAAAATGAAGGACAAAAATGACTGTACTTTCAATGCACGTACACTGGCATCGGATGCATCCATTGAGGACCTGATGGTGCAAGCGCGAAAGATCAAGTATGACATCACTGGTCTAACTGAGACGAGAAGGCGTCAATCACATCACGCCATTTTCGACACTGGGGAAGAACTGTTCCGTGGAACATGCAACAAAAGAGGTGTCAGTGGTGTCGGTGTCCTTGTCAACACAAACTTGGCCATAAACACTGATTCATTTGAATGCCTAACAACCTGATTCGGACGATTACACTTGAATAGATGTGGCTCACTGCCAGCAGTTTCTATCGTCGTCTATGCACCAACATCCAATTATTATGAAGGAGAAATTGAGTTCTACATGGAGCTGAAGAAGATGTATAAAGAAAAACCACACCTTCTACAAGATCACTGTTGGTGATTTCAATGCTAAGATAGGACAGAGAAGATCAGCCGAAGAACTTCACATCAGGACCCATGGTTTAGAATGGAACAAACAGGGTGAGAGACTGTCTGAGTTCATCATGTCCACCAAGACCATCCATGGTAACTCGCAATTCCAGAAGGCCGAATCTAAACATTGGATATGGGAGTCTCCTGGTAGACGTTTCCACAACGAAACTGACCACATCATATTCAATTGATGATTCTGCCTGATTGATGTTGCTGTTGTCCCAAAATTCCAAATGGGACTGGACCACTGTCTCCTTCATGCAAAATTCTACTTCACAGAGCGGGGAGAAAGGGCTGCAAAGTTTAAGAAGCGAACTCCCAGAACGTCCACCAACTGGGAGCTCTTTGGTACTACTGCCGAAACATGGGAAGATGCCACCGTTGACAACATTGACGAGGAATACGATCGACTGGTTCAGCACCTCCATGATTGTGCGAGGAACGCCGAGAGAGAGATAGCCACAAAAAAGACAACTGTCTTCGAAAACTCTCGAACTCATTTGCCAACGTGGCTTGGCGCAAGCCTCAGGCAACCGCAAGCGAACGTTCGAGCTCGCAAAGCAGTGCAGAGATGCGATCAAGGAAGACCTCAAAGAGAGAAGAGCAGCAGTGCTGGCAGATGCGGCAGAAGCTGGGAAACTTTCTCCACAAGTACAGGTAGTGGACAAAGCCAGAGTAATACATTACAGGAAAATGTAAACATAGAAATATAATAAGAAACTAACAATTTATATGACTAACACACACTTTGCATAAAACCAAAATACATTAAATCGTTAGCAGCAAGTAAAAAGTATTTTTTAGGATGTTAAATCTCTGGGGAGAAAATTTTTATTTAAACATTAAGCTGTTGGGGCTGGAGAGATAGCACAGCGGGTAGGGCATTTGCCTTGCATGCAGCCAACCCGGGTTCGATTCCCAGCATCCCATATGGTTCCCTGAGCACCGCCAGGAGTAACTCCTGAGTGCAGAACCAGGAGTAACCCCTGTGCATCGCCAGGTGTGACCCAAAAAGCAAAAAAAAAAAAAAAACCATTAAGCTGTCAACTGATAAATGGATATGAAAAAAGTCTTTACCCATTTCTCACTTCAACCCATATAACTGTAAAAAGAGGGTGAAATGCTGATTTATGAATGATGCTTGAAAACATGTCCAGTGAGTCAAGCTTATATACTGTATGATTCCATTTATCTGAAAAATCCCAAAGAAAAAACTGTAGCACTGTAGCACTGTCCTCCCATTGTTCATTGATTTGCTCGAGCGGGCCCAGTAACGTCTCATTGTGAGACTTGTTGTTACTGTGTTTGGCATATTGAATATGCCACGGGGAGCTTGCCAGGCTTTGCCGTGTGGGCCAGATACTCTCGGTAGCTTGCTGGGCTCTCTGAGAGGGGCGAAGGAATCGAACTCAGGTAGGCCGAGTTGGCCGGGTTGGCCGTGTGCAAGACAAATGCCTTACCCGCTGTGCTATCGCTTCAGCCCAGTATGATTCCATTTATCTGAAAAATCCCAAAGAGGAAACTGAAGACACAGAATTCACTGGCAGGAACTGGAAGATGCAGAGAATTGGGGAACTGATTGATAAGAGGTTTGAAGTGTGTTTGGGGGTGATGAGAGTATTCTGGAATTAAACAGTAGTAATAGTTGTGTGACAGAAGAAATGTTAGAAGGGTAATACAGATAGTTACAATATTTGGAAAAGAACAGTAATTTTACAGGTTTCAAGATCCTCATAGTCGGAAAATGGGAAGTTTCAAGATGTAAGAAGGCTCACTGTACCTGGTGACAAACGTCTGCCATCAATTCTATCAAGTTTTCCTTGACAGAAATATTGCGAGTTCCCGAGGAATATTTTCCTCGACTTCCAAAATTACTTATCTCATTAACTAATAGATCATATAAGTTGTATAAGATGCTTTTCCATTTTCTTGATTCAAAAGCACCTGAAAAAAAAACCAGAAAGAAAAATTATACACATATTTGCACACACACACACACACACACATACACACACACACAAACACACACACAGAACTATCTGTCTATTCAGGGAAAAAGAACACTAAAATACACCTGGTCTAATCTTTGATTCAGCGCTTAAGTCTCCTCTGCCAACATCCTTGACAGGCTCTATTTCATATCTGTCCCTTTCACAGTTAATAGTATTGGTTGAAATTCTTCTATATCCTAATTTAACTTTCTTTAACTAAAAATTTCATTTTTTTTTAATATTGGGGCCATACCCCACTGTCCTCAGTGATTACTCCTGCCTCTGCACTGAGAGATTGCTCCTGGAAGGCTCAAGGGATTGAACCTGGGTGCATGCAAGGCAAGCACCCTACCCACTACTATCTCTCCAGTCCCATCAACTCAAAATTCTATATTCTTATTTTATCTCTACCTGGGGAAAAATGAAATTAACATGATTCCACTTTCATATAAGGATCAACAGAATCTTCATTTACCTAAGACAAAAACATTTATAGGGACAAACAAAACCAAAATACCAGTTCCTTTTTTTTTTTTTGCTTTTTGGGTCACACCCAGTGATGCTTAGGGGTTATTCCTGGCTCATGCACTCAGGAATTGCTCCTGGCGGTGCTCAGGGGACCATATGGGGTGCTGGGAATCGAACCTGTGTCGGTCATGTTGGCTGCGTGCAAGGCAAATGCCCTACCCGCTGTGCCATCGCTCCAGCCCCACCAGTTCCTTTTAAAATGTGCCAATAATGTTTCTGTATTTATCATCCCAGACATCTTTCCCTAGACAGGCTCCAATTAACTGAAGTCCAACTAAAATTGATGATGCCATAAAAATATGAATATAATATTCCTATGAGTCACTTCTGCTACCACATAGTAGTATCATAATACTCCTAATACTAGTTTGGGGAATAACTGTGTTATTTCCCACAAATAAGGTACCATAAAATCTATAACATAGGGATTGGTGCATTTGTACAGTGGGTAGGGCATTTGCCTTGTATGCAGCTGACCTGGGTTCAATCCCTGGCCCCCCACAGAGTCCCCCTGCACTGCCAGGAGTGGTTTCTGAGGGCAAAGCAATGAATAACCACTAATTATTGCTAGTGTGACCCAAAAAACAAAGACAAATAAAAAAATTACTAACATAACAGAAAACTATATTCACACTTCTGATACAACCTCCTAATAAGCCTGATTTCCAATACGTAAAGGATGTGAAACTGCAGAAAGTTACCGTTCCTTGATAAAGGGGCTTCATGAGCTACAAATACACTTAATGACATAGACCAGAAAAGCCTGTGGAACAGATACTTGATCTTTGATTAGAAACCTGGTACTATAGTTTTTCTGTTTTAGCTGCTATTCCTCAATGCAGCACTCTTTATTAATATGGTCATTATAGAGCCCCGATAAGTTGGTCCAAAGGCTAGTTAACGCTAAAGGCAAACAGTGTGAGGAAACTCATTCAGTTCCAGTTGTATTTAATAATGTTCTTCACTCCTGAATCAAGTACTAGATCAGGCAATTCCCTCGAAGTGAAATACAAGTACAATGGAATCAAGGAAAGATAAGCCATTCAATGCTGGTTTTCCTAGAGAGAGCTTGGCAGAAGGTTAAGGTTTAGGGTATCATTTCCCGTTCCCATCTCATGTGCCTACAAAACTAAGTCTCTTCCTCGGACACTGTGATCTGACTGTCTTCACTGATTTGTTTGGTTATTTGGGGGCCACACCCAGCTGTGCTCAGGGTTTGCTCCTGGCTCTGCACTCCTGGTGCTGCCAGGAGCACTAGAAAGGGTGCTGGGGATCAAACCAGGTGAGCTACACGCAAGGCAAGAGCCCTGCCCACCTCTCAGTAGCTAATTATTGCTGCATAGTAAGATTCTCCAGGGAACGTAGTCACTGTTGCCTATACTCTTCACAATACCCAGTACCGCACTGCAGTGGGAAGGCAGACCTTCAACTTCTAAAACACGCATGGAAAATACATCAGTGACTAATCACATCACTATTATGCACAGCCCTCCCAGGGAGGAAGGTCACTGCCTCCTATACAACACAGACTTCAGAGTTGAACTTCCATATCCCAAAAGGCAAATGTGAAAAAGTCAGTCTTTCTTGATACCGTTTTCTTGGGTTTTGGCTCCTTTGGGATGGTGGATGTAAATCTGCAGTTGAAATAATTCAATAATCACTTCCTTTACGGGGTCCTTAATTTTCTGTTGAGTCCAGATATAAAGCAACGTGGGAAGGATTTCATCTCCTAATTCACATACTCGAATTCGAAAGTTAACAGCCAGTGTCTTGACACAGATGGTAAGCGCAGCTAAGATATGACTCAGCCCTGCACAGCTTGTGTCTTGTCTGCAACAGAAAAGAATCGAGCTCAGATGGGCACGATGAGGGTGACCTGGAGGACTTTACAACCTGAAGCAACTGTGACGATGCATGCTCAAAAAACCCCAAACCGGGGCCAGAACAATAATACAGCGGGTAGGGCATTTCCTTTGCACTCAGCTGACCTGGGGTTGATCCCTATCATCCCATGGTCCCCTGAGAACTTCCAGGAGTAATTCCTGAACGCAGACCCAGGAGTAATCCCTGAGCATTGCCTGGTGTGACCCAAAAATCCAAAAAATAAAAAAAACTAATAATTCTTTTTTTTTTTTTTTTTTTTTGCTTTCTGGGTCATACCCAGTGATGCTCAGGGGTTACCCCTGGCTCTGCATTCAGGAGTTACTCTTAGTGGTGCTCAGGGGACCATATGGGATGCTGGGAATCGAACCCGGGTCAGCTGCGTGCAAGTCAAATGCCCTACCTGCTGCGCTATCACTCCAGCCAAAAAACTAATAATTCTTAAAAAAAAAAAAAACTCTGAATTTCATGTAAAGCAGCCTTAGTTAAAAAAAATTCATGGGAGTCCTACACAGTTAACAAAACCCCAACCCCAATCATTTGATGCTAAAAGACCACTTTAGCTCTTCTGGTTGCTGAACCATTTTCTAGATCATTTGTAATAACTACAACTTATAAAATGTATCACTTTTTTTTTTTTGCTTTTTGGGTCATGCCCAACCCATGCTCAGGGGTTACTCCTGGCTCTGCACTCAGGAATTACTCCTGGCGGTGCTTGGGGGACCATATGGGATGCTGGGAATCGAACCTGGGTCGGCTGCATGCAAAGTAAATGCCCTACCCGCTGTGCTATTGCTCCGGCCCCAATGTTTCACATTTTAATCTAGGTTATGCAACACAAATATAAACTATTGATACTTCCAAATATATTCTGATTTTATACTTAGATCATCACTTCTTTCTTCAAATATGGGAAAAACAAGGGCCAGAGATTTGGTTCAGTAGTAAAATGTCTGCCTTGCATGCAGGAGGCCTGACTTCAACCCCAGGCACTGCAGGAAAATAAAAAAAAAAAAGGAAGCGAGGGGCCAAGGGGTACTTCATTCCTTGACATGACATGGTTCCCCCAAGTCTTTCCAGCAGAGATCCCACGCACCGCTGGGTGGAACCCCAAAAGCTAAAACAAAGGGTGGAGGGATGGGTACTGGAGGTTCTGAGTCCCCGGTTGTGGGGCCATACTCCGTTGTTTGTGCACATTCTGGTACTCCCCAGGGGTCGCGGTGGTGCTCACACACATGCTCAGGCTGAGTGCAGTGCTCGGACATTTTTTAATTTGTGACGCTGGCTAGCGGCTGTACATTTTATGACTGTTCATACGTTTTGTTCCAACAGTATTGGTTTAGAGATCAGATTTGCCAAGACGATACTCGGCAAATGCAGGAAGCATCAGCCATCAAACTCATGGCCTCAGGCTTGGATGGCAGGTGCTTTCAGCAGCTCAGCCATCCCTTGGGCCCGTAGAGGACAAGTTTTCTACTTCAGAATATTTTATGCTCTGCATAACATTTGAGAAAAGAGTGGGGTCTGACACTTTCTTTGGGCCTCTACAATTAAAATCAGCCAACGGTTTTTAAGAATTGGTAGTATTTTGGGGGCCAGAGTAATATACATTGGGCAGGGTGCTTGCCTTGCATGTGGCCGACCCAGTTTCAATCCCTGGTACCCCATAAGGTCACCCAAAACCCTCCAGGAGTGATCTCTGAGTGAAAAGCCAGTAGTAAGCCCTAAGGACCAGTGGATATGACCCAAAAACCAATAAAGAGAGGAAAAAAAAAGGAAGAAAGAAAAAAGAATTGGTAGTGGTAGTAGATTAAGTTACTAGAGCTAATAGTCTTTAAAAAAAATTAATGGCCTCATCTTATGAGGTGCTTTTTAAAATTATCATTATTATTATTTTTCTGGAGGGGTCACACCCAGTGATGTACAGGGCGAACCCAGGTCGGCCGCGTGCAAGGCAAATGCAGTACCTGCTGTACTATAGCTCCAGCCCCAACATGGTCTTATAAGAAGTCCAAATGAGGGGCTGGAGCAATAGCACAGTGGGTAGAGTGTTTGCCTTGCACGCGCCGACCCGGGTTCGATTCCCAGCATCCCATATGGTCCTCCGAGCAATGCCAGGAGTAATGCCTGAGTGCATGAGCCCGGAGTAACCCCTGTGTATCGCTGGATATGACCCAAAATGAAAAAAAAAAAAAAGAAGTTCGAATGAATTTTCAATAAAAATCAAATAAAGAAGAGCTTAGATTACCTTGCATGCTGAACAGCCTTGGAAAAAGCATCCAAGTATTTGGGATTCAATCCATCAGTTTGTGAACAGCATCCTTTGGCCACAGCCTGAATTATTCTAGCCACTAAAATTCTATTAATATCTGGTGAAGGTTTGAGGTACAGCCTGAAGTATACCGAGAACAGTTCTGAAAAAAGCAAAACACTTGTTAACAACAACAACAAAACCCCAACAAATCATGGAACTTTAGTAATAATCCCCCAAAGGATAAAAAGTTATCCTTAGAACCACCATGCCTGACTGCAGTAAGGGGACTGCATCAGCATTTTATTTTCTCTGAGTGGCCTTCAGGGAGAGACAAGCCTGAGCTTCAGAGCCTGAGGTCCAAGAGTTAGTTACTTTCTCTTGGATGTTTTTCCTGCTGCACTGAAGCGCCGACAGTGTCCTCTCCAAAGATGGGCTGTATTCTGCTCTCATGCTGTGTGATTAATGCATGCAGAGCCTGTCAAGAACCAAGAGGACCTGAGAGAGTCTGCCACTATAATGGGACCTAACACAATAGCAGTCCAATTGCAGGGATGTGAACGAAAGGCAGGAGATTTCTGATCTGAGAAAATGATTTCCCACAGCAGTGACAGCAGCCAGGATTCCTTCATTTTTGCAACGAGTCCCCCAGTCCCAAAGGCAGTGTGACATGGAATAGTGTGACATGAGCGAGCCGTGTTACTGGGGAAAAGCGGAAAAATCCAAACCTTTTTATTTTTTGCCTTTTTGGGTCACACCCGGTGATGCTCAGGGGTTACTCCTGGCTCTGCACTCAGGAATTACTCCTGGCGGTGCTCAGGGGACCATATGGGATGCTGGGAATCGAAGCCGGGTCGGCCGCGTGCAAGGCAAACGCCCTACCTGCTATACTATCGCTCCAGCCCCTCTGATGATTTTTCTTACATCTACCTGAATCACGACTGAGTTGCTCTTAATAATGATGAATCTACTGAACTGAAACGCCTCAACCACACAGCATGGCCAGTTTGGTTTTATATTTATTTGTTGGTTTCTCGATACTTGTTAATTCCTTTAGGACAATGATGGAACCATTTGATCTATAATTTCAGTCCTGACAGCAAGGACCTTGTACATTGAAAGTGCGGATTACTAGGAAGAACATAATAAATGAAAGCTAAAGGTCCGATTTTCTCATCAGGTCACTTCTCTGGAGCACTACTAAAATGTGAGTTCTTTTGCGGACGGGACAGCGAAGGAAGATACAGACAATACTTTTCTAATGAACTTTCATTTCCCACAATAAAAACAAAATCTCAAACAACAAACTTCAAAACATACCCAGCCACTGCTGCTGAGATATTTCACACCAGTATTTTCTCACTGAAAGAATGTCTTTGAGCAGTATGTTGCTATAGTCGGCTCCGTAAATGGTACCGTGAGCTGCATCTTTAACCATATCCATAATGTAATTCAAGAGATCTTGACACTTTAATCTTGGTGCTCCTGTGGAGAAATGAACATATGAATCATATATAACTCAAAGATAAATTAAGTACACCTGGTATGGCAACTATATCAATACCAATTGGGAAATTATTATTACCTAAGCACATTATCATAGAGCAAGGGTTAGCAAAGAGGCAAAAATCAGCCTGTCACCTGTATTTGGAAATAGCGCTATTGTACCACACGAACACTCATAAATATATTGTCTAGGGCTTTTTTCATGAGCTAGACACAGAAGGGAGTCCAAAGCCAAGAATAGGGGTCAGAGAGGCAGCTCAGAGGGCTGAAGCACATTCAGCACTGCAGGCAGGACATCTGGGTTTGGTTCCTGGTTCCCCACCTACTGATCTGTGCTGGGATATGTACAAAAGCTATTGTCCATTCTGCCCTCAGGAATTCACAACTAATGGCATTATTATTAATCTGTTAAATAACTCAAAGCTTGGGATTGGAGCAATAGCACAGCGGGTAGGGCGTTTGCTTTGCACTCGGCCAATCTGGGTTTGATTCCCAGCATCCCATAACATTCCCCAAGCACCACCAGGAGTGATTCCTGAGTGCAGAGTCAGGAGTAACCCCTCAGCATCACTGGATATGACCCAAAAAGCAAAAAAAAAAAAAAAAAAAAATCAAAGCTTTTTGTCACATTTTATTGAACTAGAATAATATTAAAAAGATAGCTATTTGGAATGCAAAATTAATTCCAAGTCCTGTACTGGTATATATAACATATAAATATGCACTGTAGCACTGTCCTCCCGTTGTTCATCGATTTGCTGGAGCAGGCCCAGTAACGTCTCCATTGTGAGACTTGTTGTTACTGTGTTTGGTATATCGAATACGTCATGGGTAGCTTGCCAAGCTTTGCCGTGCGGGTCTCGGTAGCTTGCTGGGCTCTCCGAGAGGAGCGGAGGAATCAAACCTGGGCTGACCTAGTCGGCCGCATGCAAGGCAAATGCCCTACCCGCTGTGCTATAGTTATACGAACAGCAGAAATCATTGCAGCTTCATCTATTTATTAGAAGTCCTTAAATTATGCATTAATGGGTATATTTTGTTGTTTTTGGGGGTCGGGCCATATGTGTGGGTGTTTGGGGGTTACTCCTGGTTCTGTGCTCAAGTGTCTCTCCTGGCGGTACTCAGGGAACCAGATAGTAGCAGGGATCTAATTGGGGTTAGCCACATGCAAGGCAAGCACCTTATACTATCTCTCTCGCCTTAGAAAGATTCTTGATGTAACGAAAGTGTCTTAAGAATGTGTGTAATTCCCATCTCCAACAAAGAATATGGATGTTGCAGCTGAAATTTTATTTCAATAATTTTGACATTATTTTCCAAATAATTTATATATTTAAAAGAAATTTATTATGTTTCAATAGTGACATAATCTAAACATTGCATTTTTGTTATGAGCAGGGGGTACAACTCACTTTCTATATATACACATATATGTATATAGTCTATATATAGATGAATATAGTTCAGGATTTTCTTATGAGACTGTCAAAATTAGTACTGGGGCCGTAGATAGTACAGCAGGTAGGGTGCTTGATTGACATATGGCAGACCTGGGTTCAATTCCCAGCATCATATATGATCCTCCAAGGCCCTCCAGGAGTCAAGCCTGAGCACTGCCAGATATAGCCCTAAACAAAACATGTATTAAACTCAGGCAGGGGAGCTAGCTGAAAGTGTTCAAGCTTTGTCGGCAGGACCTGTGTCAATACCACCCTGAGCACTGCCAGGTGTGGTCTCAAAACCAGAAACGACAGCTCTGCTGTAAATGTAAAATCATTATTACTGCTGGCTTATGCAGTACTTTAAGGTATCAGGCCAAGGATAGAATTCAGCCTTAAGATCTGCCCTCATCATCTACACAATGGAATACTATGCAGCTGTTAAGAAAAATGAAGTCATGAAATTTGTCTATAAATGGATGGACACGCAGTGAGAAATGAGTCAAAAGGAGAGGGACAGATATAGAATGACTGCATTCATTCATTTATGGTATATAAAAATATATATATATAGTAGAAAACTAATATCCATGGCCAGGGAAAACAGGGGCTAGGAAGACTGGAGAATGGTTGGAACTAACCACAAGTGTGTGTGTGGGACTGAGGGTAGGTAAGATATAGAAGAGATCAATAAGACAATAATAGCAGGGGATGATCACGCAGGACAAGATCTGAGTGTTAAAAGTAGGTAAAGGGATATTCTTCATAACCGTTCAGGATCAATTCTGCAAATCACAATGCCCAAAAGGAGAGAGAGAGAAAGAAAGACAGACAGATAAGAAAAGTACCTCCCATAGAGGCAGGCAGGGGGTGGGGGGGTGATGGAGGGAATCTGAGGACACTGGTGCTGGGAAATGTACACTGATGAAGGGATGGATGCAGGAATACTGTATGAATAAAACCTAATCATGAACAGCTTTGTAAGGGTCTATCTCAGAGTGATTCAATAAAAAGGTTAAAAAAAAATTAGACAAAAAAAAAAAGATCTGCTGCTGTAACATCCTGTGTACCTCTCTCTCATAGTCCTTAGAATTCAGCAACTTCCTACGTATCAGATACTTAATGACTAAGCAACTACATAAATATCAGGATGAAATGCTATTTTTCCTCTGGCCATAATGCAATACATTTCCTTCCTCTCACAAATTTGAGAAATGCTTAAGAACTCATTCTGTATCCTTTAAAAAACAAACAACAACAACAACAAAAAAGATAACCTATTCAAAAGAGTAGCTAAGTTGCCAGCAGAGACTTTAAGGAATCTTGTGGAATTTAACATTTTCCACAGCTGGGTTTTCTAGACTCCATCTCTGCTTTGTCTGCGCAGAAACAGAGAAATGCTAGGATAAACGAATGGACAATATTGACTTACTTGTTCTTCCCAGCTGCCTTTTTTCCCCAATCTGTTTCTTTCATCATACCTTGGATGCCAAGCTAAGCGAGTCTAGTAGAGTCTAGACATGTACTTAAATTCTCCTCACTCTACCAACCCTTTGGGGGTGGGGGAAGTAACGTGATAGCTGCTCCCTGGCTTTATTCTGAAATGAAAGCTATAAAGTGACAAAAATCAAACTGGAAAGAAAGTTTCAAATAAAAATACCAAAATCATATTCTTCTGACATAAAGGCAAATTGCTGTGGGGGAGGGGGTGTTGCGTCACACCCAGGGCACAGACTTACCCCTGCTCAGGCATCACTTCTGATGGTGCCCAGGAATGACCCAGGGTCACAGCTGATGTGGATGCGTGCAAGACAAGTGGCTTACCTCACGTTCTATCTCTTTGCTTCAAAAGAGGCTGGAGCAACAGTACAGTGTTGTACTGATCTTGAGACTAGAGCAACAGTACAGAGTTGTCTTGCACTCAGCTGACCCAGATTCCATCCCCAGCATCCCATATGGTCCCTCAAACCCACCAGGATTTGAGCGATCCACGAGTGCAGAAACAGGAGTAAGCTTGATCACTGACCCACCCCAAGACAGAAAAATGGAGCATGGGTTCTGAGTGCCAAGAAAGCCACGGTCTCAGAATTGAAGTATATAGAATGAGAGAGGTAACAACCCACTCAGCACCAGTCAGAACATTTCTGTGAGTTTTACTTTCTGAAAAAGACAGACTACAGAGAAGGGAGTGACATAAAAACCAGGTTGTGTAAGTTGAAAAGAAGGAAGTCTATTTAACTTGGAGAACTAAGAGCCTCATAGTTGTCTTCAGATAGACCAAAGGATGTCAACCTGAAAACAGCAGTTATGATTTTTTTGTGTTGTCTCAGAAGGCAGATAGAAACAGACATATTGTATCTACCAGTAAAGCCCCTCAAAGAGAGAAGATAAAGTTTAAAAGGCAAATTAAACAGTAAAGCTACCGAAGTGCTAGGAATATATACAGAAGGGATCCAAGACAAACGTTAATTTCAAAAAAGTTTGAATTTTTTCCAGAGATTCTATCCCATGCTATAAATTCTCCAAATATTATTAATATCTGAAGTATTAAAAATCACCACATATACCTGAAATTAGTGGGCATGCATCTTGTATTTCACTGTATGCAGAGCAAACTCATACAACTGTGAGCTTTTAAGTCATTTATTTATACAACACATCACTTACTTTCATTTGCACATTTGATGAAATATTTGACCAAGCTGCTGATTTCCTGTTTCTTTTTCTGCCTGGATGCTTGTGCTGAGGTTGACACATTCGGTTTTGCTGTTCTGAGACATTCTGTTTCTTTCTGGATGTATTTCTGTAAAAATCTTCACGAAAACAGAAAGAAAATTTAGAAACCCACTGCACGCTTGATCAGGAGAGCTTCAGAGAGCTCTCATGTCATCAGAAGGAACGGCTTTTCTGCCATCAAGCTTCAGGGAAACAAATCTCTTGCGGCCTAAATCCCACCCAGTAGCTCCGGACTGAACCAGCTGGGAATCCCAAATGCATTATTCTGCCAAGCTGGTCAGTTTTAGAAACACAGTACCTTCCTTTAGTTAACAGCTGTCACTTTGATAAACAAAATGAGTGACCAAAGGACAAGGAACAGCTTTTTCCCGTAAAAAGCTGTTATGTCCATCCATAGAGTCACACTGTACCAACAGGAGCTAACTATAAAAAAGGAACAAGTATATGTTCACATTTCCTCTCAACTGAAAATGTTATTTTCAGTTTTGCAGTAGCCTACATAAATTTAAAAATAGGGGTTAGGGATGTAGTTCAGTAGTCAAGCACTTGCCTTTCATGACTAAGGGATAGGGTTGATTCCTAGCATTGAAAAAAAAATCTCAATTTTTTCCTGTATCTTGCACTCTGTATCTACTATAGATGGAATCCACAGTAGAAAATTATGTCGTAAAGCATCAGTTCTGTTTGTCATTCTCATCTTTCTAATGTCAGCATTTTGCTTTTATAACTGCATCCATATGTAATTATCCTAATTTCCTACAGTTTTATTATCATTTAAGGTGTGACAGTTACCTAGAGTAATACTTGAAGATGTCCAAGTATTAAGCATTTATAACTAAATTTGCTCTCTAACTTGAAGGATTATGAACTTATAAAAAAATCTTCTTAATCTTGAATGCGATATGTCTGAGACTTTTATTGAACACATGATTAAAAACTTTTAACTTTGGGGTGGGAGTGGGAGAGATAGTACAGTGGGTAGGGCGTTTGCCTTGCACATGGCTGACTTGGGTCTGATCCCCAGCATCCCTATGGACCCCGAACACCCCATCAGGAATGATCCCTGAATGCAGAGCCAGTAGTAAGCCATCAGTACTTCCAGATGACTCCCCAAAAGAGCGTTAAACTTTTCCTACATTAATATCCTTTTTAACCCAGCTCCCGGAAGAGAACAGCGCAGAGTCTCCTGCCCCCACGCATGGCTGTTCTCGCCGGGGCCGCTTGGAGGGGAGCGGGTTGAGTTTTCCTTCCCGCCCCGACCAGGACTCCAGCAGCCAAAGACCTCCAGAACCAGCCACCACCATGCTGAGACCACTCTCCGCACACATGATGGTACCGGCAGAGGAACAAAGGCACGCGGGTCCCGGGGCTGAGATCTCCAAGCCTACTTGGATCGGGGCTGAGCATCCTCCACCCAGATCCTCCAAATTCCAGTAGGCGGGAGTCACACCCACCAACTGGTCCCCTGGCGCCATGTAATCCCATCAGCGGCCAAGACTCAGAGACTATAAAACCCAGCTCCCAGAAGCGCGCAGCCACATTTGCGGCCACGCGACATCTTATCATCTCATTCCTACTTTGGACAAACTGGCAGACTACCGAATGTAACCTGCCCACACGGCAGAGTCTGGCAAACTCCCCGTGGCGAACCCAATATGTCAAATACCAGTAACAATGATGGGTCTCATTCTCCTAACACTGAAAGAGCCTTGAATATGGCACTTTTAAAAAAATCTCAGGGCTAGGACAAAGGAGACGTTACTGGGGCCTGCTCGAGGCAATTGACGAATAACAGGATGGTTGTGATTGATTGTGAATATCCTTTTTAAATGATGTTTCAAGGGCCAGGGAGATAGCCCAAGAATTGGAGCACATGTATGACAACAGGAATTGTTGTTGAGAACCTCTGGGAGTAATTGAGAACTGAACTGAGCACATACCCTAACCTTCAATCACCAGGTATGCCTCCTCTCTAAAAAATGAAACAGAACAGGGGCTGGAGTGATAGCACAGCGGGTCGGGCGTTTGACTTGTACACGGCTGACCCGGGTTCGATACCCAGCATTCCATATGGTCCCCCTGAGCACCGCCAGGAGTAATTCCTGAGTGGCAGAGCCAGGAGTAACCCCTGTGCATCGCCGGGTATGACCCAAAAAGAAAAAAAAAAAAAACAGAACAAATTACTTGCCATTTTTTGGAAATATTTATATGATGTCTACTTTCGAATGTCAGAATCTGTCTTTCAAAGAAAAAGACAGATTGAGGGACAGAGGGAAACTGGGTACACTGGAGGAAAATGGACACTGGTGAAGGGAGGGGTGTTGGAACACTGAAAACTTGAAACTGAATCATGAATCACTTTGTTTGTAATTCAGTGATTCAATTACAAAAGAAAAGCCTATCTTTCTATTCCAAAAAAGAAAAAGAAAAGAAAAGAAACAGAACAAACTGCATTTTTCTCTCTTTTTTTTTTTTTTTGCTTATTGGGTCACACCCGGCAATACACAGGGGTTACGGGGTTACTCCTGGCTCTGCACTCAGGAACCAGTCCTGGTGGCGCTCAGGGGACCACATGGGATGCTGGAATACCAACTCGGGTCAGCCTCATGCACAGCAAATGCCCTACCCACTGTGCTATCGCTCCAGTCCCCAAACTGCATTTTAAATACTAAGCACCAATACCACATGCATTACAAAACTACAAGAGAAGAAAAGAAAATCAGACTCGCATACACAGAAACATACTACGGCAACAGACAGATGAAAAACAAAAAAAGAGTAAATGAATTAGAATGGAATACCTAAAAACAGCATCCCAATTCAAATATTTTCCTTGTTTGGTATCTGAATGCCGATCTAAATCTCGAACAATTTTAGGATCTCGAATCAGACGCTTAAATTGTTCAACTTCTTTCTGAAAATGGAAAAAGAACATGATAATGGGCTACCAGTCACGTGCCTGTTTCAAGGAGAGGTTAAATTTAGTGATTTTCTACCCTCCGGTCTGAAGCTTTGTCATGTTCGAGTTGTCGGCAGCAAACAAGCAGATCATTAAGTGCAAAGTTCATGATTCAGAATTTCAGAATACACATCGTTGTCTGTAAGAAAGTACAGAGATAGTTATTTCAGACTGTAGAATCAATCTAGAATTAGTGTGTGGTTAGACCTAACTGTGCAACTGGAGGTTCACTGTGATCAAAGATACTATGATCTTTCTTAATCCTTCTATACTTGAGCGAGATTTTCTTAAAAATCAATTGTGCAAATGTGCTGGTTGCAGTAGCAAAAGAAAAACGCAGAATATAAAAAAAAAATTTAAAAAACGCAGAATAATTTACTATCTTGATGCTTCTAAGAAACATGACAGTTAAGTTATAACATTAAAGGTGAAGATGGCTCAAAGGGCACGAGCGCATCAGGAGCCCCGTATTTGGTCTCTGGTTCCTCCAGTACCAATGCCAGGATGTCAGGAAGAGTCCTCGAGCACTATCACGTGTCCCAGAAACAAACAGATAAGATAAACAGAAGACAGGCAAATCTAAAGATAAAAGCACTAAAGGATTTGAATCTAAGCTATTTAAAAAGCACTCTTTTTTTTTTTTTTGGGTCACATCCAGGGATGCACAGGGGTTCCTCCTGGTTCATACATTCAGGACTTACTCCAGGCGGTGCTCGGGGGACCATATGGGATGCTGGGAATCGAACCTGGGTCAGTCGCATGCAAGGCAAACGCCCCACCTGCTGTGCTATCGCTCCAGCCCCAGGACTCTTTCTTTTTAAAGAAAGATAAGACAGCTCAACTGGCTAAGCACACCTTTACATGAGAGATGCCCGGCTTTGATCCCCAACTTTGCATGTATACCCTAATCCATCCTTCATCAAGGATTAAGCTCCTCAGCCCACTGGATATGGTACCAACTAAAAAAGAAAATTATTATTATTATTATTATTATTTTGCTTTTTGTGTCACATCTGGCAATGCACAGGGGTTACTCCTGGCTCATGTACTCAGGAATTACTCCTGGCGATGCTCAGGGGACCATATGGGATGCTGGGAATCGAACCTGGGTTGGCCGTGTGCAAGGCAAATGCCCTACCTGCTGTGCTATCACTCCAAACCCCAAGAAAATTATTTTTTAAAAATCACTCTGCTTATGCTTCATAAATGTCTTTTTTTCCCCCTTTACCTTTGTAGCATTTCTCTGAGCATAGGTTTTCTTGATATTTATGATGGATGCTTGATTTCTGCATGATTATTTCTGCATGATTATTCAAAGTAGCTATTCCAAATTTTTCTCAAATATTGTCAAACTATTCATCAAAAATATTCTAACAATACTCATAAGACATCAGTTATGTTTAATTTTTCATATCTGGGCCATGGATGTTATCAATTTAAAAGATCATTTCTAATCTTCTAGGGAAAAATGGCATCTAACTACTTTTGCTTGATTTCTTTGATCCCTAAAAAAGCAAGGGACTGGGGCCGGAGCAATAGCACAGTGGGTAAGGCATTTGCCTTGCACACGGCCGACCCGGGGTTCGATCCCCAGCAACCCATATGCTCCCCCAAGCACCGCCAGGAGTAATTCGTGAGTGCAAAGCCAGGAGTAACCCCTGAGCATTGCCGGATGTGACCCAAAAAAGAAAAAAATAATAAATTACAGTAGACTATAGACCAAACACAATTGCCACTCAATGTTTCTTTTGCAAACCACAACACCCAAAAGGTTAGAGAGAACAGAGGGGAATGCCCTGCCACAGAGACAGGGTGGGATGGGGGTGGGATGGGGGGGTGGGAGGGATACTGGGATCCGTGGTGGTGGGGAATGGGCACTGGTGGAGGGACGGGTATTTGATCATTGTATAATTGAAACCCAAGCATAAAAATGCGTAAGTCTGCAACCGTACCTCATGATGTCTCACTATTTAAAAAAATTTTTAATAAATAAATAAAATAAAATAGACAAAAAAATAAATAAATAAATTACATAAATTGGCTTCTTTAAAAAAAAGAAAGAAAAGAAAGAAAAGCAAGGCACTTTTCTCTTAGTGTGTCCACCTTTCTCCTTAAAATCCTTATTTTGCTCACTCAGTAATATCTCATTTGAAAATCCTCCAAGTCATCTGGTAGAGCTCCAGTTTATTATTTTGTTTTTGGGTCTTCTTTTTTTTTTTTTAATTGAATCATGTGAGATACACAGTTACAAAGTTGTTCATGACTGGGTTTCAGTCATCTAATGTTTCAACAGCAGTTCCTTCAGCACTGTACACTTCCACCACCATGCTTCTTGTAACAGCTATGAGACCTTAGTTAACCTTGCCTACAGCTAAGCATCTCAACCAACTTTATTTTGTAGTGCTTTGGGGCCATACCCAGAGGTGCTCCCAGCAATGTGCAGAGGAATATATGGCGCCAGGAACTGAGCCTACGTCTCCTGCATGCAGATCATGTGAGCAAGGACTGGAGAAACAGTACAGCAGGAAAGGCAATTAACTTGCACACAGCTGACCAGGGTTTGATCCCTAGTACCTCTTCTGGTTCCAGAGCCTGCCAGGAGTGATCCTTGAACTCGGAGCTCCAAGAGGAGTGATTCCTGAGCACAGAATGAGGAGTGAATCCTGAGCAGTGCTGCTGGGTGTGGCCCAAAAACCAAACCAGAAAAACAGGAAAAAAAAAAAAAAGGAACTACTCAGATTCTACTTGCACAGGGAACGGGAACATATATATTTCCTAAGTAATAGTCTGCGAATTGGTAAATTCGATGTTTAAAATCTCAACCCATATCCATGTGCAGAATTTGACAGTGATGCCTCCAGCCCTGAAAAAAAAATAGCTGGTCTAGGTAAGCCATCTTTTCGAAGGGTAAGAAAGTGGGTTCTGTAACCAAATGGCACAGGTTTAAATCCTAGGACCATAACTTACAAGCTGTCTAACCTTTTTTCTAAATCTCCTTTTTCTCAATGGTATAAGGAGAAGGAGACAGTAGTTCCTAACTCAAAGATTTAGGTATTGTAAGGATTTATGTAACTAACAGTGCCTGGAAACAGGAAATCAATGTCAGCAATTCTACCACTTCTATTCTTCTATCTGTAATATTTCTTCCCACACCTGGAAGAACACCCTTGTTTCCCTTCCTGTTTTCTCCCAGTGTGATCTCACCCATTCCTCTGACTTCAGTGTGTTAAAAAAGTGCCCGAATTGGTCAGAACTCACTCTAGAGATGCAAGAACCATTATCTACGCTTTTGTTGCCTTTAGAGTATTTTCCATTCCTCTGAAAAAGTCTGGAAGGGCAGCACCCCAACCTAAGTCGATGCTCCCAGGTTGAGTTTCCAGTGAACCTCACCCACGTGTCAACTTCCACTGCACTCGCCTGTAACATTTCACCACCAAGAACCGTTAACAGTCCCTTAACTCACGCGTACCTGGTGAAAACTGCAGCCACCAGTTTCAGAGCGCCCGCCACAGGCAAGAAATCAGATCAAGGAGAGTTACCAGGAATCCCAGGGCTGCTGTCAGCATTCCAGTTCCTCCAGGACACCGAAGTGTAGTTTAGGCCCCTGCAAACGCTTCCTGATGAAGATCACTAACGACGGGGAGGGAAGGTGAGGCACAGCAGCTCAACCACCTCGTTAAATGGGAGCCTACTATGTTACCGGGAAGGGAAGCACGCAGAGCCTTCGGATCGGGGGGCCGAGATTCGAGGCTAAATGAAATTCTCTAGGAGTTGGGAGAAGGCAGGAGACAAAAGAAGGGAAGGGGGGATCGGAAAGAGGGATGGACGAGAGGAAGAGAAAAAAAAATGCTTGGAGCAGTGCGTGAGTTTAGGCAAGGGGGGGAAGGCAAGACGCCTCGGGGGGGGGGGGGGACGGGACACCACGGTGCAAACAGCTGGGATGCGATTGCAATTGCCAAAGCGAGCGGGAGCCCCAGCGCTGCAGCCGCGCCCCTCCTGCAGGACTCACGGGGCCTCGAGTGGGGCTCGCGGCGGGGGGGGGGGGGAGGCGGTGGCTGCGGCTCCGAGCCCTGCTCCACGCGCGATCGCAGCCGCACCACTCAGCAATCGCGCCGCATTCCCGCTTCCGGTTCGAACCCGGCGCGACCACGCCACGCGGGGGGCCGGAGGAAGCGGCGGAGCCGACCCGACGCCCCGACACGCTCCGCCCCTGCGCACGCAGCCGCGCTCGCTCCCCCCCCCGCCCCGGGCTCCACGCACTCGCGCCACCAAAACATTGGGGCGCCGCGCCTGCGCCTGCGCCTGCGCCTGGCCCGCCAATGGGGAGCCTCCTCGCCCGCCGCGGCCCCACCCACCCAGCCCGGCACGTCCCCGGGGCCGGAAGTGACGTCGCGAGCCCGGCGCGCCGAGGCGGGATTTCTCTCGGCGCCTTTCTCCCTGGCGCGCCCGCCATTGGCCGGCGCCGAGCCGGAGAGGCGGGACCAGCGGCCGCGGGTTCGGCGCCGCCGCCGGGACCGGGAGATGCTGCGCTGGAGCGGTCGCGGAATTGGCTCGTCCGTCGCGCTCGCCCCTCGTCGCGCTTCCCGCTGCGGCCTCGGTCATGTTGCTGCCCTCGGACGTAGCCCGGCTGGTGTTGGGTAAGCGGCGCGCGCGCGCGCGGGAAAGGGGCCGGGCCCGGGCCCAGCCCGGTCGCCGAACCCGCGGGCCCGGTGGCTGGGCGGGGGCGGGGGCGGGGGGTCCCGCGTCCCGGTCGCCCCGGTCGCCCCGGTCGCCCCGGGCCCGGGCGCTGGGAGCCTCTTTGTGTCGGGCCGGGCCCGCCCCGCGCCGCCGGGGGCCGAGGAGAAGCGCGGGCAGGGACAGCCGAAGCCGGGGCTCGGCGGGTCCGCGGGGCCTGCAGGACGGACGGACGGACGCACGGACCCCGCCTTCTGCAGCCACCTGAGCTCCCCCACCCCCGGTCAGGTCGGGGACCCCCGGTCAGAACGGCGTCGCTCGCTCCCCCCGCCCCGGCCTTTGTGGCTCGGCCCGCTCCAACGCCCTTGGAACTCGGGCGGGGAGGCGAACGGGCCGGCGGGGCTGGGGTCCGAGGAGCCGCCGACGGCCGTTTCTGGTCACCCTGGCACCTGGCACCCGGGAAGTGCCCTCCCCGCGGGGACGTGTCCCCCGCCCGGCCTCCCTGCAAGGGGCCGGGGGGGGGGGAGGGGAGCCTGCCCGTCGCGGGGCGCGGGTGGGCGCGGGTGCTGCTCGTCCCCCGGGGGGAACCGGGATCCCCCCCGGGCGGACCCGCGGGGCACGTAGGACGCGACGCGCATCCCGGACGTCGGAGGCGGCGCCCCCCGGGAGTGGTGCCGGGGGCCCCCAAGTCCGTGCAGGAACTTCCCGTGGGAGCCACGTTTCACGGGGTGGGTGGGCGCTCCGGCGGGCGTGGGGCGTGCCGAGCGAGCAGTGGTGCCCGGGCCCCGGAGGGCAGCGTGCAGGAAGCGGAGGGTGACGATGGTGCCACCACCCACCCCGTCCTGGGGGGACACGGAGGGCCGGGGTTTCCAGGGCTCTTGGGAGCTCTGCCCCCTCCGTTGCCTTTGCCCTGGAAGTTGCACGTCGACGGTTGCTTGCTTGGTTGGTTGGTTGGTTAACCTCGAAGTGTATCTGTGCGTATCTTGTGGCTTCTGGGGTTCCGGGACGCGGCGCGGGGCCGGCCAAAGGAGACCTGGATGGTGTCTTGTGATAACGGCGCAGACTTGGGTGGTCTCTGTGCCCCTCGCTGCGTTTCGTGTGCCCCCGCAGTGCGTTCCAGCCGTCTGGTGGTCCCGTTCAGCCGTTTGTCGCCCTGGGCACGGAGGGGTGTTGTTGAGTAGCATCCCTGCCCAGGAGGCGTTGGATCCCACACGCCAGTCTCTGTCTGGGTGTTACCATGGAAAAAAATATATATATAAGTGTCTGGAAAAAGGTGTAGAATCGCCGTGCCCCCGCCCGCAAGCCCCCCTCTGTGTTAAAGCGATTTACTATGAGGGCTGGTCATTGAGCTAAGTGGGGGACACACACACACTTCATGGGTGAGCATCTGGGTTTGGTCCCTGGAATTTCTCTCCGCCCCCCCCTTCCCCAAGAAAGTTAAAAGATAGTAATGGGATTTTTTTTTTTTAACTAGTGTTTTACACCCGTGTGTGACTGCTCTTCATCAACCCGCTGCGCTGTTTAAATTCCTCCTTTCTAAAAAAAAATGGTCGGAAGTCCAGTCATTTCTCTCCTGGGGATTGGAGCCATAGGTTAAAGTTACTGTTCTGTGGTGTGCGCAAATACACCAGGGTCTTCCCAGGATAAGAGTCTTAATCCCTGTACTGTCCGGCCAGTCACGGTTTCTTACCTTAGACGTTGCCCTTTGCTTTACGTTTTCATCAGTCATGTGCCTCCTCTCCTGTTGCTTTAGAACCATTGTGAATGGTTTTTTTTGTAGTCTTGGCATTTCTTGCTTGCCTTTAGAGATGCCTGCCCAGATCATTCATGTTCTGAAAGTAAAATGTGCACTTACCAAAAATTTCAGATTGTGCAAAAATTAAAGATCTCCACATCCGTTGTCTTGTTTTAATTTTAAAGTTATACCTTTACTTGGCAGGGTGGACACTGCTTGTAATGACTGGAAGTCACACATACCTGGTCAGGTGCTTGCACTTGTAGATGCCCAGAAGTTGCGCACTTGTTGTGATGCTAGGGATTCCAGGTAGCATCACGATTAGGATTAAGCTCTGCATTATGTTCAGAAGTCAGATGCTCTCTCACTGCCCCCCTGCCCCCATGATTCATGGTCTCTGACCCCCTGCCCCCATAATTCATGTTTTAATATACAGTCACCCTTTCCTAAACCCCACCTTACTTTTTCTGTCACCTTGCGTAAATATCAGCTTTCTTTTTAAAATGTGGACTTTCCTAAGTTCACCTGTTTTCTCATGTACCTTTCATTCTTTGGCACAGTCTGCTTTTGCATCTCACTACACCACTTTTTTTTTTTTTTGGTCTTTTTGAGTCACACCTGGCAATGCACAGAGGTTACTCCTGGCTCTGCACTCAGGAATTATCCCTGGCGGTGCTCAGGGGACCATATGGAATGCTGAGAATCAAACCCGGGTTGGCCACATGCAAGACAAATGCCCTACCCACTGTGCTATCGCTCCAGCCCCCCTCACTACTCCACTTTTTTGAGTTTGGGGCCACACCCTCTGGTGCTTGTAGGTTTATGCAGTGCTGTGATTAAACTCAGGTCCTAGCTCCTCACACAGTGGTGAGTTATGCTCTTAGGAGTCCTGTAAATACTGTACAGCCCAAAATACTGCGTGGTATCTTTTATTGCCTGATAAAAATCCCAGTTTAGTTTTTATCAGTCAAGAGTTTTGGCTATCTGAGCTGAGATCAGCACCAGGAGGATTACTCCATAACTTAGAGGCCAGCCGGGTATCCTAGAGGAAAGGGCTATTCAGATAGAGAAGGGAGCACCAAATAAAGGATGTTTGGAGGATCCTCCCAGGAGGGGAGATGCATGTCGAAAGTAGACTATGGACTGAACATGTTTGCCACTCAATGCCTCTTTTGTAGACCACAACACCCAAAAGGAGAGAGAGAACACAGGGGATTGCCCTGCCACAGAGACTGGGGGATGGGGGGATGGGGGTGGGAGGGATATTATCCATGGTGGTGGAAAATGGGCACTGGTGGAGGGATGGGTATCTGATCATTGTATAATTGAAACCAAAGCACAAAAAATTGTAAATCTACAACTTTAAAAAAAATAAAATAAAATAAAGGGGAAAAAAAAAAAGAGTTTTGGCTATCTGGAAGAAAGATGTTTCCATTTGGTATTATTTAGTTACTATAGTTACTGTCACCAGACCACCCCAGCGGGGAAAGGGTGCTGTCCCTCCACCTGCTCCCCCTTGGCGGCTCGGTGGCTGCCATCTGCCAGAAGCCATTGGACAGTCAGATTTGGGCCCACAATGATGAGACATGTGGGGCCTCACGGGATGGGGATGGAGCTGGCCCTTTCCTCCCCGTCCCAACGAGACCCCGAGTCGCCGCCCATGAACAGCCTTTCTGGCTCCTGATCAAGCTGCTTAACGGCCATGATCCAAGAGACTCAGGAACAAATCTCGGAACCCAGCAGGCTTTGGCAGAAATCCCTCCAGATTTAATTGCTAAAACTTCGGAATTTCAAAATCATGCGGCCACTGCTGCAGTCACGTGACGTCGTATGTTATTCATAACCAGCAATAGAAAACAAATTGTCTATTGTTGCCTTTTCAGCAGATCTGAGTGCTGGGGTAAAATCCCAAAAAAGGGCTGGAGTGATAGCACAGCAGTAGGGTGTTTGCCTTGCGTGCATCCAGCCCGGCCGAGCCAGGTTCGATTCCTTCGTCCCTCTCAGAGAGCCCAGCAAGCTACCGAGAGTATCTTGTCCTCATAGCAAAGCCTGGCAAGCTACCCGTGACATATTCAATATGCCAAACACAGTAACAAGTCTACAATGGAGACATTACTGGGCCCTCTCGAGCAAATTGATGAACAACAGGACAGTGACAGAGACAGTAGGTCATTTTCTGGGTCTGGGAGTTCTCAAAAGTTTTTTCATATAAAGTAATGGTATTGATATTCCTAGACCCTAAAGATAGACTATGTTCTGTGTGCTAAATGGTTGCGGTCCCCTTTGGGATTGCAGATGGAGGTACCTGTAACTGGTCCAGGCAGAACTAGTCACTCCTGCTCCTGCCTCAGCTTCTCCACCACTGTCCTGTACCTCAGGCACATCAAAGTGCTAGTTTTATGTACAATTTTTCTTTGGTTTTGGGACCACGCTGGTGATGCAGTGGTGCTCAGGTCTTGCTGTGCTCAGGGATCACTTCTGGCAAGGTTCTGGGGACCATATATGGTGCCGGGGATCAACCCCCATTGGCATGCATGTCCCGTGCCCTACCTGCCATACTATCTCTGAGGCCCGTTAGATTGTTTTATTGTAGTTGTATTACTTATGTACTTTTAATGTGCCTAATATAGCCTAGCCATTTTGTCTTTTCCCAGTGGGTCCATTGTTGGTTTCTTTGTAAGAAAGGCACCAATTTGTGTGAATCAACTCTGTGAGAGTGAGCACAGAGCAAAGGTAGCCCTGGAATTAAGGAATGGCTTTGGTTCTTGGCAGAATTTGTGAGTCCACAGCTTTCTGATCACCTCTTGCGGCTCTTCTATTCTCTTGTACTGAAGATGTCACCTTTCTGGTATAGGTTTTCTTCTTCTTTTTTTTTTTCCTTTTTGGGTCACACCTGGCGATGCTCAGGGGTTACTCCTGGCTCATGTGCTCAGGAATCACTCCTGGCAGTGCTCGGGGGACCATATGGGATGCTGGGGATCAAACCTGTGTCGGTCATGTTGGCTGCGTGCAAGGCAAACGCCCTACCCGCTGTGCTATCGCTCCAGCCCCAGGTTTTCTTCATTTTGAAATAAGCATCAGTGAGATGTTTTGGGATTTTAATACCACCCCAAGTAGCAAGCCTCTGGCCGAATACTTCAGGGCAGCAATACTTTTGGAGCTATACCAGAGAAGGTGACCAGAACAGCCCCGGGAGTGACTGCCCACGCAGTGTCCTTGAATGTGACA